TAGGTGATGGTAGGGGAGGAGGGAGGGAGGCAGCTGGGGCATCATTATAATGTCACTAGTGTCCTGGCTACTGTCCCTGTCATCACTAAGTGTATCGAGGCGTGAGAACCTCTCCAGCCCTAATGCTCTCCCGTCAGGACGCTTAGCGCTCCAGTCACGCCAGTCTGACTGTGAAAGCACCTCTGAAGTCTGAAAGCAGCTCTCAAGTTCAGGGGGGGGGAGGGTTCGTTAGGATGCCTAACTCTTGCCTTAATAATTTTAATCTGCAGGGGTTCCCAAACTGGGGTGCGCATATCCCTCCTGCTCTTTTTAGTATGTATATGTCCCAGGGTTGTTCTAGTGTGTATGTCCCAGGGTTGTTCTAGTGTGTATATGTCCCAGGGTTGTTCTAGTGTGTATATGTCCCAGGGTTGTTCTAGTATGTATATGTCCCAGGGTTGTTCTAGTGTGTATATGTCCCAGGGTTGTTCTAGTGTGTATATGTCCCAGGGTTGTTCTAGTGTGTATATGTCCCAGGGTTGTTCTAGTGTGTATATGTCCCAGGGTTGTTCTAGTGTGTATATGTCCCAGGGTTGTTCTAGTGTGTGTATGTCCCAGGGTTGTTCTAGTATGTATATGTCCCAGGGTTGTTATCGTGTACTCACCTAATTGTACTCACCTAGTTGTGTTTGCGGGGGTTGAGCTCTGGCTCTTTGGTCCCGCCTCTCAACCGTCAATCAACTGGTGTACAGTTCCTGAGCCTACTGGGCTCTATCATATCTACACTTGAAACTGTGTATGGAGTCAGCCTCCACCACATCGCTTCCTAATGCATTCCATTTGTCAAGCACTCTGACACTAAAAAAAGTTCTTTCTAATATCTCTGTGGCACATTTGGGCACTCAATTTCCACCTGTGTCCACTATGAACTGTGAAATTCTGCACAGTTTCGGTATTAACAAGTTCGGCGGGTAGGCGGTTCCATGGGTTAATAACATCGTGGGTGACAAAGCATCTCCTGCCTGAACACTGCCGGAGTAATGGAGGGATCTTTCACACTCCGCTTGTTTCTTATCCCCATTGATGACACTATAGATGATTCTCTGTGTCGGGGGACAGGAAGACAGAGTGTATTCATACACGTTAGGCTTTTATCGAGTCCCCCCCCCCGGCAGGGACCAATTACTGACCCCGCCCAGGTTGCAACCCCACAACAAGCTGACTAACTCCTGAGTACCTACTTGCTGCTAGGTGAACAGGGGCATTGGGTGATAGGAAATGTGCCCCAACCATTTCTGACCCGCCCTGGCCCTCATACAGGTTAACTCAGGTCAACTCATGACCCTAACACCAACAACCTTCCGCAACCTTTATACAACATTTACACAACGGGAGCACTTGACACGGTGAAGTGACTCCAACCTCCAGCTACTCTCTCATCCACCAACACCATCCTAAACAGTCATCCGCCAGCCATCCACCACTCGCTACCCACTTAACAAACCACATAACAACTTGGCCCAGCGCGAGCCCCGGATATTTAGACAGCAAAACACGGGCTCAACATTCTGGCAAGGTTCCTGCCAATGGCCATTTCCTGCCAAAAACAATTCCCCGTTTTTTGTTGTTGTGAATTCGCAATTTCCATTATTGTTAGAATGGCAACGAAATATACAGCATTAAGCGCTGTTCTTCAACATTTAGAATGCATCCATGCAACAAGGAAAGCAAGAAGTGATAAAACAGAGAAGCAGAGTGAAGAGAGGACATAATCCCAGAAGAGTCTCTAGATTACAAGTGTAAACCTTACTACGCAGCAGTAACACGCTTGAACCATCCTCTTCCAGCCACAAGGTACTCGCCCACCTCTACATATATACCAGACCTGCAGTAATGTCCTTCCTCTAACACTGACATACACGCCAGCTCTAGCTCTAGCGCGCGCGCTCTCTCTCTCTCTCACACACTCACACTCACACTCACACACACACACACACACACACACACACACACACACACACACACACACATTTGAGCGCAGTAGGCTCAGGAATCTGTACACCAATTGATTGACAGTTGTGAGGCGAGACCAAAGAGCCAGAGCTCAACCCCCGCAAGCACAACTAGATGAGTACACACACACACCGGCCAGTTGGGGGGGGGGGGGACGCCCAGCCGAGCGGACAGCACGCTGGACATGTGATCCTGGGTTCGATCCCGGGCGCCGGCGAGAAACATTGGGCAGAGTTTCTTTCACACTATGTCCCTGTTACCTAGCAATAAATAGGTACCTGAGAGTTAGTCAGCTGTCACGGGCTGCTTCCTGGTGTGTGTAATTACCCAAGTGTAGTTACAGGATGAGAGCTACACTCGTGGTGTCCCGTCTTCCCAGTACTCTTTGTCGTATAACGCTTTGAAACTACTAACGGTCTTGGCCTCCACCACCTTCTCACCTAACTTGTTCCAACCGTCTACCACTCTGTTTGCGAAAGTGAATTTGCTTATATTTCTTCGGCATCTGTGTTTAGCTAGTTTAAATCTATGACCTCTTGTTCTTAAAGTTCCAGGTCTCAGGAAATCTTCCCTATCGATTTTATCAATTCCTGTTACTATTTTGTATGTAGTGATCATATCACCTCTTTTTCTTCTGTCTTCTAGTTTTGGCATATTTAATGCCTCTAACCTCTCCTCGTAGCTCTTGCCCTTCAGTTCTGGGAGCCACTTAGTAGCATGTCTTTGCACCTTTTCCAGTTTGTTGATGGGCTTCTTATCTGGGTGTGCATGTGTGCTGGTGTTCTGAGTTTTTTTCTCTTGGGTGCTTCGCCTCTCACTCCTCTCAATTCTCCAGTCCGTGCCCTGTAGCTATTGGGGGTGTTCCGGATTGCCGCTATGGGGAGGACGCCAGGTTTTCCCTGCGTATGGGCGTGGGGCTCCTCCTTCATCACTCCCCTACTCTTCTCCTGGATGTGCGGCTTTGCCTTCTTCCACTGGCGGTGCTCCCGACATCATCTTGGCTACGTTGTGTCGTGACATGCCGACGTTCTACAGGTGAGTTTCTGCGGTCTGGTGTCTCTTTCAGCCAGGCACTGGTTCGCAGTTTTTGGCTACGAATATACTTACATCGTAGCCCAGGTGACTGCAGCAGGCCTCTTGGGCCTTATGAGACAGCTCCTATTTATACCCATCCAGTCCCACTCTTATGCATTTACAACCCATTCTTGAGTCTGGCGCAGGGCCCCACCTCCACCAGGTTATGAGGTACGTTGGTGGGGGTGTATGTTATGGGGTAAATATTACTGTGTCAGGTTGTTATGAGGTGACGTTTTGCTGCAGTTTTCTTACTGTGGTTGCGTGTTGGGGATTGGTTGTGGTGTTTTGTTTGGCCCTTCCGTGCTTCTTCCTGGGGCCTTCCTTGTTCGTCTGGGTTCATTGTTGCAAGGGGCTCACGGCCCTGTTTTTCCCAGTCTTATCTGGGTCACTCCTTCCTGCCAGTCTTGCAGTGCCTGGCTTAGCCCTTCCATATACATTGGTTTCTCTGTGCTTGCCTTATTGTACTTCCCTAGTTGTGCTTGTGGGAGTTGAGCTCTGGCTTTTTGATCCTGCTTCTCACCTGTCATTTGCTGATGTGCGGGTTCCTGTGCCTGCTGGGCTCTATCCTGTCTCTGCTTGAAGCTGTGTGTGACGTCATCCTCCACCCACATTGCTTCCAAATGCATTCCGTTTGTCTCCTACTCTGCCACTGCTCTCTTCTTTCCAATATTTCTCTGACTCATTGGGCTCTTCTTCTACCGATGTCTCCTCGTGCGTGTGCCCCTGGGGTCCCATAGTCGGTGTATCTCTACCCTGTCAATTCTTTTGCGAATCTTGATTGTGGTGATCTTGTCCTCGTTGCTCGTACTCCTTGGTTCAGGTACTGGTCTGGTGGCATACCTTTGCGCCTTTCATTCCGTTTGCGACACATTGTTGTGGGGTTTTGTTGATCCCTTTTAGCTTTCCTCTTGTCAGGTTTGGGTTTCTGGTTTCCTGGCTTCCCTGCCTGTTGGCATTTTCTGGTCTCGTGGTTTCCCTTCTCTGGAGTCTTGCGTCCGAGCCGTCGGAGCCGCTCTCCTAGCCAGTCTGACATTAGCATATCAGCCTGGATAGCTCTGGGGAGCCTCCCGGTCTCACCCAGAAAATGGCGTTTCATTACATTCAACGCTGTTTTTTTCTCTATGATTTTCATCTCTTCTGTTGCTCTGTCCACCCTAGATGATATTTCCTTTTCTAAACACATTTAAACTATTATGGACTTAATTCTGTCTGCAGTGTTTTGTACTAATTTACTGTTGGCAACCAATTCTTTCCTAACTGTTTGCCTAACTTCTGCTTCTTGTTGGTCATTTCTGGTTTTGACTACAAAACACACTTCCTTGATTGTCTCTGTATTGGTTATCTGCCATTTTGTAATTGGCCTCATGAGTAAATGCCTCCCCACCCTCCTCCTAACACACACCCAGCCACCCACACACACACCCAGCCACCCACACACACACACACACACACAGCTACCCACAGGCATAAATAGTAAATACACTCACTTGCCCTGCCTCCCAGTGGGCCATGCAGACAATTTTGTACTCCACCATGAGGCTGCTACATGGATATTCATGCTGCCACGAATTTTAAAGGGACGCTCCACCAAGTTAGTACAATGATTTCATGCATGAAGGAGGTGCATGGGGACCAAGGAGAAAATTCATATGGACGAATTTTCGTAAGACGAATGTTCATAAACTGGGAACTCCCTGTATATGCTAATTCATAGATTATGGTGAGCATAATGCTTGAGAATAATAAATTCAAGCTTAATAAATTGTAGGCAAGCCTCGATAAGCCTAACAGGCTACCAGAACCTAACTATGGAAAATAAGAAACCATATATCGTAAATGTAACTTGACAGCAAGCTTTACCAGCCAACTTTATTCAAGTGAAATAGACCTAAACTCTTAACAAATAGAGGAAAGGTTACAAGGTACTTTACCTGTAAGGTCTCTTTGACAGTCTCAATGTCAGGATCATCTCTGGTAGCACAGTCAAGTTCTTCATGGAGACGCTGCTCTAGGTTGTTTAGGCCGACGTCCAAACTCCGAACGGCCATATCGTAGTCTTGCCATTGGCTAATGAGCGATGCCAAAGCACTACGACGACTTTCCATGTTCTCCAAAGCGGACTTCCATTCCCTAGTTATTTCTAACAGCTGGTTGCCAATACATACATGGCTTGATCTGGAGGCCTGCTGAAGAAGTTCATTGGCATTATCTGTAAAATCATTTATGATGTAACTCTGATCATACAGACGTACACGCTCTTCATCAATTCTCTGTAAGTTAACACGTAATGCTGCAACATTGATGGCACTATCATCAGTTAAAGTGTTAACATTGGCATCCTTTATGAGGCCTCGTGCCTTCTCCATAATCTTGTCATATTCCAGTGCAAGCTGAACATTTTTTTCGAGCTGAGCCTTGTGATCTCTTGCAGATTTAGTAACGTTATCAAGATCCTTCGTGAGCTTTGAGAGTTCTTCTGTTAGTTCATCTTGATCTTCACTAGTCAAAGACGGAACAATTCTCTCAGCAATGTTGCCTAATTGCTCAAGAGACTCACCAATCAAGCCTTCACTTGAAAAATAAGCTAAATGATCTTCAAGTTCTGATCGTACATTCTCATAGTCAACACAATCAGCATCAATAATGCGTTTATGTGCCTCGGTAATCCAATCATTGATTTTGGTAACGAAGTCTTCATAGTCTAAGCGAAGCATCTTTTCATCTTTAAGGTACTTAAGCCGGGATTCCAGCTCAAGTGGGAATGTAGCCAAAATCATATTTGCTTCTGATAATCTTTCCTGCAAAATATAGGGAAGACCCGTTTCTGATTTAGCTCTCTCCTTAATACTACGGAGTTTCTTCAGTTGCTCTTCAATGTCATTGGTAAGCTCTTCATGAGTTTCAAGCTCTTCATTGGCACTCTCTACTTCTAAAGTAAGCAGAGGCCGACTTTTTAATTCAGATTCTTGCTCTAGCAACCATTCCATTGTCATATTAAGCTCAACATGAATGCGTTTATGGCTCTCGGCTGATACCTCGTGCTCTGAGTGTCTTTTCTCCACTTCACGACGAAGAGCACCTAGGTTGGTCTTAACTAGTTGCAACTGTTCCATAATGGCATTGTGATCTTCAACAGTTCCTTCCTCACTTATAATTGACCCCTTGTCCTGTGCTGATGTTAACTGAGCTTCACATTCCTGAATTCTGGTTATTACGTCACCGTACTTACGGAGCTTATCTGTTACAGTCATCTCTGTCTGTTCAATGTCCCTCACAACAGTAGTATATCGGTTTGTAAATCCTACGATCTCATTAATAAGAGAAGTATACTGCTGCCTCACAAGTATTAACTGTCGTATCCTTGTAATCTGTTTTTCAAGCACTTGGATTAGCTCCTGTTGTTGCTTGATCATGTCCCGCATCTCACCTACACTAACATCAGATCCAGTACGCATATCATCTAGGCCCTTCCTAAATTCATTAACTTTTCTGAGGGCTTCCTGGTATGAGACCAGAAGATGTTGGGCATCTTCTATATTACGACCAACTGGCCTATTCAGAGCTTTGATTTCCTTCTGAATTGAGGAGAAGGTCAGTGCACTTTGTACTATGCGTTCTGTGTTGCGACGCTGAAGTGTAATGGTATTACGAACCTGTTCAGTCTTGTCACTAATAGAAGAGTTCACCCTCGATGTTTTATCCTGCAGGTCACGTACAATCTCTCCCAAGCTGAATTTGTCACCCTCAGTGAGGTAAGGTAAGAGATCCTCACAAAGATTGGCAATGCTGGTTACACGCTTGTTTGCTGACTCACGTTCATCTTCCATTTTTTCCAATTTTTTAAGATGCTCTGCAAGAACTTCAGCTGTATTGAGACTTCTGGTATCTGTCTGCAGAGCAACCTCTGCTTGGTGAAGCCATTTCTGAGCAATATCTACTTCTTTCTCAAAGTCACGCCTTGCTTCTAAAAGGTTAGAAAGACGGTTCAGAGTTCCAGACATAGTTTGACGAAGATTGTTCATTTTATCATCTACTTCTGTTAAGATATCATGTAATTCATCCTTCTCCTCTTCTGTACAGTCCCTGAATAATGCACTTCCCTGTCTCTTCACCCCTGACACACTAGTTTCTGCATACTGCTTCAGTTCATTGTCAAGTCTTCTGTACTTCTCAACTACACGCTCTGCAATCTCTGATTTGAGGGGCAGTAGGTCTGGACAAACCACTTCATCTGTCTTACCACTAATCCATGCACGCACTTGGTCTAGTGATTGTTCAAAGCTGCGTCGTTCTTCATAGGAGACAATCATATCATTCTTGATTTCCATTACAGTGGAATATAAAACACTTTGCTCTTCTGATGTCTTGCTGACTATGTTTTCAAGCTGTGCCAGTTCAGATTCTTCAACATCACCTTTGAGGTTTTCAATAGCCTTTTCCAGTTGTGCCAGGAGCATTCTCTTTGCAGAAACCTCCTTTGAAAGATCCTGAAAGTGAATACATACATATTTACTGACAAGATAAAACAGGATCAAATAATTTAATATACGAAACAAAAATGAGGTGTGTGATATTGATGATTAATAAAATCCTAAAATATAACTGGATATTTGTTCTTTTCACAAGTGATTGTGGAAGGTATCTCCAGGCCCGATGCAAGGCCTCAATACTGTACAAACAATCTGAAATATTGCTACAATTTAAGCTAAAGCTTAAAATAAGCTTTAGTCATTTAAGTTTTTCATGCCCGAAACGCTTTGCGTAATAGTGGCTTTAGGCATTGTATGTACTAGCCCTAACTATAAATCCATCACTCTTTGTAAAATCTCTTGTATGTATGTACCTTACCTAAATAAACATTTGATTTTGATTTGATTTGACAATTACATATTCTGTGTAATTTATGATACAAGCCCTACACCAACCACAACCACACAACACCCACCATAGTACACTGCCCACACATACGTGTGGTTGGTGTATATGTGCATGTGTACTCACCTAGTTGTGCTTGCGGGGGTAAAGCTTTGCTCTTTCGGCCCGCCTCTCGACTGTCAATCAACTGTTACTAACTACTAACTAATTTTTTCTTTTTTCTTTTCCCCACACACATACACACCACCAAGAAGCAGCTCCATAACAGCTGTCTAACTCCCAGGTACCTATTTACTGCTAGGTAACAGGAGCACCAGGGTGAAAGAAACTTTGCCCATTTGTTTCTGCCTGGTCCGGGAATCGGGCCATAGAATTATGAGTCCTGCGTGCCGTCCAGTCAGCTACCAGACCCCTATGTGGTCTGGTAGCTGGTAGTATCCATCGTATATATATATAATCTGGTAGTATCCATCGTATATATATGGTCTGGTAGTATCCATCGTATATATATATGGTTTGGTAGTATCCATCACGTGGATACGTGATGGAGGCGAGTACTACACTTGCCTAACTGTACTCTTCTACCCTAATTGTACTTGCAGGGGTTGAACTTTGGCTCTTAAGTCTCGCTTCTCAACTTTCAGTTAACATTTAATGCTATCATATCTACATTTTAAACTATGCATGGAGTCTGCCTTCACAACTTCATTTATTAGTACATTACATTTCTTCACCACCCTGACACTGTAAAAGTAATTTCTAATGTCCTAGTCTCATTTAGAAGCAGGTTGTGCATATAAATAATATGCATTACCTGGCATGGCATGGTATCTTATGTACTATACTGTACCTATATTGCTCTATGTGATCAATTACATATTTAACAAAGAAAGAAAGATAGTGAGAGGAAGAGATAGGCATGTGACCTGTATAGTAAACTATGCACAACATTTTGCTTCACATGTACAGTACAACCTTAGGGGAGGATCTGGTAGCTGAGTGGACAGCGCACAGGATTCGTAATCCTGTGGCCCGGGTTCGATTCCCGGCGCTGGCAGACACAAATAGGCAGAATTTGTTTCACCCTGATGCCCCTGTTACCTAGCAGTAAATAGGTACCTGGGAGTTAGACAGCTGTTACAGGCTGCTTCCTGGGTGTGTGTGTGTGTGTGTGAAAGGAAAAGAAAATAGTAGTTAGTAACAGTTGATAGATTAACAGTTGAGAGGCGGGCCGAAAGACCAGAGCTGAACCCCCGCAAGCACAACTGGGTGAATACAACTAGGTGAATATATAAATAAAGCAAATTAAAAACTACTGTATATAAAAATAAATGGAATGCAAAGATTAGAGTACAATAATTCAAATTATGAAGATTATACTTACATTGATCTCCAGTAGCTTGACTTCTGTGCTTTTACTGGAGTAACCAAGAAATGGTAGATTCCTTGAAAACTCCCTTTTTTCCCTCACCCACTTCTGTAGATTGAGGATGTCATTTTTGGAATCTTCGTAACCTTTCCGAGTCATTTCTATTACTTGCATTTTCTTACCGACACGTTTCTGAAGGTCGGAATACTTTTTATCAACAGATCTTAGCTGTTCCTCAACTTGCTGCACATCTAAACTAGACAGTTCAAGCATTACATCGCCAGCTTTCATCTTAAGCTCCTCCAGTTGAGTGCGAACATCTTCAAACTGGTTCCACAACTGTTGTACTTCAGCAGATTTTTTAAAAGAATCTATACTATCACTTTTATCACATTTTTCCAACTGTTTGATAATTGTGTCAAACCATCCATACACATGCTGAAGCTTACTTCTGTACTCTTCAATTTGCTGAATAACAACAGTGCGAGAATCTATGAGATTTGTAACTTCCTCTTCCAACCGGTTCATCTGTTCACGAATGTCTGAATCAGCCATGTCAGGAGCCAGATTCATTTGCTTGATTTCCAATTCATCTAAAATGCTTTGTTTCTCCATGATCTTGGATCGAAGGTCATTCATTTGGGAGATTTCCATGGCTGAGGCCTCAGATCGCAGTTTAGCAGGACGACTCTTAAAGTCTTGCACAATGATATGGTATTCCTCAATCCACTTCTTAATAGCATCATTTTGGCGAGCAAGCTCTTCCAGTTCACTTACTGAGTTGCTGATGGTAGACACTCGTGCCTGCACCTAAGAACAGAAGACACAACACATCTTAAGGTTAAGATGTTTATATGTTTATATGTTTATATGTTTAATATATATATATATATATATATCTATCTCTTAATATTAGGCCCAACTTTAACTAAAAGCATTACAATTTATTAAATTGTAAATGGCAGTAAAGGTCTTCAACAATGAGCATTAGACAGCATTAGATCTACAGTAACACCAAAAAGACTTACACAGATGCTAAAGTGACAAAATTTAAGTTTATAAATTGCTTTATCAATAATCAATATTTTGCAATGTTTTATAACCTCAGTCCATACTTGTGCCCTTAATTAAATGCCCTAGTACTGATTCTCACATGATTGATACTCAACATTTGCATTATGTTATAATTTAAAAAAAAAAGGGGTGTTGGTTCTCATTAAGAACCTGTTTCATTTTCATTGACAAGAATTTATCAACTGACTATTACACCACAGAACCCTAATATCCTTAAGGATATTAAGGACATTAAGAATATTAAGGACAAATCCTTAAAGATTTGTCAGAAAAACAATTGTAATTATGGAACCATTAAGGTCTAGTAATGAATATTTTGTTTTTTTCCTGACCTGTTCAATGAGATCCTCCAGCTTGGCTCTCACAGCCATTTCATTCTCTGGGATGGATTGAGAAATGACATCCTGCGGGGACCCTGGGCGGGAGATGGATGCCGTGGCAGCTTCACATGCCTGCACAGCAAAAGCCAACCGAGATTTCTCTCCTAGTAGTTTACTGTGCCATGACTTTGGAAAAAAAAAGAAAAAAGATCCCAATATTAGAACTACCTGGAGGAGAATTAAACAACTGCATGGAATTAGATATTTACAGTCATTACACACTATACTTAAAAGTTGCATTTCAACTTACCCTAGTGCACTCAAGATGATACTTTGCCTCTTCCATAGTTTGGATAGTTGTATCATTTTCCTCTAAAATAGTTGGTTCCCAGTCCTCTAAATTTTTCTCAATAGACTCTAGAGTAGCTTCATATTCTTCAAACTTGGCCAGAGACTCATTCAACCGTTTCTGGATGTGGTTAGCAGTGCTTAACAGAGAATTATAACTCTCCTGAATGTTGTGTAACTGACGTTCAATCTTGTCTTGAATTGATGGCACAGAACCAATATATCGATCAATTTGCTTGCGGCCTTTATTCTTAACTTCTTCAAGAGTCTGTTGGTATTCAATGATCTCTTCAAGCTCTTCATTATGACTCTCAATCTGTTCTTCAGTTTGCTCCCGATTACAGATATATAAGGAATTTTCGGCCATTAATTGGAAACTAATCTGAAGGAGCCACTTTTCAGTGTCCTGCAGTGCTACCTGGTATTCACTAAAGTCTGCAATTTCTTCTTCAAGTTTTGTTATGATCTCAAGACACTGATCATTAAGCTTCTCCCACTTCGATTCAGTTTCTTCTACACGGTTCAATATTTCTTCATCAGAGGCCCTTTCTGCAAATTCTTCTGCATCATCTAAAAGAGTCTGAACTTCTTCCTGTTTTTCTTGAATCTGAAGGGCAATGTGCTTGTAGCGTTCAAGGAAAGTCCGCATCTCAGCAACTTCTCCCCGAGAATCAGGTGTCTCCACCAGCAACTCCTCTAGCTCCAATAACCAAGCATCCAGTCTTGTTTGTGCCTCACTAAATTCTTCCCACCGATTCACTGCACTCTGATAATAAAAATGATTAAGAACTTTCAGTGTTTCTTGTTTTACTCAGACTATGATCAGATACTAGTTTTAACAATTACATTTTTTTAATTAACATAAAATTATATGCAGGCAATGAGTCACAATAACGTGGCTAAAGTATGTTGACCAGACCACACACTAGAAGGTGAAGGGACGACGACGTTTCGGTCTATCCTGGACCATTCTCAAGTCGATCAACTTGAGAATGGTCCAGGACGGACCAAAACGTCGTTGTCCCTTCACCTTATAGTGTGTGGTCTAGTCAACATAAAATTATATAGTGTAATGGGGGTTAACTAAACTAACCTTGAGCTTAGAGAGGGTAGAATTAAGTGAAATGGTTAAATGATCCCATTCATTACGAAGTTTTGTGAAATCCTGACGAATTTGGTCCTGTTGATCCACTTGTGAAAGGTTGAGGGCACGAGAGTAAGCCTCGGCCAAGACTCCCAACATATGCTGCCCTTCAGACAGTCGTGTTGACACTAGTTTCACAGTGTCTAGTTTGTCTCGTACCTGTGAATGATGAGTGCGAGAGAATAGTTGAAAACACATTTAAAATGATCAATATGAATAGAGTTCTGCTGATTGTATAAAAGACTGTACAATAATATTCAAACTACACTGCTATAAATTACATTAGTAGTTTCTGTGTATTTATACTTATATGCACCTCTCTTGTTATTATTAATGATCAAACAAAATACTGTACACAGATGACTCGTAAAGTTGTATTTTAACATGCCTGTGCTCAACAGACTGTTCACATGCCACCTTCCACAGTGAAGTTAAGGTGGCCAGTGGAAAACCAAAGTGTTTATACTCTTTTTCTAATTTGTAAAAATTATTATAATTATTGTCCATAATTTGTTTCTACATATAAATATTTGCAAATGTATAAATGTATAAAACTAAATGGAAAATATTAATTGCTTAAATATTTATGCTTATTTACTTAAATTTATCTGAGGGCTACCATCTCCAGGGGTCTCAATGGAGGACAGGAAACTGGCAGCTTATCAACGTTCTAATTATTTTTTCTTTGTAAAGCCATTTATTATTGTACAATATTTTTGTACTTGTAAATACAGTAGTTGCAAATAATTTCTTTATACAGAACTATAATACGGAAAAAATTGCATAAAGATTTATTGTTAATTCACACTGTGATGAGACTGAAACGATATATATATATACACACTGATCTCCAAATATAATATGATATATGATCTCCAAAATAATTCTCAAATAAATTTCCAAAACATGTGAGAAGGTAGGATAACTCAAGGCTTAAATGAGACACTGTAGAACAATAGGGAGTTTTATCTGCCCACCATATGGTCCATTATGTTCCACCCAATCATGTGACTTAAGCAACATCAGTATGGATAAACTATATGTTCGGTGAGAATTTATGAGTCGACGATGTCTATATCATCAGAAAACAGGTATAAGCTTATGAATTATGCATATTTCATCATCTGAACATGAGTGGTAATCAACAAAGATTACCACCTAGATTTATATACAGTACACTATGGTATTTTGCTGCTGACTTACCACTTCCTCTGAGCCAGTATCATCCTCACAATCATTTACCGTGCCCTGAGAGCGTCCCAGCCACTCTTCGAATTCTGTCTTGGCCGTAACAAACTCTGTGTGGTCAGTCAAGGTTTTCTGGGCAATGACAACTAGACTCTGTAAATTATTAAAAACCTATGTAGCAGACTTAATATTAACGATGTTTTTATAATGAATATACATATCATCAATTAGTTATTAACTCACTGCAGCTAAATAAGGATTCATTTAATCCATCAGACTTCAGTATTTTTTTAGTCCTTTAGTTTAGTTTCTATAGTTAGGTGTAGGATATCTATATAATCATATAAATTGTGTCCCTGTCCCAGTGGTTGGCTGGTATTAAGTGTTGTTTGATCTGTCCATCCCAGAGTGGGTATTGCTGAGCACATGTTATCTTGAGGTTATCTTGAGATGATTTCGGGGCTTTTAGTGTCCCCGCGGCCCGGTCCTCGATCAGGCCTCCACCCCCAGGAAACAGCCCGTGACAGCTGACTAACACCCAGGTACCTATTTTACTGCTAGGTAACAGGGGCATAGGGTGAAAGAAACTCTGCCCAATGTTTCTCGCCGGCGCCTGGGATCGAACCCAGGACCACAGGATCACAAGTCCAGCGTGCTGTCCGCTCGGCCGACCGGCTCCCACATGTTCTGTGTTCCATCAGTCATTGTCCATGATATTTGTTTGTTAACTAGTAAGAATCTTGTCTGTTAGAATATTTGGAATTTCCAGTTATTAGAGTTGTGAGAAGATTGTAAAGTCACACCTTGTGTTAGAATGTCTGGAATTTGTAAGTGTAAGATTGTAAAGTAAAATAATGACTTAAGTCTCGGTCTTAGTGAGACCAGTATTCAGAGTACCGGTAATTCTAATCCAAGGTAGTACATGCTCTGTGAAAATATTACTTCCATTTTAATAGTTATTGTGTAAAGTAACTTTAAGCTCTAGAAGTAAAACTCATTGTAATATGTTTTACATATTACAATAATAAATAATAATTATTACTACATATTATTACAATAATAAACCATATTATTTATTATAAAACAAAAAACAGTTTTTCTGGGGGGAGCCCCTTCAGCTCCCCGGAACTATTCGGGCTGATATGAATGTTCAGTATTAGGCCCTTGGCATCAGTCAAGCGAATGTAGTTCTTAGGCCTACTGGGGACCACAAGCCAGAATCTTGTCTCCCTCAGAGAGGCACGAGGAGCAATGGCCTATAGAAACCGCCGTGTGGTTGGAAGCATTCTATGTCTGCCAAGACACAGATATCAAGTGTCTTGGTGCCTACCCGAGCCTTCGCTCAATGTGTTCACAGATGCATCATCTCTTGGCTGGGGCTTTGTGACCAGTGCTCACTAGGCTGGCCAGTGTCGGTGGTGCCTGTCCTTCCGTCGGGCTCACAGCATGGTGCAGGAGTTCTCAGCGGTGTGGCTGTCCCTTCAAAGGGTTCGTGTTGCTCACGGATTGACGATCCGGCTCCATTCGGCCTGCTCCCTGGTGGTTTATTGCCTAAATCACGGGGGTTCGAAGCGGTCTTTGGCTCTTTGGGGCTGGTCGCTTCGAGTAACTTGTCTGCTGAGTTCTTGGGGTTTGGCTCTCCTGGCTGTTCACGTTCGAGGGGTGGCCAACGTCCTGGTGGATGGCCTGTCTCAGTTCATTTCTCTGTCCAAGGAATAGACAGTCGACGCCGACTCGTTCAGTTGACCCTGTCGGATGTACAGGCTCCCGAAGGTGGACCTCTTCAGTCAGCGTGGTCGCGGCATCTCCCGTTATATGTAGCGCCCTTTCCCAACTGCGAGGCCATTGGGGTCAATGCCTTCAGGCAGGACTGGTCAAGGTGGGGTTACTTGTATCTCTTTTCCTCGGTCCCACTGTTGCTCCAGGTCCTAGCTCGCTTGGAGACTTGCCAAGGGAAAGTAGTCTTGTTGGCCCCTTAGTGGCCGGCCCAACCTTGGTTTCAGGCATTGCTTGCTTGGTGTCCGAACCCGGGGGTCTTCCAGCGGCTCCGCCTCTTTGAGCAGATCTGGTCAGTCCGTTACATAACTGGTTCGATCTTCTCAAGTCTTCGCATCTGGTCTTTTTGACGCGGGTCTATCACCTCTTGCATAGTGAGTAGGTGGGTTTGTTGATGGTGTCCCACTTGTGTGCTTCGTCACGGCAGCAGTACTGGTATAAAGTTTCCTGGTGGTCCTTCCATTATTTCTTGTCCCTCTGTAGGTTTTCTTCTGTTTCGGATCAGGTTGTCTTGTAATTTCTTTTCTGGTTGTTTCAGGGCCATCAACTTATGCCGAATACTGTCGCCTCGTTTCGTGTGGCGCTGGTGGAGCCGCTTCTGCTTGTGTTCGGGGTGGATGTTACTTCTGCTCCATCCTGCTGAAAGATGTGGAGCCACGGAAAAATGCCCGGGTTCAGACACTGAGCATGCAGCGCCTGAAACCAAGGATGGGCTAGCCACCATGAGAGCCAGGAGAACAACTCTCCCCCGAAAGGATTCCAGCCGAGCCAGAACCCAGCGCAACAGCTGGACTGGGGGAAAATAGGTACAGAAAACCCCACCTTGACCAGTCCTGCCAAAAAGCATCCACTGCGAGCACCTTGCAGTCGTGGAATGGCGGCACGTATAATGGGAGACACCAAGACCACGCCACCTTCGGGCACCCATATGTCCGGAAAGTCATAGAAAAGAAATGGCGATGACCATCCACTCCATGGAAGAGGAACGAAGCGTGCCAGGCCGGCCGCCCGCACATTAGACACTCCCTGAACGCGAAAGGCATGGAGAGCTAACTCTTGAGAACGCAGCAGAAGAGCCACCCAAAGTGACCAGTTCCAAAGAGCCATGGACCAGAGCAATATCTCTCCCCACGTGAGACAACAAACCACAGGGGAGCAGTCCGAAAGGAGCCGAATCACCAAGTCCCAAAGAAGTTGAATTCTCCACAGCGCCAGCCACACAGCCGCAAATTCCCGCATTGTTCTGTGAAATTGATGCATTGAGAGCCGCCAATGCCCTCAGCCAGACTGGTAAGCATTGGTCACAAAGACCCAGCTGACAGACGAGGTGCCAGTGAACACATCGAGTGAGGGAGGAGGAAGGCGCCACGTCACTGAACCCCGAAAACCTGAAGAGGTGTCTGGTGATACAGCAACCGGCTCTGGGACACCAGAGATGAACCCAGCAATTGCAAGAGCGGCGAAAGAGGCCTCCCTGAATATACTAGAACAGCTTCCAAAGCTAAACCCTGCCCAGTGGATAAATAAGAAGAGCAAAGTTCAGGCTCCCACAGAGCTGCACGAGCAACTGCCGAGTAACCCGGGTCCTCCCTCACAAAAACAACCGAAGGCAGAACCACAACTGGAGCAAGGCTCCTGGAGGGAGAGAAAGACGCAGTCCAAAAATCCTGCACAACCAAGTCCAAATCTGGGACAGGACCAACTGGGATTTCCACCGGCTCACCAGGAACCTGAACTTGGGGAGCTGGGAAAGAGCCAGATCCCTGGGTAGCAGACAAGAAGAACAGATGGGAGCCCACACCAACCAGTCGTTGAGGTAAGTCAACCTAGCAGCTCGAAGCTCGAAGCTCATAGCTCGAAGACCTAGCAGACGAAGACAGACCACCAAGACCCAAGTCAAATGCGTAAAAATGCGAGGTGCTAGATCAACCCAAAAACAGACAACGGAAGCATCCCGCCCCACGTCAAAAACCAGCCAAGCCCCGAACCCCCTTTGAGATGACCCTATGGATGGACAGGAAGGAGGCCTGTCTCCCCCCCCACCCAAGCCCCCCCCCCTGAAAGAAGAAAGGGCCACCCAAAGCCACCGAAGGCCATAAAAACAACCCAAAAAGCCCACGAGTAATGGGACCAAGGGAATCCCATGGGAGCGAATCCCCTGGAGAACCAACAAGTCCGAAATGGGCCGGCAATGAGCATTAGTTGCCAACAGAAACTGAGCAACACAGTCTTCTAGGTACAACAGATGACAAAACAGCAAAGACTGAAGAGCTAGTGCCCAAGCCGAAGCCAACACAGCCTGTCAACATGTGAAATGAGAGGTGAATAAATTAGAAAACCATCTCCTGGAGGATTGGCACAAACAGCTTCAGCAAGGCAGGTGACGCAGAAGCAGCTGAGACCAAGACCCCCAGCTGAGGGACTCCCACCCTGTGCTGGCTCCCACGTCCTTTGAAAGCCAATTTGAAGACAGCTCTGGAAGACTCTGGAAGACTAAAGAAATGCAAGATACAGGCCAAAGGAACGAAAAGCCGAAGTCATCCACCACCAAAGTAGCCAAAAGAGTGGGGACCTGAGAATGCAGCTGTACTAGACCAACAACACGAGGAAGTGCAGGGGCGAAGAGGCACTCATTGAGAAACTCCAAAGAATCCCCCAAGAACACAAGCAACACTGTGGAAACCTCCCACTACTCAAGTGTGCAGGTACAACAATAGCCACTTCAAGCCCAAAAAGAGAAGAAGGAATAGTCTGACAGCAAGGAAAATTCAGGAACCACGGAACACTCCCAAGATGGGGAAGAGGAGCCGAACTGAAAAGAAGTCAGCTCCAACACCAAGGCGTAAGCCGGATCCCACAGGAGGTAAGCATGAAAAGCCTTCCGAAACTCCACAGAGGAAATGCGAGAGGAAGAAAACCTCGAAATGAAGAATCTGAGGACTCCAAAGGACCCCAGAAACGAACCCAGAGAGGAGATGGGGGAGTGGCTTTGCCTCTCCCCTACCTCCTTCACCACCTTTGCCACTGGAGGAGTGGCTTTGCCACTCCTCCACCTGTATAGGAGTGGCTTTGCCACTCCCATAAAGGGAGGGAAGGTACGAAAACCCCCACTCCTGCAGAAGAAGCTCCTGAGCAGAGGGTACAAGGTCCCAAGTGGAGTCACAAAGAATCCAAGAGCGTCATGCGGACTTCTACTCCGAGCCCCAAAAACTATCAACAAAGGGCCCCAGCAGAGCCCTCATTCATGCCGCTGCCTCAGAAGAAAAGGCAGAGTCCAAGGTAAAGGCTTCAAAGAAGGGAGTCTGCTGGATTGACTCAGAAGCCTTGGTGGGAAAGAGGGGGCTCAACCATCTTCATTCCCGCATTGGAAAGAGGCAGCCTCCGAAGCCAGCGGAGCTTCGCCCAGAGCTAAACCCAGCCCCAACTACAAAACCCTCAGATAGCATGCGGGACGTGTGATCCTGTGGTCCTGGGTTCGATTCCGGGCGCCGGAAAGAAACAATAGGCAGAGTTTCTTTCACCCTAATGTTCCTGTTACCTAGCAGTAAATAGGTACCTGTGAGTTAGTCAGCTGCCATGGGCTGCTTCCTGGGTGTGTGTGGTGTGGAAGAAAAAAAACCAGCGTTGTAATAGTTGATTGACAGTTAATTTGTGGGCCGAAAGAGCAGAGCTCAACCCCCGCAAGCACAACTAGGTGAATACAACTAGGTGAATACATTTGGGAGCCAGATGCAGGGTAGGAGCAGCAGGGTAACTGCTAGCCACTAGCAGTTACGAACATCCCAGGGAAAATAATTCTGAGATGCAAAGACAGTACCTACGGAGCATCTTAGAAAGGTGGCCCCTAGGTGCATGTTGTTCCAGTACTCGAAACTCCTAGTAACACGCACACATCTGTTTCATAACAGTCACAAGAGCAAAACACCAAAGAAAACGGGAGCCAAAGGGACAGCAACCACTTGTCACGACTGCATCAGTCAAATAACTGGTGGTGCCGGCCTGGGGTGGTGGGGTGGAGGTGACAAAGGGGGGGGAGAGAATACTTGGATGAAGTTTTGCTTCTTTATTTGCATTCTGGGGGAGTTCTTTTGCACTTGTGGGGATGTACCTCACTATTTTCAACCAGATAGTGGCCTGTTTTGATCGCCTACCTTTCTGGGTCCCTTCCTGGTCGCTGGCAAGATGACATAGTTTAAATGTAAAGTGTTCATGGCCATTATTCCCTTCACCTCTCTGAGGGGATGGCCAGGTTCTGGCTCATGGTCGAGGGTCCAGGAACGGGCTGTGGGGATGCTAAGCCCTGAAAACACCTCAAGGTAGGTCCCTGGTAGGCTAACATGTGACTCTGTGACTGATGACACTGAAGTAGTATGGCCCTGATTAGTTGGATAGCTTCAAGAAGCCGACGGGGCCCCCCCACAGAAAAAAATACTGATATACTGGCATACCATTGTTGAGGGACATGAAAATTAATCATAATATTTAGCAGAATAATTAACAATAATTTGAGACAGAATGGGATTTAACACTTTTGCTGCCCGATCATGCATATTCTGTCACAGAACCAAAATTTGGAGCGAGTGATGATGCAAACAGGGTCACTAATTTAATTTTTTTTTTAAATTCCATTTATTGTCCAAATACTATAGGACTTGTTTTAAAATGCGTGCCAATGTCTTCCCATTCTCTATATACCCCACATGGGATCCAGACCCCGCCGTATGGGTGCCCACCCACACTGGAGGCCCATTGTTCTCGTGACCTCACTCGTGACAGCCATGGCCTCCCCTCGAGTCAATAAGTTTCCCCATTCCGGTTATTTTATCTCAGGTATTTGTTGTTACCGGCTTCATAAACACTGCAAATTGACTTCCAGATGGATACTGATCAAGAACAGTGCCAATCCATTACAAAAGCATTGAAAGAAACACATATGAGGGAAAGTTATTGAGTGTTCGTCAAAAGTAAAGATAAGTGAGACATATCAGTCCAGTCTCACTACACCAGTCTCCGTGGCGTAGTGGTAAGACACTCGCCTGACGTTCCGCGAGCGTTTTGTCACGAGTTCTTATCCTTGCCGGGGAGGATTTACTGGGCGCAAATCTTAACTGTAGCCTCTGTTTAACTCAACAGTAAAATGGGTACTTGGTTTTAAAAATGATTCTTCATGGCAGGGATCATATTCCAGGGGCCTGCCCGAAACGCTACGCGTACTAGTGGCTGTACAAGAACGTAACAACTCTTGTATGTATATGTTCTTATATGCAAATATCCCTTTACAGCATTCTATTGTGAACAATTTGATAGTTTCATATGAAATTGAATGATGTAGCACAAAAATTGAGGTGAGAAAGTTGAAAAGAATGTAAACATTGCAGTGTTGTGGTGAGCTCACTGGCAACGCTTGGGCTTCCTTGTGGTGTATGGCGGATCTAAAGTGTAGGAAAGTGAGACTTTTATATTTTTATATGCAAACATCCCTTTACAGCATTCTATTTGCGAACAATTTGATACCAAATTGAATGCCGTAGCACGAAAGTTGAGGTGAGAAAGTTGAAAAGAATGTAAACATTAGAGTGAGGTTGCGTGCTCACGGGCAACACTCGGCCAACTTAGTGGCGTGCGGCTGGTCGCCCGTCGGCCCAGTGAAAGTGTTGAAATGTAAACAAATTATGAATTAGTGATGCTTCAGAAACACTGTCCAAGAAACCAGTGAGATACAAAAGGAAGTTCATTAATTTTTTCATAACAGTATTTCCAAAGCAACTAAAGACATCTAATCTACAAATGTAATGCAAAGACAAACATTGTAATTTACAGATATATTTTTTCAAAATAAATTAAAAATTAAAAGATTAGTGATAGAGTATCAACATATAAAATAAAGAAAGAACCTTCAATAGAACTTGAAGCTAATGTAATGGCTGTACTTCATACCTGTAAATTAGTGAGGACATTGGTGTATGTTGACTGGAGCTGGACAGTCATATCTCTGATGGGAGTGTGTGCACTATAATCCATAAGCACTTCACAGCGGTCATTCAGCACCTCCAGATGGACCTTTTTGCTGTTGGCCTCCACTAGAAGCTCCTGCAAAGAGGTCTTAATTTGGAGAGGAGAAAGTGTCAGTCACAGTTTTGATTAAAAGGAGCAGGGGTAGATGGGACATAAGGAATAGTTATGTTTAATGGTGCTAGCATGCTTGGAATGACCAACTCACTTTCATGGGTAATTTCCCTATACAATTTGTATTACTGCATTTTGTGACAGTTTCACATTGTCTTTAATTATTAAACAGTAGTTATCTTACTAAAGGCAACCCATAATATGTGGAAAAATCTATATACAGCACTGTAAATTTTATGAATTCCCAGTTGGTGCCTTCTCAGGTTCAGAATGGATTGGGTATAGCCTGGAAAGCCAGGATGATGACCTTTCTGCTATGGTCTGCCTTGTGATTACACCTCCATTGCTGGCTGGTGTGCTGATAAGGTTTTCACTTTCCTGTTGTGGACATTGAGAGCCTCTTAGGTGGCCTAAACTTCACTGTGTGGTTTACCCTATGGCCTGTATCAGAGTGAAGGTGCTCTACAACAAAGAGGGCACAACAAAGGGGATATTAATTGGGTATTAAAAGTATCAACACAAGAAAGAACATGAAACAATGGGTATAAATTGGATAAGTTTAGATTTAGGAAAGACCTGGGTAAATACTGAACAAATCCACAAGGGCCGTGATGAGAGTTTGAAACTGCATCCGAGAGGATCCTAGATGCGCCTTAATCGACTGTGTCACGACACGATCAAAAGAATTGCAACCGGGAGTTCATCTGCACAAACCATAGATCCTGCAGTATCTGGGTAAATACTGGTTTGGGGACAGGGTTGTTGATTTGTGGAACATAAGAACATAAGAACAAAGGCAACTGCAGAAGGCCTATTGGCCCATACGAGGCAGCTCCTATTTATAACCACCCAATCCCACTCATATACTTGTCCAACCCGCGCTTGAAACAATCGAGGGACCCCACCTCCAGCACGTTACGCGGTAATTGGTTCCACAAATCAACAACCCTGTTACTGAACCAGTATTTACCCAAGTCTTTCCTAAATCTAAACTTATCTAATTTATACCCATTGTTTCGTGTTCTGTCTTGTGTTGATACTTTTAATACCCTATTAATATCCCCTTTGTTATGTCCATTCACCCACTTGTAAACCTCTATCATGTCACCCCTAACTCTTCGCCTTTCCAGTGAATGCAACTTAAGCTTTGTTAATCTTTCTTCATATGAAAGATTCCTAATTTGGGGAATTAACTTAGTCATCCTAAGAACTGGGTAATTGGTAATTGGGAACCAATTACCACGTAACGTGGTGGAGGTGGGGGTCCCTTGATTGTTTCAAACGTGGGTTGGACATGTATATGAGTGGGATTGGGTGGTTATAAATAGGAGCTGCCTCGTATGGGCCAATAGGTCTTCTGTAGTTATCTTTATTCCTATGTTCTTATGTTCCCTAGTGGGTGTCCTCTTGCCACAGTTAAGACAATGTGATGCATGTACTACCTCACTTGTGGTGAATCTTAATTCAAAATTTTCATCTCCAGGCTTTTTGGGGCCCATTCCAGTCTCATCCTTCACCACTACAATCTGTTCATATATACATCAAGATTAAGAATTTATCTCCAGCTGTCACCACTCTGGTCACGATCAATGGGTTTCTTATCTTCAGAAGTCCATTGACTCAACCATAGAACATAGTTTCTTACCATGTGGGGTTTGTTTTGTTATGCCTACCTTTCTGGGAGCCTAACCCCGGTCAATGGCAGATAAGGAAAACCCACAACCACAGGGGGGGGGGGTTTCCAAGGTCATTGCTCCCTGAAACCTCTGTTTTTTTTATCTAGATTCCAAGCCTAATGCCAGCTTTCCCCATTTCCAACACAGCATTTTATCTAATTTTAGCATGATAAACCATTGTACAGACATTCTTAGTCAAAGCAAACTAATGCAGTTGATGACAATTTTGAAAATAAAATATGCAGTTGGTCATTCATGATTAGAAGAAAGTTATGTGGTGCAGGAAAGGAAAGGTGACGAGGGCCAGATAACTGCAGACTCTCAAGGGAAGAGCAAGGGAAGATGCAAGTATGTAACCAGTAGCTGGAGGGTTAAGATGGAGTAAAAAGACAATGGCTCGGCAGTAGTGTCCACGACCTGAGTAAATGCAAGAAAAGTTCAAGCTGAAAATAATGGATGGTGACAATTATGATACCAAAGGGGAAGGGAAGGGGAAAGGGGTGAGCAGCTTTTCTCAAGACAAAAAATATTTTAACTGATCACAGGGGATAATACATATGGGCAATGAATAACAGGCTTAAAAAATTGCTGAAAATATTAGAAAGAATTTGGAATGGATGACAAAATTTAATAAAAATAATACATAATATTTAAATTAAAATTTTAAAGACATATTAGAACAGTATAGCTACTAATTCTTGGTAGACTTGGAAATAGCACATTTAAGTTTCTAGCATATAAAGCTAGAAATGTAAGGTTAATTTTAGATCTAACAACAACGCTTAATCCTCACACTGTCTAGCTAATGCTCACATTGTTACAATTACCTGTATATTATTTTTGTTTTCTTGTAGTATTATACTTCTTAAATTTATTAATAGAAGAACTTCTAAACATTATTTGAATTTAAAATGGTTGGATCTTCCACATTATAACTTGTAAACAAATGTACCTCTCAGTGACAGCATATTTTCTTAAATATGATGATCAAATAATAATTTTAAAAGTATCAAAGAAAAAGCATTAACAATTTGCAAAAAACCCAGCGTTGAATGAAAAGAAACGCTATTTTCTGGGTGAGACCCAGAGGCTTCCCAGGGCTATATCGGGCTGATGTGTATATATTAGACAGTGACAACAGTCAATTGAAGGAGTTCTAAGCCTACCAGGGACCAGAGCCTGAACCTGGCCCCCTCAAGAGAGGGACGAGGAGCAATGGCCTACAGACACCCCCGAGTAATTAGAGGCAGTGTTTGTCTGCCATCTATCAGTTCAAGAACCCAATAAGGTAGGAATTTCAAAACAAACTATTGCTGGTCAAAAAACTGCAAACCGAAAGCCGAACTAGCAAACAGAACTCCCCAATAAAACACAAGGAAACAAACATGACGTCACTACAACCGTTGCCCATCCATCTGCGCAATCACCCTCCCCGGGAGGGGGATCGGGGGTCCCAGACCTCCACGCCGGCAACTCTCCTCAGTTCAGAGGCTGAGAATCAAAAACGCAAAAAACTGCCGACCAGAGGTAGGGAGGGAGGGATGCCGGGGAGCCTCCAGGTCTCACCCAGAAAATGGCGTTGCATTACATTTTTCACTGGTTTTCTGTGGAGAGCCCCTTTGGCTCCCCGGAGTTACGTAACCAAAGATAAGAAGAAAAGGGACTCACCCGGGAGGCAGTCATCACTCGCTCCTCAACTCAAAGTCGAGACAACAGGCCGCATTCTGCGACCTAAGGCTATACATGCCCAAGAAGGACTAGGAACATTAACAAGGTAACATGCAGCCAGGACCCTGTCCCTGTTCGACCTCCAAAAGCCCTGTGCCCAAAAGATAGGCCAGGACATTACCAAAATAGCAGCCGAATGCCGAACTTAAGAACGGTATGGGCACGGGGAAAGATCGCAGGCTGGCTGGACCAAATAATCCTGCTAACAACCTGGGAGACCCGCTCCCTGGAACAGGGAAGAAGGAAAAGTGGGGAGGGTGGGGTTGCGCAGACGGATGCGCGGTGGTTGTAGTGACGTCATGTTTGTTTCCTTGTTTTTAATTGAGAAGTTCTGTTTGCTAGTTTGGCTTTTGGTTTGCAATTTTTTGACCAGCAGTAGTTTGTTTTGGAATTCCTACCTTTCTGGGTACCTGACCTGGTAGATGGCAGACAAAGACTGCTTCCAATTACTCAAGGGTGTTTTTAGGCCATTGCTCCTCATGCCTCTCTTGAGAGGGCCAGGGTCTGCTTCTGGTTCCTGGTAGACTTAGAACTCCTTCGATTGACTGTTGTCACGGTCTAATATATACACATCAGCCCGGTATAGCTCCAGGGAGCTGACAGGGCTTCCCCACAGAAAACATTTCTCAGCTTTAAATCCATCCCCAACTTCCTGGTAGCCATTATCAGCTGGTGGTTTTCTACCTCGTGGATCCCAAACCATTAATGACTGGCAGTTCAAATTTTGAAGATTAATGTCTTTCTTTCAAGGCAGTGCAAGGTTTAAGAAGTGATATATTTATTGTTCACTAATTAGAAATAAGCTTTCTAATTTGAAAAAAAAGTAGAGTACACTTAGACAAATCTAAAAAAACAAGAAGATTGCGAGGGCAAGCTGGAGGTCCAGTGAGACGGAGGTGGATGTACGGAGTAGGGGAAGGGGGGGTAAGAGGTCACGTCACACAAAAACAAAGGGATAAAAGTGAAGAAAAATTGCAGCCCTTATGAGATGTTAGTAAGTGGAAGTAACATATTTTGTCAATGCTATCTACACTGAAATTAACATTTACATACTTGTATGATAAAATGCTAAGCAAGAAGACAACAAAAATATTTTAACAAAATATAGCCTTTACGTTATAAAGCTACCGAGATGCAAAAAAATCAACTACTGTATGTGTAATTTAACAAAAATATAACTACTGTACTATAAAAGCAATATGAAAAGTTTTATAATAAAGCAGTGTAGACAAGGCAGAAGCCAACAAAACATATTTAACATACCTTCCACTTTTCAAGATCTTCTGGAGTAGGCTCCTCAGGCTCCTGTGCTACCTTCTGCTGAAAATCTATTAACCAAGTATTGAGATCTTTGTAGGTCTCAGTAAACTCGTCCCATATTTGTAAACACTTTTCCATTGTGCGACGAATGTCAATGCTCATCTGCTGAAGGGATTCCCACTCCATACGTAGTGTATCTGCCTCACTACGAAGAGTGTAATGACCATCTTCAGAAGTGGAATGTCGAATTGATTTATTGAGCTCAATGGCTTTGTTGATAAGTTCCTCACCCTCTGGAAATTCTTCTGCTATATCTTCCTGTTGCTGCTGCTTCTCTACTACCTCTTTTTTTTCCCCATGGCTGTCTGCAAATTGTTGCATTGTTATGCGAGTTTTCCTCAACCAGTCACTGGCCTCAACAGTTGAATTATGATAGGCTTCGTGTTCTTTAACGTACACTTCTAGAGTCTTGATATTGTCAATTACTATTTTCTTTATGGAATCATATTTATTGAGACATTCATCTACCTCTTCCTGAGAGTATCCCTCATCATTTCTCTTTGCTGCAAGACGCTCCACCATGTCAAAATGAGCAGCAATATCACGGAGAAGAATGCGATACTTCTCCAGAGCAGCACGTTTGTCACTTAATTCACTGAAAAGCACACCCTGTTCACAAGCTTTTGTGTTCAGCTCCTCCAACCACTCAATAACAGTTTTGTGCATCTTCTCAGTTTCCTCTCGACGTGATTGTTTAGTGCTAAGATTTTGATGCATGCCGTATATATCAGACATGAGCTTGTCAAACTCTTTACGCACATTTTCAGTATCTTCCTGAATCCTGGCTGCACCTATCTGTTCTGTATTCATAATAACACGTTCCTTAAGCTCAAGAACATATCTTAGCTTATGCTGACCTTGTTCTAGTGTGTTCTTTATAGCTTTCACACCAGCTAAATTTTCTTTGAGCTCCTCCAATGATGATGCTTCTCCAGCACATTCGTTTAGTTTCTTGCGAGTGCGATCAATCCAGTCATTGCACTCTGCATACAGCTGGTGGTGCTGCTGATGCTCCTGGAAGTGCATTTCCAGGCGGCGCATTACCTCCTTGGCCAGTGACAGCAGTGTGTTGTACTTTGTAGTTAACTGTGTGACGGCATTACTCACACGGGAGTCAGCACAGGTCTCCAATAACAGTTGTGCGCGCATATTGAGCAGATCCAGAGTTTTCTGCCAGTCAAATATCATTTGCAGAGTACTTTGGAACTCTTCCAGTACCGATCGCTTCTCCTGAACGGTGTTCTGAAGCTTATTATAGCTCTGTACCTTTCTATCCATTTTATCTAGCCAAATTTCACATTCTTTAAACTTATCTTCATATTCTGTCCACTTAACAATGCCCATTTCCAGAAGATTCTTTGTTTTGCCAACTTGACCTCTGAAACAAAAAATAAAAAAAATATAGAAAAATGTACAAAAATAGATAAAAACAAACTCTGTAATTATATATATAGAGATAGAGATAGAGATAGGAGAGAGAGAGAGAGAGAGAGAGAGAGAGAGAGAGAGAGAGAGAGAGAGAGAGAGAGAGAGAGAGAGAGAGAGAGAGAGAGAGAGAGAGAGAGAGAGAGAGCGAGAGAGAGAGCGAGAGAGAGAGCGAGAGAGAGCGAGAGAGAGAGAGAGAGAGCGAGAGAGAGCGAGAGAGAGCGAGAGAGAGCGAGAGAGAGCGAGAGAGAGCGAGAGAGCGAGAGAGAGAGAGAGAGAGAGAGAGAGAGAGAGAGAGAGAGAGAGAGAGAGAGAGAGAGAGAGAGAGAGAGAGAGAGAGAGAGAGAGAGAGAGAGAGAGAGCGAGAGAGCGAGAGAGCGAGAGAGAGAGAGCGAGAGAGAGAGAGAGAGCGAGAGAGAGCGAGAGAGAGCGAGAGAGAGCGAGAGAGAGCGAGAGAGAGAGCGAGAGAGAGAGCGAGAGAGAGCGAGAGAGAGCGAGAGAGAGCGAGAGAGAGAGAGAGAGAGAGAGAGCGAGAGAGCGAGAGAGCGAGAGAGAGCGAGAGAGAGCGAGAGAGAGCGAGAGAGAGCGAGAGAGCGAGAGAGCGAGAGAGAGAGAGAGAGAGAGAGAGAGAGAGAGAGAGAGAGAGAGAGAGAGCGAGAGAGAGAGCGAGAGAGAGAGAGAGTAATAATTTGACAATAACAACACAATACTATACAGCAATTTGGAAAAAATATTAAAACTTGTAAAAAAATGACTTCAAATATTATAATTAGAAATTTCTGTTTCAAAGTTTTAATGAACAATGCTTATTAACAAAATAATTTACTTACAAAAAGCTATCAAATTCATCTTGCAAGAATGCTACTTCTTCTTCTATGACCTCCTTATCTTCATCGTCTGCTAGATTACATGCTCTCTCTGCTAAGGAGAAGGCTTTATCTAGCTTCTTTTGACCTTCTTCTTGTTCATTTTGAAGTAATTTGAGAATTGTTGCTTTGCCACTGATTGTATCCTTGTCACCAGTTGGCTCGGCACATTTGGCCATTCTCTCTTTTGCAGCCCTAAGCCAGTGCATAAATTCATTGCCTGCATCAACAAATTCTTGATGATGATCAACCATATCTTTCTGCTTCTCAAGAAGTTCTTTAGCCTGCTTGCTAAGACTATGGTACTTGCTGGAAATTTCTGAAGCATTATTCTTTACTTGACTTGCTTGACTTTCTGTTGCTTTGGATGTAACTGACTCAATCATTGGCTCAAAGGACACAATATCTTGAACAATGCTGCTGGTGCGACGGAGATTAGCTTTACGTTCACCGATACTTAGAGAAGAAATTCTGTGAGAAAGACCAGAGCCTCTCTTGCCAGAGGCAGATATTGCATTCGTAAGTTGCTGGAGCTTTGCTTCTCTTTCGCTAATCCACTGTTGCATATTAGTATACGAGACGCTCATGTCAGCCCATTGAAGAAGGTTAGTCTCCAGAGTAACCTTGGCATTTGAGAGCTTTTTAATAAGTTTGTCCCAGTCAGCCTGCAACTCTTCTAGAGACTCATTGATTATGTCACGACCATCAGATCGAGTATTGCGGAGCACCTTTTCACCCCAATTGACAGATTGATGAACTAAGGCCTGTCCTTCCTCTTGCTTTCTCATGAGTGACTGAATCAAATCCAAATGTCGTTCAAGACTTTCTTTGCCTGAATCAGGAGACATGTCAATGCAATCCCTGACAACCATTCGAGCATTATCAATCCACTCTCTAGCCTTACTAAGATAAGTCTCATATTGACGATGCTGGTCAAAGCTAGCTTCCACCTTTCTCAAAACATCCTTGGCCATGTTGATTAAAACCTGGTAGCGAGAGTTAAGGTGTCGCATTTGGTTCTGAACAAATGAATCAAGGTGAGTTTCTTGCAAGGTTTGAGAAAGTTCATTCAACTTTTTCAGTTGTGCTTGGTGCTTCCCAAGGTTCTCTAGTAGATCCTGAAAAGTGATATTAAGAAATTATAATAGAAAATAACTAGAGCAAACATTAATATGGTTTGTATATTTCCCTAGTAATTGCTATAATTAATTCTCCTCAATGTTGCAAAAGTAGTAAGACACATGCTAAAGAAAATAATAAATGAAAAGAAAAAAATTATAATTTAAATCAAATTAACCACTGTACTAAATGACCAGCATTGAATGCCACGTTCTGGGTAAGTCCTGGAGGCTCCCCAGAGCTATACCAGGGTGGTATGTATGTATTAGACTGTGGCATCAGTCAATTTGATTGGTATTCTAGCCTACCGGGAACCATGAGCCAGACCCTGACCCCCCCTCCCCTCAGAGAGACATGAGGAGCCTATAGAAACCTCCATATGGTTGGAAGCATTCTATGTCTGCCATCTACCGGGTTAGGCCCTCAGAAAGGTAGGTGTCTCAACACAAACTTCACTTGGTTAAAATTGCTACCAAAAACCAAACTATCAAGCAAAACTCCACAATCTGAAAACAAGCAAAGAGGCATGACGTCACAACTGCCACCGAGCTGCTATCTGTGCTGCTCCCCCCCCTCCCCAGGAGGGGAAAGAGGGAGCCCCAGACCCCTCATGCCAGCCATTCAATCCCAGTTCAGAGGCTGAATATCAAAAATGTGAAAACCGCCGACCGGAGGGAGGGAGGGTTGCCGGAGAGCCTCCGGGACTCACCCAGAAAATAGCATTTCCTTACATTCAATGCTGGTTTTCTGTGGAGAGCCCCTCCAGCTCTCCAGAGCTTCCTAACAACAGAAAATAGAAAGAGACTTACCCGGGAGGCGGCCGCCGCTTGCATCTCAACGCAAAGCCGAAACACATCGATCCTGATGGCCTCGCATTCGGAAAAGGGTGCCACATATACTAGGAGACGCCTCAACCATGCCGACGCAAGAAGGTCTACCTCTGGGTGCCTGCACGTCCGGCAGAGCCAACTGAACGAGTCGGCATTGACAGTCCAGTCCGTGGTGAAAGGAGAATGAACTGGGACAGGCCGTCCGCCAGGATGTTGGACACTCCCCTGAACGTGAATAGCCAGGAGAGCCAAACTCTGAGAACTCAGCAAATGAGTCACCCCAAAGCGACCAGCCCCAAAGAGCAAGGACTGCATCAAACCCCTGCAGTTCAGGCAATGAACCACCAGGGATCAGTCCGAATGTAGCTGGATCATCGATCCGCGAGCGACCCGAACCCTCCGAAGCGTCATCCATACAGCCGTAAACTCTCACAACGTGCTATGTGCCCAACGAAAGGACAGACCCCACCGCCCCTGGTCGGCCTGGTGAGCACAGGTCTAAAAACCTCAGCAAAGAGAGAACGTGTCCATGAACAGATCGAGCTTAGGTAGGCACCAAGGCACTGAACCCCTAAAAACCCAAAAAGGAGCCGGCGACGCAGCAGGCTACATAAGGCACCCGGAGGCCGAACTCAGCGATCACGAGAGAGGCGGAAGGGACGTCCCCGAAGGAACCAGAACAGCCGACAAAGCCAAACCCAACTCAGTGGGTAGACCATCATGTCAAAGTTCAGACTCCCCACAAACCCTCTAGCAACCACCATGTAACCCGAGAGCCCACCAGAAACAGGCGAAGGCGGGACCACAGTCGCAACAGAGCCTTTGGAGGGAGAGACGGGACAGAGTGGTCATCCGAAAGGAAGGGCAAAAGACCCAGGGGTTCAGACGGGCCAAGTCCAGAATGAACCGCAGATCTGCACAGTCCTGTTTCGGAACTGGAAACAGGCAGGAAACCCACCTGAGGGACGGGGTTGTTTCGACCATGCCCAAGCGCACCCACTCCAGGATGACCTGACAGAGCACAGGGAAAGAGGCCTGCTCTGCGAGCCCCAAACCCCCCCAAGGGGAAGGAGCCACCCCCAACAAAGGCCAGACCCTAAATGCGCAAACAGAGTGGAACCAGGCACGGGCGAACCACATCACCCCATCAACGGAGTGAGCCGCAAAAGGGCAGACGCCCCTCACGCGAACCCGAACGATGCGCAGAGCAATCACTGCGCTGACCAGACGCCATTGGTTCTGAAGGAAGTGCCAACTCCAAAGCTGGCACTACTGGCCCACCACGACTGGAGGAGCCCTGAACCCTGGCACGACCCCTCCGGGAATGACCCCAACGATTACCCAGTAGAACCAACAAGTCCGACAAAGGACGACAGCTAGTAGAAGCCACTTACAGATAGTGCATAACTGCAGAATCCGCAAACAGCAACGGACAAAAAGGTGATGAAAATCTAAGAGCCAGGGCCCATGTAGATTCCATACAATGAGCAAGCACAGCCTGCCGTCATGCGAGGCAGAAAGCAAAGAACAGAGTCACCGTCTCCTTCATAATCGGCGCATACAACTTCAACAAGGCAGCCGATGCCCGAACCGCCAAGGCAAGTGCACAGACACATGCACAGTCCCCAGCGCCTCCACATCCTCTGCAAGCCAGTCCATACAGCTCGAGCAGGGAAAAGAAACGCGAAACCGAGGCCAAGTGCCCTCGGGCACGCAAATCCTCAGCTACCAGCGATGCCAAAAGGGTGGGAACCTGCACCTGGAGCTACACCTGACCAGTATCCTTAGGAAGAAAGGGGGCGAACAAACATGCATTGAGGTGCTCCAACTTACCCCCCAGGTAAACCTGAACCACAGTAGAAGTTTCACACCACTGAAGCATGTGGGTCCAACTGAACGCATGCCATGCCCCCAATGAAAAGAAAAAACAGTCCACTAACCAGGATGATGCTAGTACAGTACCACGTAATGCACTCAATAAGGAAAAGTAGAACCGAGGTCAAACGAGAAAGGGTCCATTATTGAGGCAAAATCCGGGTCACGCAGGAGGTACGCCGCAATGGCCTCCCGAACCTCCTTAGGTGGGATATGGGAAGCCGAGAACCTCTGGAAGGAAGGGACCAAAGAACTCAAAGGAACCTGAAACCGAACCTGGGGAGGAGTTGAACCCATATCAAATTCATACAGGGAAGGGGGAGGGGTAAGAAAACCCCCTCACCCTGCAATAACAAGCCCTACGCAGAGGGTACCAACACCCAAGCGGGGTCAAATTAGGCCCAAGCATCTCAAATCAACTCTTCCCCAGCCCCAGGATCCTCCACGTCAGGACCCGAGCCAGAGCCGTCCTCCAAATCCTCCTCCCCTAAAGAAAAGGCAGAGTCAACTGGAAAAGCCTGGGAAAAGGGGGGCCTTGCTGGTCATACCCCGAAGACCCGGACGGAGGAGCAGGCTCGAATGCCTCCATCGCTGAACCGGAAGGGACAGCCACTGAGACCACCCGAGTCTCACCACCAACTAGACCCTGCCCCGACTCTGAAACCCTCAGATGTTTTGGAGCCGACAGCAGGGGGGGAGAGGAAAGGGGGGAGGGGGAGCAGGACAAACCACAGCAGGAAGGATGAAGAGGCACGGATGAAACCGAAGTCAAAGCGACTAATGCCCCCAAATCCGGGTCCCTATAACCAAAGCGGGGCAGCCGTGGGGCACCCGGAAAGGCAACTAACCTAGCCCGTTACAGCAACCGAAACCATGCATGCACCATATTATCAGAATCAGTGGACTGGGCGAATTTTAGAACCAGCAAGGAACACCACTCGCATGACTCTGGGTCGAAAGTGTCACTGACCCAACAGGCGGCATGACAGAGGCAAAACCTGTGAATGTCACCCTGAGACAAGAGGACAGAGCAACCTTCGAACTCGCACAAGGTGAGATGGGACCCAGAGGATGCATCCATTGGACCAATGAGCCCCAATGGGGTTTTCCAGGGCCCTTAGGCTGACTGCTAAGGGAAGCCTAGGCAAGGTACTATTAACAGGTTGGCCCAACTACCAAGAAAATTATTAAAAGCTGAACCCGTGACTTGTACAATCATGGGGATCTAGCAGGCGACCACCAGAATAACAGAGGGTGGACAATAATCAAGGGGCAGACCCCCCACCAGGCAACAAACAAAAATAAAAACCCCGCAAAAGTACAACGTCTCCAGGAGGAACAGAACCGGCCGCTGTGTAATAGGTGACAAGCTGCACAGTACCTTGTGCCCCTACCAGCGACGATACTACCTCCTACCCAAGGTCAAACAGTGGAAATGAAAACCCCAGCTGACCCCAAGGGCAAGCAATCACCGAGCAGCAAAAGATCCCTACGGAGGTAGTTCCTGAACGACTTGTGAAAGGCAACCCCAAGCTGCAAGGGCAGTACTTACAGGGCACCTAGGGAAGGTGGCCCTAGGCGCATGCAGCCCCAGTACTCCGTGAATTACTCCTGGCTTGCACACCACCACACAGCAGAACAACACCGAAAAGGTACAGCACTGCTCAGAGACAGGAGCCAGAGTCGAACGACTGCCATGCAACACATCAGCCTCAGAACTGGGGTTAGGTGGCCGATGCGAGGGGTCTGGGGCAACCCCTTTCCCCCTCCTGGGGAGGGGGGAGCTGCACAGACAGCGGCACTGTAGCGGCTGTGAAGTCATGCTTGTTTGCTTGTTTTCAGATTGCGGAGTCCTGCTTGATAGTTTGGTTTTTGGTCGCAATTTTAACCAGGTGGAATTTGTTTTGAAACACCTACCTTTCTGGGTACCTAACTCGGTAGATGGCAGACATAGAATGCTTCCAACCACATGGAGGTTTCTATAGGCCATTGCTCCTCGTGCCTCTTTGAGGGCGAGCCAGGTTCTGGCTCATGGTCCCCGGTAGGGTAGAAATCCAAATGAATTTACTGATGCCACAATCTTATACATGCATATCAGCCTGGTATAGCTCCAGGGAGCCGGAGGGGCTCTCCACAGAAAATGGTCAATTATTCATTTACAGGATTTAGTGACCAGGATTGTGATAATAGCAGGATTGTGGTGATAATTAGCGCTGTGCGTAGTATTGTGGGAGGAGGATGTTTGGTGAGGGAGGGAATTCAGGTAGTGCCACTCTTGTTTTGCTCACCATACTAGCTTAGTGGTTCACTATGGTGAACATATATGTACATGAGTATATACAATGAGTGTATATAGTGGAATAACAGCTACAGGAGTATGTTGGGAAGAGCCATTTTGGTGAGGGAGGTGCTATCGTATTCGTAGCGTCGTCTGCTAGCTGCTGTGTGATTTCTCATGCAGTGTATGGTGGCCACTGTGCTGTTTGGACACAATACCGGCTTAGTTGTATAGTTATGATGAATAAAACATGCAGAAACGTATACATAACGTGTGTAAATAGTGTAATATAAACAATATCAGTATGGTGGGAGGAACAATGTTGGCAAGTAAGGTGTAAGGAGTAGGCTAGGTGTTGGAGGAGTGAAGGAGGGCTGGTTGGGTGTGGCAGCTCACACTCGCGGAGTTCTGAGTGTGTTGATGGTGAATGTATATAGTGTGTGATAGTGTATAGTGTGTAAATATGTTGTAAATATACATAAATGAACATGAAACATTGGCTATATGAGCAATATATGTGAACACATTTGAGACACATATAATACAGTGTCTTGGGACAGTACGGATGTTCTACTGCCATAATATTGTGTACATGTTCATTATACATAGGATTGGCAAGAAAAAACAAAACAATTGTATTTGGAAATGTACGCAAAAAATGAACAAAATAATATTTATGGCAACTCGTGCATGTTGAAGCCGGCGGGTGACTGGCTTCAGGAGTCTACGTCATGGGCAACCACCAAATCGTGACGTCAAACCATTTTTCAGACCCCATTGCGGCCAAAGTAATTACAATTTAGATTTTTTTTTTACATATCTGTGATCAGAGACGGGTATTTAACATTTTCAAAAACTAAATTAATTTTTCCCGAGAATTGATTTCCTGCGCACAGAGAGGGGGGGGGGGTGCCATATTTGGAAGGCTTGCAGCACAGTGGTTAAAGACTCAATAACTATCTCGTAAAACTCTAGTTTCACCTGACTTTTTCCTTCTTACCTCAACTGGAACAATAAGTAACTTCAACCAACCAATTATGTATTCCTGTGCAAGTTCTATTTGATTTCCTAATCTATTGCCCAAACACCTTACTACCTCTAGGGTGCTCCTCATCGGGGACAAAGAAAAGTCAGATAAAACTAGAATTTTACAAGTTATAAAGTTTCCTAATAACTTATTAAATTCAGCATATAACTGTCATAATTTAAGTGCAAAATGTCTTGATCACACAGCATTCCATAAGTTCTTTATATTCATCATCTATAGTGGATTATGTATTGTACATTATCAATCACAACAAACTGATGAAGCATAAAACATCTGTTTGAAATGTTTAACTTTATGAACAGTATATTCCGTAGACTATATTCTATGACGTCAATCTAAATATACACAAAATAATATTATATTTTCATACTGAAACAGTTAAAGGACTATAAATTTTGTGATTAATAATGTTAATAAATATTATTACCTTGACATTGTTAACTTGCTGCGTTTTCTCCCCAATGCTGGCATACAGCATGGTCTTGTAGGCCTTCATGTCGGCATCCGCCTTCTGTAGCCAGTCAGAGAGCTTCTCATATTCATCTTTGTAGTCACGCCACTGCACTACTGTTTTCTCAAGATTCTCTTTCTGTTTGGATATATCCTTAAAAAGTTCTTCAAAACTTTCCTTTACAGCCCTCATCTCATTTTTGTAATTCTCTTGTCCAGATGGTGAAGTGGAATGAAGGAATACTTCACCTCGATGAAGAAGCTGATCCACCAATATCTGGCCCTGAGCTTGTCGAGTTAACAGTGTATCTAAAGCTTGCACAGCTGTTTCAATAGAAAGTCTATCACCCAAGTTCTTTTGCTTAAGGGCTGGGATTTTGTCACGTGTCCTATTGACAAATGCATGGAGGTCATCATAGGCTTCTTTGTAGTGACGGTGATCACGGTACTGAGTCTCTCTCTCTCCTCGCAAGGATTTGATACGATCAGAAAGATTCTCAAACTGTTTCAGTATGTTCTGGGCCTGTGATGCTGCTTGGGCTTGCTGTCCACTTGCTAGCATCTCAGAGGCTTTTACCTTCAGGCTCTCTACTTCATATTTCTCACAACGAAGCTTTTCTTCCAAACTCTGAAATATTAATACAGTACTGTGATGTAATACGAGTTTTCCTGTTTTGCAAATTAAAACTTTTTAATAAGGCATTATTTTGCTATTGTTTTACCACTACATCTATTTAACCAGGTCCTAGTTATAACTCCTAAGAAATAAAATAACATTTGAGCTCTGATATATTTACTCTCATTATTAATTAAAGTGTTTATATTTTTGACTGTATATACTGTAGTTGAAACTCATTTGTAAAAAATTCACTACAATACAAAAATAAAAATGTGCAATTGATATACAGTAATTTAAAAATTATACTAGCACAATGCAGATATATTTTTTTAACTTTACATGAAACCCCAAAATTGTTACTGATAACGGTTATCTCTACTTGCCAATTCTGCCTAACACACTGAGCATAAATAACGGCACATAAACCATAATATAGCAGCACTTACTTTGAGTCTCTCCAGCTGAGCTCTCTTCTCAGAGAGTGTAGACTGGAACTGACTGACATCAGACAGGGTGTGTTCCACATGTTCAATGGTTTTGTTTAGCTGATGAATATTCTCCAAGAAACCAGCCCATCGGTGTATAGTTTCATCCAAATAAGTCTTAGTTTCCACCATCTTAGATGCAAGGGCACTCCAATCCTGTTGAAGCTTTTCAACTGCTTGGTTGATGTGTTCATGCGCCAAGGGAGCTGTGTTGGCTAAGACAGTCTGCGCTAATTCAACAGTTCCCTGTACTTTTGAAAACCCTTCCTCTTTATATAACAAAAGATCTTGGATAGTTTCCATCTTTTTATCTAGGTCATCCTGGGATGTAGCTGATAGATCAGAACAATAACTAAGTTTCTTCTTAATGTCTTGAAGCCAATTGTGACATTCTGTAACTCTACTATCATAATCTGCATGATGAGTAACATACTGGTGCCAGCGGGTGTGGACATCCTTGACTTTTGTAGAGATCTGCTGATAACGAGCACACAGCTCGTTGACTTGTGAGCCCCGTGAGGAGTGGTTACCCTGGTACAGGTGCTGGGCACGCTCAGTTAGCTGATCAATTTCAAGCTCCTTAGCACGTACTTCACCCTGCAGGGTTTTTAACATATCCAAAGTTTCTTGTTTCTCTGCTAAAGTGACATTCAAATTAACTGCATGCAATTTGTTGTCAGTTTCACGTAACCAGCTTTGAATAGCATCCTTCATGGATTCAAAATCACCCCACTGGTACAAAGTAGCCTCAAGTCTCTCAATGGTAGAAGAGACAGCTGATATAAGACCTTGCCACTCTTGCTGCGTGGTGTCGATCTGGTTACGCACATGTATCTGACCAGACTCCAATGTACCAGGAATAACTTTTTCGCCAATTGTCCTTATCTGAAGTATCCTAGGCTCCTCCTCCGGAAGACTCAATTGAAGATTTTTAAGTTTTTCAAGATTAGCATGTAGAGTAATATGGTCGCTAACAGATTCATCCCACATTTCTACCGTACTTTGTGTGGCATCTAGCCATTCTTGTGTTTCAAATACTGTCTTACTGTACTGTTGATGGTCACTGACAATTGCTTCATATCGTTCCAAATAAGACTGAATGCGCTGTAACATTTCTTGGTGGTGAGCAGTTGCTGTTTCTAAGAATGAGTTTACACGATCAGATTTTTCTGGGAGATTTTCTGCCTTGTCACGTACATCCAGTATGGTCTGTTGTTTGGCAAGGATATCGTGCAAAAGCATACGGTAAGTCTGTAGCTGAGCTCGTTTCTCATCAAGAGTTGTTTTTAACTCGATTTCATCAGGAATTTGTGCCTGAGTCTCCTTCAGCCATTGTTTTAAGTGTTCACTGGCCTCCTCAAAGTTTGTCCATCTACTCATCTTATTATGAAGGTCTCTTTCCATAGTGGAAGAACTATCAAACAGTGTGTCAAAGGCTCCTTGAAGATCTTCAAGTTGAATTCTAATAGCTTCTCTTCCATCATCAGATGTTGAAGGATAAAGTTTCTCTCCTAATTCCACTGTAGTGTTGACAAGTGATAATGCATTCTGCTTCTCTGCTAGTAATTCACTCCCTATCTCCAACCTTTTCTGTATAGTTGCTCTATCTCCTTGCATTTCAACACATTTGGCTAATTTGTCTTGAGCTGCAGTAAGCCAGCCAACACTTTGGTTATATTTTTCAATAAAGGCCTTGTGGTCATTAACTCCTAATTCACACTTCTTGAGAATTTCCTGAAAGTAAAGAATAGGATATTTGTTAATTATATTTATGTCATGTTGACCTGATTATCTCTATGTGCCTAACTGTCCATCTGTATACAACTATCCATCCGTGTACAACTGTCCATCCGTGTACAACTGTCCATCCGTGTACAACTGTCCATCCGTGTACAACTGTCCATCCGTGTACAACTGTCCATCTGTGTACAACTGTCCATCTGTGTACAACTGTCCATCTGTGTACAACTGTCCATCTGTGTACAACTGTCCATCTGTGTACAACTGTCCATCTGTGTATAACTATCCATCTGTGTACAACTATCCATCAGTGTATAACTATCCACTTTATGCCTGACTACCCACTCTGTACATGACTGCCACTCTGTATATGGCTACAACTCTGTACATGACTGCCACTCTGTACATGACTGCCACTCTGTACATGACTACCACTCTGTACATGACTGCCACTCTGTACATGGCTGCCACTCTGTACATGACTACCACTCTGTACATGACTGCCACTCTGTACATGGCTGCCACTCTGTACATGGCTACCACTCTGTACATGGCTACCACTCTGTACATGACTACCACTCTGTACATGACTGCCACTCTGTACATGACTACCACTCTGTACATGGCTACCACTCTGTACATGGCTACCACTCTGTATATGGCTACCACTCTGTACATGGCTACCACTCTGTACATGGCTACCACTCTGTACATGACTACCACTCTGTACATGACTGCCACTCTGTACATGACTACCACTCTGTACATGACTACCACTCTGTACATGACTACCACTCTGTACATGACTACCACTCTGTACATGACTGCCACTCTGTACATGACTGCCACTCTGTACATGACTACCACTCTGTACATGGCTACCACTCTGTACATGGCTACCACTCTGTACATGGCTACCACTCTGTACATGACTACCACTCTGTACATGACTGCCACTCTGTACATGACTGCCACTCTGTATATGACTACCACTCTGTACATGACTGCCACTCTGTACATGACTGCCACTCTGTACATGACTGCCACTCTGTACATGACTGCCACTCTGTACATGACTGCCACTCTGTATATGACTACCACTCTGTACATGACTGCCACTCTGTACATGACTACCACTCTGTACATGACTACCACTCTGTACATGACTACCACTCTGTACATGACTACCACTCTGTACATGACTGCCACTCTGTACATGACTACCACTCTGTACATGACTGCCACTCTGTACATGACTACCACTCTGTACATGACTACCACTCTGTACATGACTGCCACTCTGTACATGACTGCCACTCTGTACATGACTGCCACTCTGTACATGACTACCACTCTGTACATGACTACCACTCTGTACATGACTACCACTCTGTACATGACTGCCACTCTGTACATGACTACCACTCTGTACATGACTGCCACTCTGTACATGACTGCCACTCTGTACATGACTACCACTCTGTACATGGCTACCACTCTGTACATGACTGCCACTCTGTACATGACTACCACTCTGTACATGACTGCCACTCTGTACATGACTACCACTCTGTACATGACTGCCACTCTGTACATGACTGCCACTCTGTACATGACTGCCACTCTGTACATGACTACCACTCTGTACATGACTACCACTCTGTACATGACTACCACTCTGTACATGACTGCCACTCTGTACATGACTACCACTCTGTACATGACTGCCACTCTGTACATGACTGCCACTCTGTACATGACTACCACTCTGTACATGACTACCACTCTGTACATGACTGCCACTCTGTACATGACTGCCACTCTGTACATGACTACCACTCTGTACATGACTACCACTCTGTACATGACTACCACTCTGTACATGACTGCCACTCTGTACATGACTACCACTCTGTGATAGCTCTAAAATGCATACTCAGTACTGTATGTCTATCACCACTGCATATTGTTACTCTGCTGTACACAGTATGTCTATCAGCCCTACGTGTTGTTACTATATAGTACAGTACACAGATGTCTATCAGCCCTACGTGTTGTTACTATATAGTACAGTACACAGATGTCTATCAGCCTTACGTGTTGTTACTATATAGTACAGTACACAGATGTCTATCAGCCCTACGTGTTGTTACTATATAGTACAGTACACAGATGTCTATCAGCCCTGCGTGTTGTTACTATATAGTACAGTACACAGATGTCTATCAGCCTTACGTGTTGTTACTATATAGTACAGTACACAGATGTCTATCAGCCCTACGTGTTGTTACTATATAGTACAGTACACAGATGTCTATCAGCCCTACGTGTTGTTACTATATAGTACAGTACACAGATGTCTATCAGCCCTACGTGTTGTTACTATATAGTACAGTACACAGATGTCTATCAGCCTTACGTGTTGTTACTATATAGTACAGTACACAGATGTCTATCAGCACTGCGTGTTGTTACTAAACAATACACAGTATTGTATGTCTATCAGCACTGCGTCTCGATACTATACAGTAGATGGTATGTCTAACTGGGCTGTGTGTTGTTATGAGTGTCACTATTTTAGATACTTACCTTTGCGGTGACTTGAACAGCTTTAAAGCGTGAGGTAATCTGTTGAACATTAACAGAGATCCTGGTATCACCAGAGACGCCCATCAGGTCAGAGGAATCATCGCTCATCTTGTCCACCTCGCTCTGATTTTGCATTATGCTGAATACAAGACCCTGTATTTTTTATAAGAGAATGGCATAAAAAAGGAGTAAAGTGAGATGCAATTAACACCAAATTAAAAACAACAAAAATGGCAGTAAATATTAAACATATATATATATTTTTTTTTTAACTAAATGACATACTGTAAATTTAATATCAAAAGGAAAGCAATTAGTTAAGATTTTGCTGTATCATCAACCTATGATATGTAATTCCTGTATGTCTTCAATTATAATTAATAAAATTGTAAATATTTATTTGTTAAAAGTTGCATCCTATGAGGAATGGCAAAAATGTTTCCAAACCCAAAGGAATTTTATGTAATTAGCTACATTAAATGTAATTACACATTATTAATGTACAAATTCAGACAAAAATGTTTTCTAATAAGGTATTCATTATAATTATCAAGCCTCAAATTTGTGATTAATGTTCAGATATCAAATGTGCCATAAACTATGTTATATACAGTAACTGAAACAATCTCTTTCCATAATTATAATATTTATTTATGTCTGTGGAGAGCCCCTTCAGCTCCCCGGAGTAATACTGGGCCGATGTGTATATATTAGACCGTGGCAACAGTCAATCGACAGAATTCTAGGCTAACCAAGGACCAGCGCCGGAACCTGACCCCTTCCCCTCAGAGAGGCACGAGGAACACGGGGGTGTCTTTAGGTCATTGCACCTTGTGGCTGCGAGGCACAAGGCCTCTCTGAGGGGGCCAGGTTTTGGCTCTGGTCCCCGGTCGGCTTAGAACTCCATTGACTGACTATTGCCACGGTGTAATATATAAACATCAGCCTGATATAGCTCCGGGGTACCTCCAGGTCACACCCAGAAAATGGCATTTCATTACATTCAACGCTGGCTTTTTGTGCCGGTTAATAAAGAAATGCAAAATAGGGAGGCCTAAAACTGAAAGATGGCTTATACCTCTTCAATGTGTAAATCAAAAACTTCCAAATGTTATTCACTGTAGCTGTACTAACTGATCATCTAATATTAATTAGTTCAATGTGTTCAATAGGTACATTGTATTTATTCCACTGTTTTCATTATGAACCCTAGACAGTATGTGGTCCCAGTCAGTTGGTGAAATGCAGTCATAATATTATTACTAGCTACCCTCTACTATTTAATGTGTTCATTATATTATTACTAGCTAGTCTCTACTATATAATGCATTCATCATATTATTACTAGCTACCCTCTATATAATGCATTCATCATATTATTACTAGCTACCGTATAATATATAATGCATTCATAATATTATTATTAGCTACCGTCTAATATATAATGCATTCATTATATTATTACTAGCTACCCTCTACTATATAATCCATTCATCATATTATTACTAGCTACCCCTCTACTATATAATGCATTCATCATATTATTACTAGCTAGCCTCTATGCCATAATGTGTTCAGTATTACTAGTTAGCCTCTACTATATAATTTGTTCATTATATTATTACTAGCTAGCACCTACTATATAATGTGTTCAATGTATTATTACTAGGTAGCCAATACTGTATAATGTATTCATTATTACTAGCTAGCCTCTACTATATATTGTGTTCATTATATTATTACTAGCTAGCCTCTACTATATAATGTGTTCATTGTTACTAGCTAGCCTCTTCTATATAATGTGTTCATTATATTATTACTAGCTAGCCTCTACTGTGTAATGTGTTCATTATTACTAGCTAACCTTTACTACATAATGTGTTCATTATATTATTACTAGCTAGCCTCTACTGTATAATGTGTTCATTATATTATTACTAGCTAGCCTCTACTATATAATGTGTTCATTATATTATTACTAGCTAGCCTCTACTATATAATGTGTTCATTATATTATTACTAGCTAGCCTCTACTATATAATGTGTTCATTATATTATTACTAGCTAGCCTCTACTATATAATGTGTTCATTATATTATTACTAGCTAGCCTCTACTATATATTGTGTTCATTAATACTAACTAGCCTCTACTATATAATATGATCATCATATTACTAACCATCCTGTGTTTACAATGTATTCATCATAAGATTAGCTTGTCCATGTTATCGAGAGATTTCATTATATTATAACTTACCAGCCTCTGTTGTATAGTGTGTTATATTATCACTAGCCTGCCTCTGCTGTTCATCATATCACTGTCAACTAGCCAATCTTTACTGTTAAATGCACTCATCGTATATCACTAGCCAGCCTTCATAGTACTGTATACAGTGTTAATCTTATTATCACAAACCAGTCTCACTTGTGTTAATATTAGTAAACATATTACTGGATATATTTTAATATCAAAGAACAAGGCATTTTATAACCATATTTTAGAGGTAGTTTAAGCACATTACAAATAACCCCAACATTTCTGAGGCACGGCTCAGGATGTTGTTGGTGGTACCGAGCCATATAGGTGACGGCTCTGTGGGAAGATCTGATAATGTATGGGGGATCACACACCCCATGCTTCTATAGTGAGTACCTTCAAGATGACAGCTCTTGGTGATGCAAAACTGGGATGCCAGACGACATATAGTTAAGGCTTCGTGCAATGACAGAAGCTCACAATCTCAAGACAATGCTTATGAGGTTATGTCCACTAAAATAAACGAAGACAGCCAGAAATGTACAAGCCTATTCACTTCACTTCAGTTATGAAGTCTTTGCATGACTTTTTTATATTAAAGATAAATCTATTTATAAAATGAATTACAGAAGTAGTTTTTCATTAATGAATTTAGTAAATGACTTGTTTAATAGAAAACTGCAAGTTTCTGATAAACAAATATTTGTATAAAATGTGAAAAGAAAAAGGGCTTTGAATATAAATGAAAAGATTCTTTTAGAGCATCCACTCAGTTGGTCCTTTAGGTAATAGCCTATTCATACAATGGACTGTTGACATTTACTCTTAATTATGATGGAGATTTTCTAGCATTCTTGCCAGATGACAATGGAGAAAGGGAAGCAGTGGAGATTACTTTATCCAGCTCCTGAATGACTGTCAGAAGGGCTTAAAAGAGCTTATGAAACTTGCTACAAAATTATACATTTTCGTCTCCATTGTGGATTTAAGTTCAATGTGGAATGTGAAATCATTATGTTTCTAAATACGAAACTTAAGTAAATATAGCCAAATTTTTTACACATTTTTAAGTATAGAATAATTTGGTCATGTAAAACTCAGCAACTTCAACTTTCTGGCTGCCAACCTCTTATTAAGCAGTGACAAGGTAGGTCACATCTCATCTGTTCATACTATGCGTAAGAGAACTTACTTCAATAATAACGAGACGAGGTCTTACTTGTTCAAGGTTATCGGCTATTGCAATGAATTCCTGCACGAGCACATGCCGGCTCTCTACTACACGCAGAAATTCCTAAAGAAACCAGACAATTGTATTAGTGATATATTATTAGAACACTCCAACAAAGTACCCTGTAGATATTCTCAGCAGTATCTATCCTAACTCACTAGATTAATACACTCACTAATGTACAAGCTACAGACACTCATGTTATGTCTTATTATTTAAACCAATAATTCTACAATAATTGTTATAAATACAATAAAGCATATCTACTGATTACTACAATATAGCCATCCCAAGGATATTGTAATAAATACAGTGGAGTCCCTCTTGAATGCACTGAATAATATAGGGCCCCTTCTGGCATAAATCCTCCGAGTCAACTTTGCTATTTTCCCACTATTTTATTAAAAAAAAACAGCATTGAATGTAATGAAACGCCATGTTCTGGGTGAGCCCTGGAGGCTCACTGGAGCTAACGAACTGATATGTGATATATATTAGTCTAGGACATTAGTCAATGGAGTTCAGTCTACCGGGGACCCCGGCCAAAACCAGGCCTCTGTAAGAGAGGCAAGAGAGCAATGGCCTCTAGAAAACGTCCCTTGTGGTTGGGGGAATTCCTTGTCTGCCATCGACTGGGGTTAGGGACCCAGAAAGATAGGCATAACAAAACAAACCCCACTTGGTAAGAAAATTACAACCAAAGACTGAAAAGGGAGGCAGAACTCCCCCAACTCTCAAGGAAATGAGCAAACAAGCAAACCTCATAAACCGCCGCTGTGCCGCTTCTCTGCACAGCCCTTCCCTCCCCAGGAAAGGGACGGACCCCGGACACACCCCCTGCTGGCTACTCACACCACCAGTTCGGAGACTGAGCATCAAAAGCAAAACTAAATCGCCAACCAGAGGGACGGAGGGTGTCAGGGAGCCTCCGGGGGTTCAACCAGAAAATGGCATTTTATTACATTCAATGCTGATTTTCTGTGGGGAGCCCCCTTCAGCTCCCTAGAGCTACATAACCAAAGATAAGTAAAAGAGGGACTCACCCGGGAGGCAGCCGCCATGCGCTCAACTCAAAGTCAAGAAAACTGGCTGCAATCTGCGACCCAAATCCATGCACGAACGAGCAGGACCATGCATGCTGACCAAATAACAAGTGGCCAGGACCTAGTTCAACTTCCAAACATCCTGCGCCCGAATGTCAACTCAAGACATGTTGTCGAAGATGGCAGTCAAAGTAGCAAACTTTCAAATGTCATGGGCATGAGGATAGACCACAGGCTGGCTAGACTTAATAACCCTGCGCGCGACCTGGGAGACCCAAGCCCTGGAACAGGGAACGAGGGAAACCGGATCAACCCAAAGCGACTCCCCGACCACTGAACCCAAGGCGCACAAATAACAGCGAAGAGCCAACACCGGACACAACACATGATGCACACCAGGCTGACCAACCAAACATCAATGACTAAAGGGACCCCTTTAGAAAGCTGCCATCTTATTCTTCACCAGAAAAGATGGAGACGGCTGCAACTGAACAAACCGATTACTAGGACCGAAGGAGCAGAAACCTCTGCGTTGGAGGAGTGCATGAAGCTCATAAACCCAACCCCCAGAGGCCAATGCTAACAGAAACAAAGCCTTGGATCTTGGATCTTGGATCAAAACAATCTTCAACTAAAGGGGCCACCACAAGCCGAGGAGAAGAGAGAAAAGAGAGCACCCTGTCCAAGGACCAGGACAGTTCAGGCGACGCATGAGCAAGTCAGAGAGTAAACAAAGCCCAACAAAGCTTATGGATCGGGGCGGAAGTGACATCCATCCCGAACGCAAGCTGAAGCAGCTTGTAAGGCGCCGCAGGATACGAGGCGACCGTATTCGGCATCAAATAACAGTCCAGAAAAAGCAAAGAAAGGACAAGACAATCTGATCAGAAATAGAAGATCACCTACAAAGAGACAGAAAATGGTGAAAAGATCCCCATGAAACTTCATACTGTCACCAAGATGAAGCTTGCAGGTGGAACACCATCAACAAAGCCAACTGAGCACCACCCAGGGGTAGTACTTACAAGGCGCTTAGGGAAGGTATCAGCCAACGAACTGGAGGTATGAGTAGCCAGCGTGGGGGAGGGGGGAGGGGGTTCTGGGGCTCCCCTCTCTCCCCCCTCCCAGGGAGGGAAGGGCTGCATGGACAAGCGGCGCAGCAGCGGTATATGATGTTTGCTTGTTTTCTTGAGAGTTGGGGGGGGGGGGGGGAAGTTCTGCCCCCCCTGTTCGGTCTTCGGTTGTAATTTTGTTACCAGGTGGAGTTTGTTTTGTTATGAGTGCCTTTCTGAGTGCCTAACCCCAGTCAATTACAGACAGGGAATACCACCAACCACAGGGGCGTTTCCAGAGGCCATTGCTCCCTTGCCTCTCTGAGGGGGGCCAGGTTTTGACTTGTGGTCCCGAGTAAGCTGAACTTCATTGACTAATGACCTAGACTACTATATCACACATCAGTCCGATAGCTCCAGGGAGCCGAAGGAGCTCCCCACAGAAAATTATTGTTTTATTAAAACAATAATTAATGCACGTAAATGGCAAACCCACTTTTGTTTGTACATTTTTAAACAAAACCAACAGAAAAAATAAATGTTTTAATATTTGATTAAATTTCTTCTATATTTATGGACACTGAATTCCAGCCCAGTGAATACTTGGTCTCACACATGAAGTCTTCCATTATTTTCTGTTGTAACTGATCAGAATGATCTTATAACCAGAATGAATCCTTGCATTGCACCAGACTTCAGCTGGAGACAGTTCCATTCAGGTGGAACTCCACTGTATTGTACTGTGTAATTACTGCAATTAATAATTTTGTCTTCATAGTAAGGCTGCAGATGTTAACAAATTAGTTAATTTCTAAATAAAAACTAATACTATAAATCATGTACCAATAATTAGCACATACTCGATACATTTAGACTATTGATTCTCTAGAAATTATGACTAATATATTCTTATATACAGAGGATCACTTAGTTTGCAAACTTAAGTTATCCAAAAGTTCCAGTTTCACGAACAGGGTTGGGGTCTCACGCTTCCGGAACTACGTTCAGGAAGTGAGGAAGTGGTCCGCCAGGCCTCGCATCGACCCGGAATGTTGTGACTGGGATATGGTCTAGTTTGCCCACTGACCGTGTTGGGCGCCACTTTAGTGCCTTCTACCCTGTGACGTCACACATTCACGGCCCATTGTTCCCATTGTTTTGATTTGTCATGAGACTGGAGTGTTCATTCCATGACTTTGTTGGATATATCTGCACAATCTAGGCACAATGTGGCTTGTGGTCCCCGGTAGGCCCACAAAACTCCATACACACATGATTGATGCCAAAGTCTGACACTAGCATATCAGCCTGGATAGCTCTGGGAAGCTGAAGGGGCTCCCCCCAGAAATGCCAGAAAAGTGCAATGAAGAAGATGGCAAGGAAGGGGAAGAGGATAAAGAAGCATTACAGGAAAAATGGAATGTGGAATCAAATTCAGAAACACTTTGAATTCATACTGGCATTTATGGAAACGAGTAACAGAGTTTGAAACTAAGGACATGATGAGCCTGTACAATTTGTAAGTGAAGTTCTTGAAAACAAGTTCAAAGGGAATAAAACAAATGTCAATTAAATAGTCATTTGCAAAAGCTTCCAAGAAAGCTGGCATTGCCCCCACCTGCACCTGATTCATCACATGTTGACCCATATGCCTCAACATCTGAGGTTACCTTATCATCATCATCCTACACTTCAGTCAAGCCAACACCATCAACCTCCACCACCTCTTCCAATAACTATGCTCCATCAACAATGATAATCAACATAACAAGTTGATCAGGAACTCTCTTATTGGTAAGTACAAACAAAATAGTGTTGCATTTATGCTATGAACCTGTCATTTGTTCCTCTAGATTGTTTTTGCTACATTTCTCATTTATTTTTTTCCTACATCTCTCAATTATTTTTGTTCCTACATTTCTCGTTTACGAACTTACACGGAAACCGACGGGTCTCATCCCTGAGAGGTTCGCAAACCAAGTGGTTCTCTGTAATACTAAGAAATAATATATCCTTATATATGTTACGTAAAAGGATAATATGCTCTTGCATTTTATCAAACAAGAAAATTATATTTTTGTATATTACATGAAAAGAAAATCTCCTAATATATATATAATATCTAAACAAATAATATACTCTTATGTATTACCATCTCTTGATTCAAACAGAAATTTTGATAAGAGTGCCTTTAGCTAACTTAAAATATACTTATGTCAACTTAATAAAAAAATGAACCTAAAATAAATGTTACATTTGCTCCAAATCGCTGGGAAATAATTGCCTCATTGTTTACTACACAACTAACAGTTTTAATAATAGCTTTTTCCAGGTCAAATTTGACTTCCTTCCTATCATGCTCTGATAATTCCAAGAAACATTACTGCCACAATGAAAATAATGTCCATACTTTTTCTTAAATAAAAATTTTCTCATTGAGTATATTAAGAAGATAAGAGTAACTCACAACCAAGGGCTTCCTATCCCTGCCATACCCTCTAGAGCCAATGATTAACAAGAATACATTATATGGTACACTAAGTACCACTGTTGTAATGCTGTATATGGTATTAATGATCAACACTAAATATTCAGTCTTAATACTGTATCTACATTACTTAACTGCTTCTTACCATGTAGTAAGAACTATGACTATTATTAAGAACTATTACCTTACCATGTAGTAAGAACTATGACTATTATTAAGCAACTAAAACATATAAAATTCCATACATTTACTGAAGCAAATATTATCCCCTCTACTAATGAGAATGACACTATATTTTAGAAAGTCACTACTGATGAGTTTAGCTAGATACACGGCAATGACACATTCCTCCCAAAAATCCCACTCACAGTTCTACAAGGCTATTTGTCTAATGGCAAGAGAGAGGAAAAGCTCTTAGAGTAGAGGAGCATGCACCATGGATCAGGTGGGCAGTAGGTTGTAAGGAAGACCATGAGGAGAGGCACTATGGATCAGGTGGGCAGTAGGTCTTGGAGATCATGAGGAGAGGCACCATGGATCAGGTGGGCAGTAGGTTGTAAGGAAGACCATGAGGAGAGACACTATGGATCAGGTGGGCAGTAGGTCTTGGAGATCATGAGGAGAGGCACCATGTATCAGGTGGGCAGTAGGTTGTAAGGAAGACCATGAGGAGAGACACTATGGATCAGGTGGGCAGTAGGTCTTGGAGATCATGAGGAGAGGCACCATGTATCAGGTGGGCAGTAGGTTGTAAGGAAGACCATGAGGAGAGGCACTATGGATCAGGTGGGCAGTAGGTCTTAAGGGAGACCATGAGGAGAGGCACTATGGATCAGGGGAGCAGTAGGTCTTGGAGATCATGAGGAGAGGCACCGTGGATCAGGTGGGCAGTAGGTCTTAAGGGAGACCATGAGGAGAGGCACTATGGATCAGGTGGGCAGTAGGTTGTAAGGGAGACCATGAGGAGAGGCACCATGTATCAGGTGGGCAGTAGGTTGTAAGAAAGACCATGAGGAGAGGCACTATGGATCAGGTGGGCAGTAGGTCTTGGAGATCATGAGGAGAGGCACCATGGATCAGGAGGGCAGTAGGTCTTAAGGAAGACCATGAGGAGAGGCACTATGGATCAGGGGGGCAGTAGGTCTTAAGGAAGACCATGAGGAGAGGCACTATGGATCAGGTGGGCAGTAGGTCTTGGAGATCATGAGGAGAGGCACCATGGATCAGGTGGGCAGTAGGTTGTAAGGGAGACCATGAAGAGAGGCACCATGGATCAGGTGGGCAGTAGGTCGTAAGGGAGACCATGAGGAGAAGAACACACCTTATGATTAACCGTTAGACTTAGGGAAGAGTAGTATTAATTTCTTTCAAGGGGTCAAAGAGCATGGACTGTGGAGATGGTAATATATTATGTTTTACCATGTGGCATCACATGGTTCTGACAGTGGAAGGTGGTGAAATGCAAGAGCTGCAGCACTGAGGTGCTTGCCTCAGCATTTGTGAGGTTACTCTCTATGTACAGAGACCTGTTTAATTCTAGACGAGTGATAAATGTATCAATATGAATGTTGATTTCCAGCATGGTGTTAAACAAAAATAATGCACCCATAAGAGATGGCTTCTTTCAATCCTTCAATACAATTTTAATATTTTCAATGTAACCTTTTTATATGTGACTTTTTTGCACACTGAAATTTAGCTATTTTATTTGGCCCTTAAATTACACTGTGTTTCATTCTTTGAATTCCCACCCTTTTATTTTTATCTAAATTATTCTAAGGTTTGACAGAAACACTTTGTTTTGCTGGCTTCATTTGTATGTGTAACTCATGTTTTTTAAACTGTCCTTTCTTATGTTCTTTGTGTACACATTCTTATGAATAATATTATGAATTATGAATGAATTATTGTAATATACAATAATTTCCCTTCCTTTCCCACTTATAAAGTATCCCTCTTACTTTACTGACACATTCTTTGCCCTCCCAATTCCCCTTCCCTTACAAGTTACCCTATCCCAATCTGGAGTCCCACCCAGAGTTGTTCACAGATGAGTTTGTTCTTGAGGGCTGGGGCACTGTTGGTTGTTGCAGATGCAGTGAGCTTGTTTTGCAGTGTGGGAGCTTGAGGCAGTTTGGATGGCACTGTGGCATATTCCTCTCCTGATGGCTTTAATATCTGGTTGCAATTGGTTTGCTTCCTAGTTATTAACTATTTGTTCTAGTATAAATCCACCTAGTCACTTTTTCTGTTGGGGTGGATTGAGGATAACTTAATTTCTAGTTTCTCAAGGGTTAAGTTCTCAATGTGGTCTGCATTCAAGAGTCTAACATGTACTTTCCTGCTTTCATCTTATTTTGATGGAGTAGCCTCTGGACAAGGCCTTCTATCAATGGAAAAGTGAGACATTCAACTGTCGTCTGGTAGATTTATTTGCCTCACTTTCGATCAGATGTGCCCAACCACTTGGGCTGGATGGTCGAGCAACGGTCTTGCTTCATGCATGTTGGAGATCAATCCCCGACCGTCCAAGTGGTTGGGCACCATTCCTACCCCTCATCCAGTCCCAGTCATAATGGCCAGTCATAATGGCTTGGTGCTCTCTCTCTCTTGATAATTCCCCCTTCCCTTAGATCAGATGTGTCCTTCATCCATGAACCTCTTTCCAGGCTATGCTGAATTGATTGTGACTACATATTGCCTGAAATGGGTCATGCAGAGTTTCTTTCTCCAATTCTTCCTGCTCGGGTGCTTCTACATTTCTTATCCACGTAGACCTTTGTAGGTTCCATTCTCCTTTTGGCTCCTATGTGGCCACTTCGGTCCTCAATTCATCCTGCCCTCACTCAATGCCCCTTTAGGGCTCTCCCAGAAGATCGAAGGCCGATTGATTGATTGCATACATGAAGCTTCGTGTATGATTTTTTTTAGATTACTATACCACCTTCTGTATGGATGACAGGTGGCAGATATTTTAGTTTTACATTTCCTGCCATCTTCAGGGAGGTTGCATTACAAGGTTTCCAAGTGTGCCTTCTTCCAGTTCTTCCTTTGCATTGGGTATCTACTGTGTCTATGGTCTTGTCCTTCTTGATGTGGTTGTTTCGGAAGTATTAGTTTATGCCTAATACTGTTGCCGTATATTGTTTGCCATTGGCAGCCTTATCTTGCTTGCTTTTGGGATTAACCTTTTTTCTGTGGCCTTAATAAAATTGGCAAGGACATTCTTCCACCACATATGCCATTGTGGTCTTTGGAGTGTTTTTGAGTTTCAGTTCTATCCCAGGTTTGAGGGGTCCATTTCTGTGGGGAGATTATTCATATAAAGTGGAGTTCTTATTTATGTTAGCTTCCAGTTGTTAAGGGTGACCTCCATCCTCTTCAGAGACAGTGGTTGTCCTGTTCTCTGGTCCTGGGGTTCACTTGCTGTGGTTGCACACTCCTGTTCCTCATGTGGAGCAAACTGATTCATTTGCTTTGACAGGGTTCAGCATTTTATGGGAGGCATAGTTTGTGTCCAAGGATGCTGCCACTTTTTCCATAAGCTGTGATACAATGGCATTTGCACACAAATCACATTTCTAAAGAGTGGACTTTCCTCTTGCATCCTCACTCCACCATCTGGACAGTAGGGTCTCAATAAAGTCACACTGTTTACCACTGAGTGCATGGTGAAGAGCTCAGACTGTGAAAATTGTTATACCTGTACACCCAAACCTCACAGCTGTTGTAATTGCAGTTGCTATTACAACAGGATCCTAACAGGGTATCATCAAGATGTATACATATAGCACTTGCACTGAATTGTTATAATTTTTATTATAAAATCCTTAAAAAGTGTCTCAGATACATATTCAATCATCACAATCCAATCAAAACAAATACCTTTTAATCTTATATATTACTAACTAAATGTAAATAAACAATCTACATCAAAGGATAGTTCTGTTTCAGGCATACCTGGAAACGCTCAAGCTGCTCAGTCTTCTCCTGCAGAGAATTCTTGGGACCATAGTTCTTGAGTGTTCCTTCCGAATCATTTAGCCAGGAGATGATACGGTCAAAGGTGCCCTCGTATTCTGTCCACTGCTGCAAACGCTCTTCTAAGCCATGTTTAACATCAGCTAAAGTGCTGGCAAATTTGGCCAGTTCATACCTAAACCACACAAAATGAAAAGAAATTATAATAACATTTAATTTTAATTAGACACATTCAATACTGTAATGTGTTTTCTCTAGAGTGAAATTAAAAAAAAAATTAATAGAAGAAAATTTTATGATAAATTGTCCTAAAAATAAATAACATTTAATGATAATAATAATATTATATTTATAAAAAATCCAATGTTGAATGTAATGAAACACCTTTGATGCTACAATCAGGAAGCAAAACGTGGTGACGTCATGCTCGTTTGTTCGTTTTTCATTTGGGGAGTTCTGTCCACTAGTTCGGCTTTCAATAGCAATATTTTACCCAGAATAGGGATTTGTTTAGGGGCGCTTATGTTTCTGGGTGCCAGACCCGGTCGATGGCAGACATAGAATGCTTCCAACCACACGGGGGTTTCAATAGGCCATTGCTCCTCGTGCCTCTCTGAGGGGGCCAGGTTCTGGCTCGTGGGCCCCGGTAGGCCTAGAACTCCATATGCATTGATTGATGCCAGAGTCTAATACATTCATATCAACCCAGTTAGCTCTGGGGAGCTGACAGGGCTTTCCCCAGAAAAGCCTTGGGAACATATGACTTTATGACTTATGGAGGCCTACAGGGAATTATAATCAGAATCTTGCCTTCTCATAAAGGTGAAGGGGAACAAAACCTCCCATTAGAAACCAGCTGAGAACACAATGCCAAGAAAACAGCGCCAGGGAAAACCATTTGAAAACTCAGGTCCTGCATGAAACAGACACAGAAAGATCTAGGAGTTGATATCACACCAATCCTCTCCTTGAAGCAGATGAAGAGTCACAATAACGTGGCATAAAAATGTTGGCCAAACCACACACTAGAAATTGAAGACAATGACATTTCGGTCTGTCCTGGACCATTATCAAGTCAAACTGTCTCCTGAAGCCCACATGAAAAGATAACATAAGGGGCATATGCAAGACTGGCTAACATCAGTACTGCCTTCAGAATCCTGTGCTAGGAAGCCTTCAGAACATTGTATACCATGTATGTAAGGCCAATCCTGGAGTATGCGGTCCCAGCATGGAGCTCGTACCTTGTCATGCACAAGACGAAGCTGGAAAGAGTTCACATGTATATGAAAGAGAAAGAAGAGTTCTGGAAAGAGTTCAGATGTGTTCTGGGGACTAGGCTAGTCCCAGAACTAAGAGGCATAAGTTACGAGGAAAGGCTGTGTGAACTACACCTTACATCGCTGGAAGACAGAAAAATGGTTTGGGGAGACATGATCATCACATACAAAATTCTTTGGAGAATTGACAGGATAGACAAGGATGGATTATTTAACACAGGTGGTACATGCACAAGGAGGGATAGGTTGTACCCAAATGAGCCACAGAGACATTAGAAAGAACATTTTCAGTGTTAGGTAAATGGAATGCACTAGAAAGTGATGTAGTGGAGGCTGACTCCATACACATACTCCTCAGGGCCCATAATGTTCCAAAGTTTGTGGCTTTGGCAGCTATGTTTTCTAACATGTCTTAGGCTGATATTCAAGCTCGGAATTTTGGAGGTCTAACAGGGTAACCTTGCAGTTACCATACATTGATTTCTGGGATTAACGTCCTTGTGGCCCAGTCTTTGACTAGGCCTGCTGGTTGATGGTTTGGTCAACCAGGCTGTTAGACATGGCTGATCACAGCCTGAAGTATGAATGACAGCCTGGTTGATCAGGTAGGTAATGCAGCTCATTAACTGGTCAGTATTCCTTGTCCCCATTGGCTTGTGATGCCCAGGGTTTCCAATCCTGGACTCTTCCCTTAGGGGTTTAAATATTGCTCTCCTCCTCCCCTGGTGGGTCCTGTTTTCTTTTCTCTGTGGTTAGCTAGCAACAGGAAACCACCATTTGGACCCTCCAGAAAACTAGCATAAAGGTAATGTGCACCTGTTTCCTGCAAAGATGAGATCTCAGTGGCTCCTTGGACCCTTCAGGGTACAGGTGTGTCGGTTGGCTTTTTGTTCAGCTCATGATTTGAGAGCTGTTGACAGGGAGAGTTGGTACCTCTAATGGTGCTGCCACCTGGTGTATAGATAATTTGTCAAGTCATTTGCTGCATTGTTTGTTTACTTTCTGTGGACATTGCAGTTGCCAGTTTTGCTTCACTTTCTTTTTGGGGGGTTTGATTCTTTGGTGAGGGTGATCATGAATCTCCTGCTCTTTGCACCTCTTGGAGGTTTTGGCCTCTGGTCCCTAGTAGGCTTTTTATGATTTGTAGGGGCTGATGACTTATAAATGTGGAGTTATCTCAGTGCAGCTAGCAGCAGAGCCACTGAAGCACCTCCAGAAAAAGATAAATCATTATATTCAACATTGGGTTTTCATTATAAAATACATAAAGATTGTTTAATTTAAGGCAATACTAACTTAGAAACCTGACTAACCTAATTATATCTGATTATATCTCAATTCTGCCTGATTGTTTCTGAATTTTACATATATTATATATATATATATATATACATACATACACATACATATATATACACATACATATACATGCACATACATACATACATATATATACACATACATATACATGCACATACATACATACATACATATATACATACATACACATACACATATACATGTGAAAAAACAGAGAATGCTAAACACGTTTTTGGCTCAATTCGACTATTTCAGATCATTTCTAGAATCTAAAAATGCTCTGAAGAAGGTGAATTGAGCCAAAAATGCATTTTTGGATTTAAATGGGATTGTTTAAAATGTAAAGCATTTAATCGTACTTCATGTTGTTGATCTCCCGCTCCAATGTCTCCTTTGCCCGGGCTGGCAGCTTCTCCAGTAACTGATGAGCATGTGAGCTGATCTGAGCAATCATGTTCCTGCCATCACATTTAGCATCTTCAAGCTCAGCCACATGGTCTAGTCTCTGCTGCAGCACAGACTTGTTTCCAGAGTAATCTATAATACACATCAGTTAAAACCATTAGAATGATACAAACTGCTTCAAGATAATTATTTAGACCATTTTCTTTATACAATACTCCCAAATTTTAAAAGGCATCTCCTACCCATATTTCTCATTCCCATTACATGATATATAATATGTTTGTTTATGACTGATAAATAATTTAAAATGAAGACAGAGATCATCCCTGTTTAACAAGATTGCCACCTATAAAGCCATAAAAACTTGTCTAATTTGAATATTGTGTGCATTTCCATGGAAATATCCAGCATTGAATGTAATGAAATGCCATTTTCTGGGTGAGACCCAGAGGCTTCCCGGAGCTATCCAGGCTGATATGGATATATTAGACTTTGGCATTAATGTGAATGGAGTTCTAGGCCTACCAGGGACCACAAGCCAGAACCTGGCCCCCTCAGAGAGGCACGAGGAGCAATAGCCTATAGAAACCCCCATGTGGTTGGAAGCATTCTGTATCTGCCACTGACTGGATCAGTCACCCAGAAAGGTAAGTGCCCCAAAACAAACCTCTATTCTGGTTAAGAAATTGCTACTGAAAGCCGAACTAGTGGACAGAACTCCCCAAACGAAAACGAGCATGATGTCACCCCGTTATTGCTCCGGTTGTCTGCACAGTTCTCCCCTTCCCCAGGAGAAAAAAGGGGAAGCCCCAGAACCTCACGCCGGCTATCCACACCCCAGTTCCGAGACTGGATGTCAAAAACATGAAAAATTGCCGACCGGAGGGAGGGAGGATTGCCAGGGAGCCTCCAGGTCTCACCCAGAAAATGGCGTTTCATTACATTCAACACTGGTTTTCTGGGGGGAGCCCCTTTGGCTTCCCGGAACTACTTACCCAAAGATAACACAAGAGGGACAAACCCGGGAGACGATCGCCAACACAGCAAACACACAAAAGTCATTGCACGAGGATAGACCGCAGGCGGTCCGGACCAAAGGACTCGGCGGACGACCTGGGAGACCCCAAACACTGGAACAGGGAAGAAGGAAAACCTGTCAACCCAAAGTGTGTCCCTGGGCCACCAAGGCCGTGGCACACAGGAAACAAAGAAGAGCCGCAACCCGACACAACACACGATATACCCCCGGCCAGACCAACCAAGCATCAACAACCCTAGGATCCCTCCGGAAAGCAGCAGTCTCATACCTCGCCAGAAAAGGTGACAGCTGAAAGCAAACAGAAGTATCACCAGGATCAAAACAGCAGAAACCCCTAGAGGCCAATGCCAACAAGAAAAAGAGCCTATGCCAAAAAAAACCCTGACCGGAAGTGGCCACCACAAACCGAGGAGAAGAGGAGGAGAGAACTCGGTCCAACTACCAGGACTTTTGCTTTCTAAATTGAAAGCAAAGGTCAACAAATTGATCGAAACTGTGAATGCCAAGAAATCCGGACTCCACCTGCCAAAGATTATTGGGGAAAATAAACCGGGATACGCGTATGGAAATGTCAAGACACATAAGCCTGGAAACCCACTTCGGTCAATCATCAGCCAGATACCAACACCCACGTACAGACTGGCGAAGTGACTCAACGGCTTGCTGACTCCTTATGTCCCTTGCGCCTTCAGCCTGAAGTCTCCAAAGGAATTTGTTGACTTACTGCGGGGAACACGGCCACAGGGATAAGAGCCTCGTTGGACGTAGAATCACTGTTTACCAACGTACAGTACCTGTGGATGAAACAATCGGGATGATAGCGGACAGAGTGTATCGTGATCCGGCCTGTACTCCTCTTGACATACCAGAAAACATTCTAAGGAAACTACTCCAAGCTTGTACTAAAGAGGCACCCTTCTTGAGCCCGGATGGGCACATGTATAAGCAAGTAGATGGGGTCGCCATGGGTTCTCCCCTAGGTGTTCTGTTTGCGAACTTCTACATAGGTACCATCGAGCAAAAGGTCTTAGTCGACATGAACTTGAAACCGGCCATATACTGCAGGTATGTTGACGACATTTTTACACAGGTACCTGATGACAGACATCTGCAGGTGCTGAAGGAGGCATTTGAGCAGAATTCTGTGTTGCGTTTCACTTACGAGATGGAGAAGGATGGGAAGCTGCCCATTCTAGATGTAACAGTCATGGAAAGGAGTGGAGGTTTCCACACTGCAGTCTACACTAAGGAAACAAACATAGGAATGTGCCTAAATGCCAACAGTGACTACCCAGACAGGTACAAGAGGCGTTTTGTTAATGCTTATGTCGACCGTGCTCTCAGCCACAGCTCAGGATGGAAGCAAGTTGATGAAGAACTCTGTAGGGTAAGGCAGGTCCTAGTCAATAACGGCTTCTCCAATGGTTTCGTTGAAGACATCATAAAAAGGAAGGTGAAATGCCATGCAACCTCTGGAGAGACAACTAACACAACACCTATACCCCCTATTAGACTATTTTACAGGAACTTCTTTTCCACAGCTCATAAAATGGAGGAAAGGGTCCTGAAAGATATTGCTAATAGAAATGTTATCCCTACAGACAAAATCAGAAGATACAACTGACGATTTACTATAAAACCTAAAAAACGGCCAACCTACTCATGAGAAACTCTCCAGACACAAAGCAGAAGCTTTAAAAAGAGACCAACGTCGTCTATGCCTTCAAATGCCCACTTGGGGACTGTAAGCCTCAAAGAACTCAGAATATAGGCAAGACAACAACATCTCTTTCCAGGCGATTAATAATGCATAAGCAACAGGGCTCCTTTAAGGAACATATAATCTCTTCCCACAACCAGACCATCACCAGAGAAATCTTAGCAAACAACACAGAAATCATCGATAAATACAGCGATAGCAGGCAGCTTGACATCTGCAAGGCACTACACATCAAGAAGTCAACACCAGCAATCAACAGCCAATTAATGCACAACTATATTCTACCCACTTCAAGACTCTGCTCCAATATAGAAGCATCAGGAAATATGGGCCAATAAGCCCTTTGCAGTTACTTCCATCCTTACCTTCAATTTACCCAAGTAATACCCATTGTTTTGTGTTCTGTCCTGTGTTGAAAGTTTTGTTCACCTCATCCAAAACTGATGGTAACATATCACCTCACCCAAAATGGGGGTATAAAATGAAAGCTGTTTAATCATAGCATGGTAAGAACTCTGTTTAGTGTTTGCAGGTTATAGTTGTGTGTGTGTAAACTAAAAGTCTTTGAAAATGTAATAAGTTATTACGAAACGCGTTCAAGTGTCGCGTCAGACTAGAAATAAAAATGAATTTTGGAGAATTGATTTTTCAATTACCATCAACAGTGAAAAGAAACATAAGAAATATTGAGAAAATTCGTGTTAGAATTATTAATCTTACTTTTTCGGTCAAATTTAATAATATATATATAATGTCGTACCTAGTAGCCAGAACGCACTTCTCAGCCTACTATGCAAGGCCTGATTTGCCTAATAAGCCAAGTTTTCATGAATTAATATATTTTCTCTAATTTTTTTCTTATGAAATGATAAAGCTACCCATTTCATTATGTATGAGGTCAATTTTTTTTTATCGGAGTTAAAATTAACGTAGATATATGACCGAACCTAACCAACCCTACCTAACCTAACCTATCTTTGTAGGTTAGGTTAGGTAGCCGAAAAAGTTAGGTTAGGTAGGTTAGGTAGTCGAAAAACAATTCATGAAAACTTGGCTTATTAGGCAAATCGGGCCTTGCATAATAGGCTGAGAACTGCGTTCTGGCTACTAGGTACGACATATATATATATATATATATATATATATATATATATATATATATATATATATATATATATATATATATATATATATATATATATATATATATATATATATTATATATATATATATATATATATATATATATATATATATATATATATATATATATATATATATATATATATATATATAATATATATATATATATATATATATATATATATATATATATATATATATATATATATATATATATATATATATATATATATATATATATATATATATATATATATATATATATATATATATATATATATATATATATATATATATATATATATATATATATATATATATATATATATATATATATATATATATATATATATATATATAATATATATATATATATATATATATATATATATATATATATATATATATATATATATATATATATATATGAGCCTAAATCTTATAACTGGACATAGCACACATTTTGCCTGAAAAATATGTAATGATAATCACTCACTTCCTGTTGTTAAAATTTCAGTAGCTCAGAGTATGTCTGTCCTGCAAGTTCCTAAGGACATGGCGTTAGGACCGTTACATATGCCTTAGTAACCTAGGCCACATTACTAGGAAGGCAAGTGAGGAACTCAGGACTTTTTCAAGATGAGGGATGGTTAGTTAAGGCCTAAGGAAGCAAATGTGAGTCCCTTGTATGCATGGGAGTTTCGAATCTTTTAATATACTAACATCATCACATGGCTGGCGCGCCAGCACACCCATAATACGTTGGCTGGCACAGTGCATGGGTTATAGATGGTGGCCCTCAGGTAAATTTGAATTTTAAAAACAAAAAACATTTGGTTACAGTATTAACTGAAACTTAGTAATTCAGCTGTGCACTGCAGCAATCAATGAAAGTTAATATGAAGCACTAGTTTTGTCATAATGCATTTTCTGAATTGAAAAGAAATTAATACAGATACAGTATTTCTTATTTATCTTTAGTAATACATTATATCAGTTAGCTCAGAGTATTAGCTTGATAGTTGTTAGAATGTAATTATTGCTGGTTTCATAAATTTTTCCTTTGTCATGTATCATTACATACAAAAATGAAGCCCCTCATCAAATTTCTTACCTGTGAATGAATGCAGCTTCTCCCACATGTCCTTCTGCCATTCAGCATGAGAGGCAGAGAGGTCTTGGTGAGTGTTGAGGTTATCTATCATCCATTCCAAGTCCTCAATGTTCTTCTTGGTGTTTGTTGCAAGTGTCTCATGCCGGGACTGGACTTCTACCATTGCTGTCATCACATCCTTGTTGCTCGGTGATGCTTGAAGTAAGTAACCAGCACGCTCTTTTACAGCATCCAGCACACGTTTGTGTGATGTAATATCTTGTAATGTTGTCTGTTTGGAACCCAAATTTGAATATTTAATATAATGTATATTATAATTTAAGACTGCTGTTATATTTTACACATTTCTTATGACAAGTGATTAATTTTATATTACTATTATAGTTAAGGTAACCAAAAATTCAAAACTGACCTTAAGCTTTAATAGCCTAGACCGAAGTTCCTGTAATGATAGCCAGTTGGATGGATCAACAACAATGGTTTTTTCCATGTTATCCAGCCAATTGCGTGCAGTTTGGGTACTATCCGAAAAGGAAGACCACTGCAGGGTTTGAGCTTCTTGTTTACGGTGCTGTTCCACAATAGAAGCTTCTAATTTCTCCCAGTGTTCACGCATTGACCTTAAATCCTGACGAAGTTTCTCTCTGCCTATTGTAGCAGTATCAGGGTATAGTCTTTCACCAATGGTAGTAGTGGACCCCAGACGATGTGTGGCCTGCTCGCGCTCACTGAGCAAGTATTGCAAGATATTCTCCTTTTTTTCTGGATCCTTTTCATTCAATAAATCATCAAGGGATTCTTCCATGGTGTTCAGCCATTTTTTATTCTCCTCAAACTTTTCCTCATAGCTCTCATGGTCTGCAAGAATTCCTCGCCACTTTGTAACAGCCTCCTTTGTGAGGATATGAAGACTTTGGTAGCGGTTACTTAACTGAGTAATGAGAGGTTTGAGACGATCTACACTAGAGACACGAACAAGTGCATGACCCTGATCAACGAAGACATCAATCTCTCGCTCATAACGTACAACTTCTTCCCGTTTTTGTGTCAGAGCCTTGATGCGTGTTCGTTTCTCTTCCAGAGAGGCACTCAGTTGCTGATCCTTGAAGAAAGATTCTAACTCTCGGCACCATGCTGAATGACGGTCAAGGTCTTCTTCAAACTGACTCCACTGTTGTATAGTCCCATTCAAGTTCTCACGTACATCACCTAAAATAAGATCATGTAAGTAACTCAAATATTGCAAATGATGCAAATAGTAAAAAAAAAAAAAAACAGCATTGAATGTAATGAAATGCCATTTTCTGGGCGAGCCCCGGAGGCTCCCTGAAGCTATCTGAACTGATATGTGCTACGTAAGTTTGGGGTCATCAGTCACACGAGTTCTTATGCCTACCAAGAACCTTAAGCCAGAACCTGGTCCCCTCTGAGAGATGCAGAGAGCAATGGCCTAAGAGCAATTTACATTTAAAGTATGTCATAATCGCTATCGACTGGGGAAGGCACCCAGAAAGATAGGCCAAACAAAACTGACCACAATCTGGTGAAAATTGTGACCTACATCCAAAAATAGCAAAAGAACTTCCCCAGAAAGAAAACAAACAAGCAAACCTTCATCCAACTAGCAGTCCCGCTTGTCAGTGCTACCACCCGAAAAGGAACCTGCAACCCCCACTTCAGTTCTTGAATGAAGATCGCCGACCAGAGGGAGATAGGGTGTCAAGGGGCCTCAGTGGCTTGCCCAGAAAATGGCTTTTCATGACATTCAATGCTAGTATTCTGTGGGAAGCCCTGTCTGCTCCCTGAAGCTAACTACCCACAGATAGGTTAAAAACAGGGACTAACCCAGGAGGCGGCAGCACTACAGGTCTCAATTTGAAGAAGAGACTGACGGCCACGACAGTCTCCCCAATGCAACACAAGGCTGGAGAAGGCCAGGGATGTTCACGAGATACCTGGCAGCCAGAACAATGTTCGACCTTCAAAACCCCTCGTGCCCGAATGTTGACCCAAGACATATTACCAAAGATTGCAACAAGAGCAGCATATTGCCTCACATCAAAGGCTCGAGGGTAGACCACCGGCTGGCTAGACTTAATTACACAGCGGACAACCTGAGACACACGAGCCCTGGAACAGCGAACAAGGCAAACCGGATCCATCCAGAGCGCGTCCACTGTAATTGAACCAGTGGCCCACAGATAGCGACGTAAAGCTGCCACCGGACACAACACATGATACACCTACGGCCTAACCAACCAAGCACAAACAAAAACACAAACACAAACCGAAACACAACACATGCAGGAATGGCTCAAGACTCTTAGGCTCAAGACTCAAGACTGCAGGAATGGCTCAAGACTCTTAATCATGGGCGATTTCAACCATGGAAAGATAGACTGGGAGAATGGGGACCCACATGGTGGTGCAGATATGTGGAGAGCTAAACTCTTGGAAGTGGCAACAAGGAACTTTCTGAGCCAGCATGTCAAGGAACCCACAAGAGTGAGAGGCAATGATGAACCAGCTAGACTCGACTTGATATTCACCCTGAATGAGTCAGAAATAAGGGAAGTCAAAGTTGAAGCCCCCATAGGAATGAGTGACTACAGTGTACTGACTTTTGGCAACTTGGTGGAGGTAGGGATAACCTATCCAAGGATGGAATCGGAGGGAAAAAGACTAAATTACCGAAGAGGAAAATATGATGAGATGAGGAACTTCTTCAGGGAAATACCATGGGGAAACAGAACTTATGAGACAAGAATGTGCAGGACATGGTGGATTTTGTCACCCAGAAGTGCCAGGAAGCTGCAGACAGGTTTATCCCCGTCCAAAAGGAGAAAAACGAAAAACAACAGAAAAACCAATGGTTCAACAAGGAATGCAAGGTAGCGAAGCAACTGAGTAAAAGAACATGGAGAAACTACAGAAATGACAGAACACCGGAGAGCAGGGAGAGATACCAGAGGGCCAGAAATGAGTACCTCAGAGTGAGGAGGGAAGCAGAGAGACAGTTTGAAAATGACATAGCGAGTAAGGCCAAGACCCAACCAAAGCTGCTCCACAGCCACATCAGGAGGAAAACAGCAGTGAAGGAACAAGTGATGAAACTGAGAAAAGGGGAGAACAGATACATAGAGAATGACAAGGAGGTGTGTGAAGAACTCAAAGTTTCCAGGAGGTCTTCACAATAGAACAAGGAGAAGCCCCTGCAGTAAATGAGGAGGCAAACTAAACAGCCTTGGAGGAATTTGACCTCACCAGTGATGAGGTCAAAAGGTGTCTGTTGGAGCTCGATGTGACAAAGGCTGTTGGGCCTGACAGAATCTCACCATGGATACTAAAGGAAGGTGTAGAAGCACTAAGTGTGTCCCCCCCAAAAACCAAGCCTCACAAGAAAAAGCTGGGGCAGCCGGAAATTTACTAAGGAAGGGAGCCCACTGGCAGACTCATACAACCCGGATGGAGGAACAGGCTCGAATGTCTCCGTTGCTACCCCGGAAGGGGAAACCCCCAAGACCCCCCCCCCCTCTGAGTCTCAAGACCATCGAATCCCCGCCCCGACCCTGAACCCACAGACAGAGAGGATTCAGATGCAGGGAGCAGGTGGGGGGAGGGGGGATTAGACAAAATCACAACAAGGGAAAGACAAGAGGGTGAGAAAGGAACAAAGCCGAAGCAACCAACAGCCCCAAGTCCCGTCACAACAACCAAAACGGGGCAGCCTCGGGGCTTCTGGGAGCAAACAACCTAGCACGTTGCAACCACCTGAATCCAATGTGCAATGCCCGTGCTGCCTGCACCCGCATATTCAGCATAAGACCGGATAACTGAATCACAAACAAACAACAAAACTCACAGCACTCCAGGTCAAAGGTGCCACCGACCCCCACAAGCAGCAGACGGAGGCAAAAACAATGAGTCGCCCTGAGACAAGGGGACAGAGCATCCCTCGAACTCGCACAAAGTGAGAGGGGACTCAGGAGTCACATCCATCGGACCCACACGCCCCCATGAGGATTCCCAGGGTCCTGAGACAGACCTCACGCTCAGGAAAGCCCAGGCAGGGTACTGCAAACTGGCGCCCAAGTCTACCAAAAAACTTTTAAGGACTGAACTCCTGGGATGTGTACACTCACGGGGACCAAGCAGGAAAAACTACTGGAAACGAAAGAGTACTCAGTACACAGGGGGCAAGAACCAAGGCAGACTCCCACCAGGCAGGCAGGCAAACAAAAAGAAAAGGAAAACCCCAGAAAAGAGGGGTTTTCAAGAGAGGACAGCATATCCAGGTGGAACAGAGGTAGCCGCTATGATTGGTGAAAAGAAGCTGTGCAATACCCTATGCCCCTACCAGTGCAAACTGTCCCCTACCCAAAGGCGAACAAGGGAGACAGAACACCCAAGCACGCAAAGGGTTGCCGAAAACCAAGCAGTAATCGGCCTAAGAGGGGCAGAACCCAAGGAACTTGGGGAAGGTTGCCCCAAGCCCCAAGGGCAGTACTTACTGGGCACCTAGGGAAGGAAGCATACAACCCGAGTACTGAAGAATCACTCCCGGCTCACACACCATCTAGAAGACAGTCACCACACACAAGGTACAGTGCTGAAACAATCACTGGAGCCAGAGCACACGACCGTTGCCTATAGCATCAGCCTCAGAACTGGGAGGTGGATTGCCGGCGCGGGGGTCTGGGGCTCCCCCCTTCTCCCTACCGGGGAGGAGGGAGCTGCGCAGACAGTGGTGCGGTGACGTGTGACGTCATACTCGTTTGCCCGTTTCTGTTTGCAGAGTTCTATCCACAGTTCGGCTTTTCGTTGCAATTTTCACCAGAATAGGGGTCTGTTTTGGGACGCTTACCTTTCATGGTGCCTGACCCAGTCGATGGCAGACAGAATGCTTCCAACCACACGGGGGTTGCTTCCAACCCACAGAACTCCATACACATGACTGATACCAAAGTGTGACATTAGCTTATCAGCCTAGATAGCTCCAGGAAGCTGACGGGGCTCCCCTCAGAAATAGTAGAGAACAAGCTCATACAGTGTACTAATATTAAAATATGGATTATAATCAGTTAAATAACTGCAACAATCCTAATGTCTTACACATACAGCAATTTTAAACGACAAAAATTCAGAATCATACTGACCAACAGTGACAATATGCAGATTCCATGCATCCTCCATAGATGTAATAGTAGCTCTCAGTGCCTTGCCACCACGCTCAGAGGTGCTTAATGCCACCTTCTCTCCCAGGGTCCGTAGCTCCAGGAGCTTCTTATCACCAAGGCCATGCACTGTGGCTAGATCCTAAGGAGGGGAGGGATGTTCAATACCAGATTAGCACATGAAGATGGAATCTTAAAAGGCCATATACATCGAACCTGGTAATAACACTACTGTACTTTATTAGCATTCATTACCAAATATATCTATCATAATATATACTAGAGAAAAATACTGTACTCATAAATACATTTTTTATTTCTCTAGCTCAGATCTTGAAATCATGTTTTAAGAAAATACATGTAAAATACTTTAAACCAATTACATACACTGCCTGCAATACATGTACTATACTAAGAAAAATCTATAGCTATTATCTGGCCTTTCTCATGACACCAAAGCAGTTCAGCTGCTTATTAGTTGGGAGAATTAAAAGACAAAGTAATTCAATATGTGCCTTTCATACAGTGAAATGCCATTTAGGTCCCAAACATATAGAATATTGTTAAGTAAATTTACAATTACTGTACTGTATTGTGATATGACAATGGTCCAATTTTGAACCTGTATCCACACTCTAACATTTACAGTATGCATTACAATGTAGCTGAGATGTTACTAATGAGCCTCCTAGAGGTCATTCCAGGCTAAATTGAGTATTCTCCAGTGTTTTCTTTGAACTATTGTCACCTGGCAGACATTCAATCGAACCCATATGTGCTGATACAAAATGTCAGACTATCCTAACTCATTGCCCTGTCCATGGAAGCAGCAGCACCTTGCTTAAGGAATGCTTGTTGCTTCACTTTAGTTTATATAATGTGTTGAATGTCTCAATTTATATAATGTACTTATAAGTGTCAAAAAACCAGCATTAAATGTAATGTAACGCCATTTTCTGGGTGAGTCGCAAAGGCTGCCAGGAGATATCCAGGCTGATATGGATACCCTAACTATTTTGCATCAGTCAATGTGAGTGGAGTTCTAGGCCTACCGTGAACTTTGAGCCAGAACCTGGCCCCCCTCACAGAGGCATGAGGAGCAATAGCCCATAGAAATGCACATGAGATTTGGAGCATTCTATATCTGACATCGACCGGGACTGGTATCCAGAAAGGTAAGCGCCACAAAACAAACCCTTATTCTGGTGAAAACAATGAAAATCCCCAACGAGTGGACAAAACTCACCAAAAGAAAAACGAGCAAACAAGCATGACATCACATAAGCCACGCCGCATGTCTGCGCAGCATCCCCCTCTCCAGGAGGGAAAAGGGGGAGCCCCAGACCCTCGCGCCGGTGATCCATGCCCCAGTTCTGAGGCTGGATATCAAAACGCGAAAAAACGCCGAACAGAGGGAGGGGGGGTTGCCGGGGAGCCTCCGGGCCCAGCCTAGAAAATGGCATTTCATTACATTTAATGTTGGTTTTCTGAGGGGAGCCCCTTCGGCTCCCCGGAGCTACTTCACCAAAGACAAAAGAAGAAGAAAAGGGACCTACCCAGCAGACGGTCGGTGTTCCACTCCTCAACTTGAAGTCGAGACAACGGACTGCAACCGCTGACCCAAAGCCACACAGGTCTGACTGGGCCCAGGAACGTTCATGAGATAGCGTGCAGCCAGGACCTGTTCGACCGCCAAAAACCCCGTGCCCAAATGTCTGCCGAAAACATGTTACCCTGTGGATGACCTGAGAGACCCGTACTCACGAACAGGAAAGAAGGGAAGCCGGATCAACCCAAAGCGTGTCTCCGGACACAGAAGCCGTGGCGCACAGAAAACGGCAGAGGGCCACAACCAGACACAACACATGATGAACCCCTGGCCTGACCAACCAAGCATCAACAACCCAGAGACCCCTTCGGAAAGTAGCAGTCTCGTTCTTCGCCAGAAAAGAGGAAGACGGCTGCAAACGAACATACCTATGCCCACAACTAAAAGAGTAGAAACCTCTGCGCTGGAGAAGAACATGAAGCTCTGCAACCTGACCCCCAGAGGCCAATGCCAACAGAAAAAGAGCATTAGTAAAACAATCCTGAACTGAGGGAGCCACAAAAAACCGAGGAGAAGAAAGAATGGAGAGCACTCTGTTCAAAGACCAGGACGGCTCAGGCGGCGCATGAGCAGGCCAGAGGTTACCTTGAGGTTACCTTGAGGTGCTTCCGGGGCTTAGCATCCTCGCAGTCTGGTCGTCGACCAGGCCTCCTGGTTGCTGGACTGATCAACCAGGCTGTTGGACACGGCTGCTCGCAGCCTGACATAAGAGTCACAGCCTGGTTGATCAGGTATCCTTTGGAAGTGTTTGTCACGTTCTCTCTTGAACACTGTGAGGGGTCTGCCAGTTATGCCCCTTATGTGTAGTGGAAGAGTGTTGAACAGTCTCGGGCCTCTGATGTTGATAGAGTTCTCTCTCAGAGTATCTGAGTATCTATTGCACTTCTGCTTTTCAACGGGCGTATTCTGCACATCCTGCCATACCTTCTGGTCTCATGTGATGTTATTTCTGTGTGCAGGTTTGGGACCAGCCCCTCTATTATTTTCCACATATAGATTATCATGTATCTCTCCCGCCTGCGCTCAAGGGAATACAGATTTAGGCTTTTTAGTCGGTCCCAGTAGTTTAGATGTTTTACTAAGTGGATTCTAGCAGTAAAGGATCTCTCTGCACACTCTCCAGGTCAGCAATTTCTCCAGCTTTGAAAGGGGCTGTCATTGTGCAGCAGTACTCCACTCTAGAGAGCACTAGCGTTTTGAAAAGCATTATCATTATCAGTACAGCATCTCTAGTGTGAAAAGTTCTTGTTATCCAACCTGTCATTTTCTTGCAGTTGTGACGGCTACTTTATTGTGTTCTTTAAAGGTAAGGTCTTCCGACATGAGTACACACAGATCCTTTACATTGCCTTTTCGTTCTATGTTATGATTTGCCTGAGTTTTGTACGTGGTTTCCGGTTTTATATTTTCATTTTTTCTGTAGCGCATGAGCTGGAACTTATCTTCGTTAAACACCACATTATTTTCTGTAGCCCATAGAAAGACCTGATCTACATCTGATCGGAGGTTTGCCGTGTGCTCTATGTTGGCAACTCTCATGAAGATCCTAGTGTCATCTGCAAAGGATGATACAGTGCTATAGGTTGTGTCCTTGTCTATGTCCGATATGAGGATGAGAAAAAATACTGGAGCAAGCACAGTACCCTGGGGGATTGAGTTCTTCACGGTTGATGGTCCGGATTTTATTTTGTTGACTATTACACATTGGGTGTTTTGTTGACTATTACACATTGAGGAGAAACAATGCACGAGACAGCTTGCGAAACGGTGCAGAAGTAACATCGATTCCGAAAGCAAGCTGCAGCGGCTCCGCCAGTGCTGCACGATATGAGGCGACAGTATTCGGCATAAGACGATGGTACTGGAACAACAAAGAGAGAAAGGACAACACCACCCTAACTGAAAGCGAAGAGCAACGACGAAGAGTCAAAAAGAACTAGAAGGACCACCAGGAAACTTCATACTGCTGCCGAGAAGCCCCAGGTGGGAAACCATCAAAGAGGCCACCTGATCACCACAGAGATGGTGATAAACTCAAGTCAAAAACACCAAATGCGAAGACTCGAGGAGAAGAGCTAACTAGTCTCGTACTGGACCGAGCCGATCTCCTGAAAGAGGCAGAGCCACGGAAAACCCTCTGAGTTTGGACACCGGACAAGCAGCGCCTGAAACCACAGCTGGGCCGGCCACCATGGGGCCAAGAGGACTACGCGCCCCTGAAAAGTTTCCAAGTGAGCAGGACGTGGAGAAACAGCTGAACTGGGGAAAAGAGGTACAGGAACCCCCACCTCAACCAGTCCGGGGTCTGGGGTTCCATCTTCCCCCTCCCGGGGAGAGGGGAGCTGTGCAAACATGCTGTGCGGATCATGTGACGTCATGCTCGTTTGCTCTTTTTTTTTTTTTTTTTGGGGGGGGGGGGGAGTTTCGTCCACTCGTTGGAGATTTTCATTGTTTTCACCAGGATAGGGGTTTGTTTTGTGGCGCTTACCTTTCTGGGTGCCTGTCCAGGTCGATAGCAGATATAGAATGCTCCAAATCACATGTGCATTTCTATGGGCTATTGCTCCTTGTGCCTCTGTGAGGGGGCCAGATTCTGGCTCATAGTCCACGGTAGGCCTAGAACTCCACCCACATCGACTCATGCAAAATAGTTAGGGTATCCATATCAGCCTGGATAGCTCCAGGAAACCGTTGGGGCTCTCCCCAGAAATGGTGATTAACTACTGAATATAGGCATACAATGTAATATTTACACCTTTATTGCACATAAACCTGTTTCTGGCACAGATTAAACAAAGTGTCTTGTAATCCTCTCCTTTTGCTGCTATTCTGTCTGGGAACAGATTCAAACACTGGCAAGAAAGACCAAATTGTGATTGACAATAATTGCATGCATTAGTACACGATAACCTCACATTTTTGTTTTAATTTATACTGTATATACAAGAGTTCTTACACTTGTGTAAAGCCACTAGCACATAATAAGCAATTACAAAACAATAGCAGAATGTTTCATGGGTCTAGGTTAACTCCAATACATCTATGCACTATAATACCCCTACTGTATTTACATCCTTTGTATAAAAACTGGCAATAAATGACGATAATTGCATTCGCCCATGGATCAAAATAAGACAATAACTGACCTCTAATAGTTAAATTGATATGAAGTATAGTTGTAGAATGTTATCTCTTCATTGTATTACTAGTGCTAGTATCAACACCTTCATTAATACTTGTTCCACTTTGTTAACATTTGTACAATACGTTACAGTAGGTTTGCTTCTGACATATTTGAAGGATAAAACTTATTATGATAGTGATAAAACCAGCGCTGAATATAATTTAATGCAATTTTGTGGGTGAGCCCCTGAGGCTCTCTGGAGCTTATCGGGCTAATGTATGTTATATTAGACCAGGATATTAGCTATGGAGTTCATACCTACCAGGGACCAGCGCCAAAACCTGGCCCAATCAGAGAGGTTTCAGAGAGCAACGGCCCTGGAACTCCCCCCCCCCTTGTTGTTGGGGTTTTCCTTATCTGCCATCGACTGGGGTTAGGCACCCTGAAAGGTAGGCATAACAAAACAAACCCCACAAAAAAGTTTAAGAAACTAAAACAAAAACCGAACAGAGAGGTAGAAACTCCCTACAATCCCATGGAAACAAGCAAACAAGCAAACATCACACTTTACTGCCGCACCGCTCATCCCTCCACTCCCCGAGATGGGGAGGGGGGTGCCCCGGACTTCACTGCGCCGGCTGCCTAGCACCAGTTCGGAGGCTAAGCTTCAACCAATGCAAAAAAAAAAAAAAACGCTGAACAGTGGGAGGGAGGGTTGCCAGGGAGTCTCCGGGGCTCACCCAGAAAATGGAGTTTCATTACATTCAACACTGGTTTTCTGTGGGGAGCCCCTACGGCTCCTTGGAGCTACATACCTAAAGAGAAGGAAAAGAAAGCGCCGACCCGGGAGGCGGCCGCCACAAACTTCGCAACACGAAGTCGAGACAACAGGCAGCAATATGTGACCCAAAGTAATTCAAGAACGTCCAGGAGCGGAGATGCTCACAAAATAACAGGCCGCCAGGAACCTGTGCAACCTCTAAATCCTCGCACCCAAATTGAGCCCAAGACACGTTACCAAACACGGCAGAGAAAGCTGCAAACGTCCAAATGGCACGGGCGCAAGGATAGACCACAGGCTGGTAGATTTAAGAACCTTGCGGACGACTTGTGTATGACGTCATACACCGAAACCCTGTGTATGACGTGATGCACAATTTATAGCAAGTTACTCAACACATCATATGATGTGTTGTGCAGTTTAAGGATTAACACCTAAAACTAACAAGGGGTAGATCACAACACTGAAAACCCCTACAACGTGTACAATCTCAGGGACCTAGCAGAGGCCCAAACCTCTGCAACTAAACACTACCAGTGGAACTATAGCTACACTAGGCAGACCCACACCAGGCAAATGAAAATAAAAACATAAGAAAACCCCCCACAAAAGTACACCATCCCCAGAGGCAACAGGAACCGGCCACCGTGTAGGTTGCAGGTCGCGCAACACCTTGACGCCCTAACCAGCACAATACCAGTCCCTTCGAAAGGCCAAACAAGGGCCCCAAGCCCCAGCTGGACCCAAGGGCTAGACAAATGCAGAGCAGCAAGAACCTCTACGGGAATGGTTCCTGAACGCCCCAGGGAAGATAACCCTGTCAAGCAGGGGCAGTACCCACAGGGCGCTTAGGGAAGGAAGCCCCTAAGCGCATGCAGCCCTGGTACTGATGAGAAACACCTGGCCACAGCACAACTCAGAACACGGCAGCGAGCGCCACAAAGGTAAACACCGCCTAGGAAACTGAGGCCAGAGAAGCGTCAGTCCCGGTTGACATTAGCTTACAAACTGGTGCTAGGCAGCTGGCGCGGTGAGGTCCGGGGCACCCACCCTTCCCCTCTCGGGGAGGGAAGGGCTGCGTAGATGAGCAGCGCGACAGTAAAGTGTGATGTTTGCTTGTTTCCTTGGAATTGTAGGGAGTTTCTACCTCTGTTTGGTTTTTGTTTTAGTTTCTTACCATGTGGAGTTTATTTTGTTATGCCTACCTTTCTGGGTGCCAAACCCTGGTCGATGGCAGGTAAGGAAAACCCCAACCACAAGGGGGTTTTCCAGGGCCATTCCTCCCTGAAACCCCCTCTGAAGGGGCCAGGTTTTGGCTCTGCTCCCAGGTAGATCTGCACTCCACAGCTAATGTCCCAGTCTAATATAACATACATTAGCTTGATAAGCTCCAGGGAGCTGTAGGGGCTCCCCACAGAAAAAGTAAAAATTGGAGGAAGACGGTGGCGAAACATAAGCGCTAATGGCTCGTAAAACAAGAGACTCGCAGTGTAATATTATTAATGCATTATGAACATAGACTTGACATTTTTGCATTTGTTAGAAGTTTTGTGTATAATGCCTGATTCATAAATTCTGAAGGACCATAGAATTTTGTGGAATTACTGAAGTACAGTTCAACAATATTTCACTGTATATCACCTACTTATAAAGCTTTGTTACAAATTACCTTTCCTGTTATTAAATAGATGGTCCAAACATATGCAGTAACTAAATCTAAATATTGAACTAGTGTACATATAAATTTAATCTTATGTAATATGTGCTTTATGTAAGAAAATTGTGCAAAGGTGTTGTGGTCAAATTATGAAACTTGCATTCTATATTACCTTCTTAAGTGAATATTGCATCAACAAACATAACACTTCCCACAGTTTTAAAACATGGAAAGGGAGCATGCATGGGATATATATCACATCTGTAAGTTAAAAAGACCCCATTCAATTTTCTCAAGAAATGCTTCCAGTTAATACCAGTGAGTTTAGTACAGTATTTAAAACAATTTGTATTCATTTACTGTGCATCATATGAATTACAGCTAATGATTGCAATGATTCAGAGCTTAACCTCTGAAATGGTTATTAAAGAGGTATAATTTACATACTGTACTTAACAAGCAAAGCCAATAATTCTATAAACCCTGAACTTAACACCATTTCTATTCCATGTCTCAATGTTTTAATCACATGCTACTGTAATGTAAAATAAATTTGATATATATATATTCATCAGCTACTAAAACTATCCTCAAAATCACAGAAACCTCACAAACAACTTGACATGCGAAAACTATCAGACATAATTTCAGGGCAAAAACATAATATATAAATGCAATGTATATGGTGCTCATGATAAGTAATTTATCTATAAAAGAGAAAATACAATATCAATGTCTATTTACTTTTGTCTGAGTCACTTGTACATTAACTGTAGTGAGGTTAAAGTATTTGAGCCCCACTAACTTTACTCATGATAAATTGTGTTCATCATATTTTTTGCAATATTGTGCTGTATAAAGTCTACATGTTTTAGAGGCTTCCTATATTATAGTGCAGTGTTGCTCATTTTACCTCAGGAGAGCTCCATTTAGTCCAGATCTATCTATGTTCACTAATATAAGCTGTAGAGTATTTGGTAAGACTGCCAGGTGGAAAAGCCCAACGAGTAAATTATGTTCATTGCTCTTTAGAGAAATGTTCATCAAAACAAGCCAGTTCCTCAAGGCTTCTAGTGGGATAAGCTTTGGTTACGAAGCAAAACACGCACTCAGATTCACATATCAATGCATGTACAGTGTGTACCATATATTACTAAGAAAATGTTAAAAGGGCTATGGCATGCAATCCTGACACACTTGTTACCTTTGCAACGATAAGAGTCACTGGCACAAGTTGTGAACAGGTATTAAGTTCAGTTTCTACCCTCTGGAAGAAAGAGTTAAATTGCACACTATTTATGATAGCAACAATAAAAATCATGTACACAAAAGCTAATGTTATATTGATTACAAACTTCTAAGCTATTCCATGAAAGTAAGATGATTATTAACATGCAGCAATATTGGTTTAATAATAAATAAATATTCTAATAAATTAGAGTCTATTGTTTAGTCATATTAACTTTTTTATAAAAGTATGAATGGAGTACATTACTATATATAAATAAATAATAAACACCCATACCTTTAGATTTTCTAGTTTTTTGATGAGATCTGACTTCTCGCCTGAAACATCTGCGCACAGGTGTAGTTGATCCCGCTGAAGATTTAGCCAATCACCAAAGCTCTTGCAAAGTGTGTTGAACTGGGCATGATCCTGTACACATAAATCTAACTTGTCTAAAAGATCTCTGCTCTTAAGCACGATGTTGTGAAACAGTGTTTGAATGGACTGGATATAAACATTAAGTGTTTTATCTTGAGTTTGGTTGACTAAGGTCTGAGCCTTCTCACAAACCATTTCTACCAAACTCTGGTGTGCTTGGATCTCTTGGTGTACTAAGCGATGGTTTTGTAACTGAGCAGTTTTTTCTTGCAAAGAATTCTTAAGTTCAGTATGTTGTTGCATAGCAAGTTCTACATCACGCAACCAACGGGTAAGTTGCTCCTGTGCCCCAGAGAAGTCTGAAAATTGTTGAAGGCATTGGTCAAGAGTCAACCCTGCATTTGTAACAGAGTCACACCAAGCTTCCCAACGCTCCCTTAAATCACGAAGACTCTGTCGAATGTTTTCCCTACCATCTGGAGCTGTGTGTGAATATAGTCGTTCACCAAGCTCAAGGACAGCATCTACTTTGTTAGCCTGGCTTGACTTTAGTTCAATTAACTGTTCAACTTTATTCCGTCTCATTTGCAGGATTTTCATATCACCTACTATTTCAGCATGCTCTCTTAAATCATGGTCTACTGCTTCAACCCATTCAGTGCATTCCTCATATTTTTCCAGGAAAGAGCGGTGTTCGCGGATAAATTGCTCATACCGACTCATCATTTCCTTCAACACATTCTTCAGGGCCTGGTAACGAGAGGACAACTGAGAAATCTGAACAGCGTGCTTGCCTTCACTGTCCATACTTTGTGCTTGGGACAGAGCTTCACTGATTGCCGGGGCCTTCTCAACAATCTCTTCTTCAAGTTGGCGGAGACGATCCAGATGATTCTCTTTGGCATCTAAGGTACTCTTAAGAGACTGGTCTTTAACTTTAATTTCAATAGCTTTAAGCCAGTCTTTTAGTGCTTGAACTACTTCTTCACACTCGTTATACTGTGATAGAATTCCAAATACTTTCCGTTTTCCTTCAGAAATTTCTGACTGTAGAGCCCGCCAGTTTCTTTGTTGAGCATCAAGGTCTGCTTTTACACCTGAATGTCCTGATGGATCAGTATTTTTAAGAGTTAACTCTAAACTCTCCTCGCAAATATCCATAAGAGTTTGCCCATCTTCTTCACTCATCTCAAGTGTGTCAAGAATGTTCATTTTCATCTGGACTTCACTACTTTCTGGTGATACATCTGCACATAATGCCAGTTCAGCCTTCTGCGAGGTTAACCAATCTCGGAATTTTTCTGTATTATGAAGATATGTCTCATGCTGCTGGATGAATTCCTCACACCATCCAATTCTTTGCTGAGTTTGCGAAACTAGATCTTTGTACTGGCTAATCATATCATCAACAGTTTCAGAAGTTTCGTCATCGGTTAAAAACTCAATTTTCTCCTTAAGACCATATATCATACTTTCATGTGAGTTAATATCTTGATAAATAGCTTTATATTGTTGTAGCTGAGTTTTCTTATCAGATAAGGTGGGTTTTAAGTCAAATTCTGTTCCTGCTCGCTGTTGAATTTCCTCTAGCCACTTTGAGGCTTGACTAAAGTTATCATCAAAAGAGGACCACTGCATAATAATACCCTCTACACTCTTGTAAAGTTGGTTAACTTTGTCAAGATGAGCTTCCCATGTGTCCCTAAGGGTGCGAAGATCTAATCGTATCTTCTCACGACCTTCAGGAGTAATGGCTGAAAATAACGCTTCTCCATGCTCAACTACAGCATTCAAGAGCTGCTGGCCATTTTTCTTTTCCTCAACAAATGATTTCAAATTTTGCAACTTGGACTGGTATGCCAAGGTAGGTTTCCCTCCACCTCGCGTCATCAGTTCAAAGGTCTGAAGTTTTTCTTCTGCATCTTTAAGCCAGTCTTCCATTTTCACAATAGTTTCAGTGTAAAGCTTTTGGTCTCTAGTTAACTGATTAAGTTTGTTAAGGAATGTATTGCAAAATTGGATAAGAGCTTGCACTCTGGTTTTTATCTGATTTGCATACTCCCCTGCTCTTGACTCTGGATTTATCTCCATTAGTTCCTGTGTCTTTTCCATGAGTTCACACACTTCATCATCATGACTGTTAACTTCCTCCAAGAGAGTTTCAGTCTTTTTTATCTTTTCTCGCACCATAGTCATGTCGATCTGGTTTGTTGTCTCTGTTCGAACACGACCCTCAACCTCACGAAGCCATGAACTTAGGTTTTCTGTCATTAGTTCATACTGTTGCCAGAGTGCTAAAGAGTGTGCCAGAGCTTCATGGCACTCATCAAGATTGGCACTCAACTCTTCCATTTCAGATATTGCTAACTCACATTCTTCCTCAATATTTTCACGCTCTTCAGCATTTACTATGCGTTCATACAGCTCTTGACAATTTTCAAGATCCTGTCTTTTTGTGAGTCCTAATTTCAGACTTGATCTTACATCAGAAAGAGCAGACATTTTTGCTTCAACACCATACCTATCACTACCTGGCTCATCCTGACACCACAAAATTTTTTCTTGATGAACTGTGATAAACCTCTGTACATCTGACAGCCGGTCACGATAATGTTTTTCAATAACATAATAGAGACTCTTGCATGCTTTTGTCGTCTGGGTTATTATTCCCTCATATTTCTTCTGAAGTGCTGTGTATTCCTTAATAAGTTTATTGGGCTCAAAACCTCTGAAACTTGCCTTCAGCTCCTCAATTTGTATTTTCACTTCTTTAATCCTATCACTATACTGCTGCAACTCTATCTCAATTTTCCTGGCAATTTCAAGGCGTACAATAATTTTCTTGTCATCTCCTGTTATGTCTTCACATTTCATTAGTCTGTCACGTATCTGAGTTAATGATTCACTGAGATCTCTAATATCTTCGTACACACTTAACTCTTGCTCCTTCATTTCATCAAGGTAGGTGCTAAGCTTGGAGGCAGCTAATTCTGTCTGTTCAAATTCAGATGCAAGAGTGCTAATAATTTCCTCAATCCTAGCCAGAGACGTCCCAGCATTTAATGATTCAAGCTGCTTGGCTCGACTCTGAAGGCTGCGGAAAAGACTTTCATAATTTGAAAGTTCAGTTTTATATTTGTCTAACTTTTCCACCGCAGCTTCCATTTCATGTGCTATCTGTGTTTCATCTAAGGCTTCACAGGTATCACTTAGCCATGAAAGGATTTCATCACGCCCATTTATGATCTGTTTCCAAAGAACAAGTTGACCTTCAAGATTTTGTGACCGCTGATTAAGAAGATCCATCATACTTTGCCACTTACTTTGAGTTTCTTGTGAATGTTGACGAACAGTGCTGGAATCAAATCCCGTTTCACTGTCCAATTGTTGGCTCAAGTGTTGAGATTTTGAAATGAAATTCTCAAGTTGAGGTCTGGTTCTACGAAGGGCATCAGTTGTCTTCTTACAAAGGTTCATCATGCTCTGAACACCACTGGCTTCTGATAGTTTCCCCACTAGCTTCTCAATATTGCGTTCAGCTTCTGTGATAGCAGCTTGTAAGTATTCACGTCCATCTGTACACTGTCTCCATAATGACGTGATACTGGTAAACTTAGTTTGCATTTCATATAACATATTTTGAGCACGATCCCAGCTTCCATCTGCTGCTGTCAGAGCATTCTGCACAGACACTAGCTGAGTTGAGTCACTGGACATTAAATCACGTCCCAAATCATGTAGCTTGTCTTTCATTTTAAGTTGTGACTGCATTTCTTGAAGTGCACCTTCAACTGTTTCAAGCAAATTCTGAACTCCTCCATATGTACTCTGTGTTAGCTCCTTGTCAGTAACTCTCCTTGTGACACCATCCAAAAATTCACACAATTGATTCTTAACTCGATGGAATGCTTCCCATTGACTATTAACTTGTTGCAACTGATCTTGTCGACTATCAAGGTGACTGTCTATCACATCCATCTTCTTCTTAAATTCCTGAACTTTTGTTTCTATATCTAACACAGATCCAGTGCCTGGGTCCCTAATAGTCGTCGAACTTTTTCTACAAATATCCATAATGTATGATGCCTCATCATCCCATGAGCGGCATTGCTCTTGCAGATTTGCTAATTCCTTTCTCATTTGTGATAAGTCATTAAGATTGGGTTTGGCATCAAGCTGTTGATTAATTCCTTTCAAAGCTTCATCTGTGTTTCCTTGCCATTCCCAAAAGTCTCGCCACTTCAAAATTGCTGGTTTTTTAGATATTATTACTTCTCCATAGTTCTCAAAGCGGGCTTCTGCATCATCAAACTGAGTGAACAAGTCATCACGATCTCTCCCAGTGCAGCGGTCACCTACGTCATGGCACTCTTCTGCAAGAGATGTTACTTCATTTTGCTTTTCATCATGCTCTTGCTGTAAACGATGAACCAGATCTGGACATCCTTCTAACTCATCTATATCAATATCTTCAAGCTCATCTAAATGGTTGCTGAAGTCATTCAACCATGTTTCAAGTTTTTCAACTTTAGCAATAAATTCTTGACGAACTACCACAATATCCGATAACTCATTTTTCAGTTTACGCATTTCGTCGCTGAACTTTGTAATCATGTTCTTCAACTCTGCAACAGTAGATTTAACAGAAGCACTCCCTTCTGCCCCCATTCCAGCAGAAATATGATCACCAACAGCAGTGAGATTTATGAGATCCGTTTGTTTTTCAGCTACTTCCTTAACCATATCTTTAAGGCTTACAACACGATCTTCTAAACGAAGCACAGTTGGAGCATACTCACTGACTTTCTCTAGGCGTTCTTCCATTTGATGGACCCATGAAGATACAGCATCACATTTGTAGTTAAAATCTTCCCATTCGGCAAGAAGAGATTCTGACTTTTCACTCCACTGTAGAGCAACATCATGTACTGCAGTCCATCGAGAATGAAGAGCATCAATTTCATCAACTACTGAGCACATACGTGCTACTTGGGCACTCTTTGATGACACAGAGCGCAGTTTCTCCAAACAATCATCACATTCCTTTTCAAACTCCTTAGCTACATCAGAGGCTTGAATAGCATCCTGCATACAATTAGGTTTGGTCAGTCCTACAGCAACTTTAGTTTCTGCTTCCTCTAACCATGGCTTTATTTCTTGAATTCCCGTCTGATACTCATTCCAGTGTTTCAAGTCATTTCGAACAGTTTCATAATGTTTTTCTGTATGTTTGCTTAGGGTGACAATGTTCATCTTTAACTCTCCAAGTTCAGCACTAAATTGTAGTGCATCATTTGATGGTTCTCCTTCTAAAAGTTCTTCAGCTTCCTCTTCTAGGGTTCTAACTACACCTAGTTTTTCACTGATCTTGGCTTTGAGCTCATTTGTTTGCGAGTCTCTGCTTTCTGGAGACATTTCAAGAGTAACAAGGCGTTCTAACACATTCTGAGCATTAGTCAACCAAGATTTTAACTCATGTAATGTACCAGTAAAGTGTACCCATTTAACATTTAATTGCTCCAAGAACTCAATTTTTTCTGAGACAGTATCAATAACCATTTGCATGCGCTGCTCAATTTCAACAACTTCTTTCTCAAGTAAAGGCTTTCTTTCTGGAGTAGCAAGTTTAGCAAGATTACTTGAATGGTTATGCAATTTACGAAGCATCTGATCAGTTGTTTCATTAAGGTGTTCATTCATTTCCTGCTTGTTGCTCAATTCATTTGCTACTTGCTGAGGATTATTATGGGCAATAATGTTAGACAGTTCTGATTCAGCCTGAGCTATTAGTTTTAAGATTTCATTCTTCTGGTCAGAATAATCTGACCAAACTTTCTGTGTATTCTTTAGTTTGTTTAACTTATCGACAGAGCCATTGTAAGCTTCGTTCCACTTAGCTTCCAGTGTCTGTAACATGGCATTAACAAAGAGAGGTGCACTCTGGTCCCTGGAAAGGTCTTTACCTTTCTGGATTGTTGAAAAGATATTGTCCCTTTGGTTTTCCAGCTGTTGAACTATTTTTTCTTGCTCTTGAATCAAATATGTAATAGACTCAAGGTTCTCTGGCAGAGCTTCTTTTTCACTCTGCTTTTTAACACCTTCTAATATTGCAACGACATTGTCAATATCTTCACGGTAATGGTAACATTTGGTGTAGGTTTCTGCACGGATGAGGGCCGATTCTATAGTAGGGACAAGAGCCTTATAGCGAGCTATAAGAGACTCTAATTTCTGTTGCTCATACTGGCCATCCTCTTCTGGTATGTGTGTGATTAAGGAGTCTAGCATCTGAACCAGCCATTTCATTGACTCACGACGAGACTCCATATCACCACACATGGCCTGTATGGAGAAAAGAACATATTACAGTACTCTATTAACAAACAGTGTATAGAAATATAACGTATATTTTAAAGCTATAAGTAATAGAAATTACAAAATCTGGGTCCTGACAAATTTAAATATATGAAGCATTCACATTGCATAATATATATATACAGATAAATTCTGATAATATTTAGCATAAACCTGCATGAATTGACTCATCACAGTAAAAAACCCAGCATTGAATGTAATGAAACACCATTTTCTGAGAGACCCAGAGGCTCCCCAGAGCTATCCGGGCTGATATGAATGTATTAGACCCTGGCATCAGTCACGCGAATGAAGTTCTAGGCCTACCAGGGACCATGAGCCAGAACCTGGCCCCTTCAGAGAGGCACAAGGAGCAATGGCCTAAAAAAAAAACCCGTGTCGTGTCATTGGAAGCATTCTGTCTATCGACCGGGTAAGGCACCCAGAAAGGTAGGCGCTCAAAAACAAATTGTATCAGGTTAAAAAGTTGCTACCTGAAAGCTGAACTGATGGACAGAAATCCCCCAAATGAAAAACGAACAAGCGAGCATGATTTTACAACCATCTGCTGTCTGCCCAGCTCCCCCATCCCCGGGAAGGGGGAATGGGGAGGTTATCTTATCTTGAGGTTATCTTGAGATGATTTCGGGGCTTTAGTGTCCCCGTGGCCCGGTCCTCGACCAGGCCTCCACCCCCAGGAAGCAGCCCGTGACAGCTGACTAACTCCCAGGTACCTATTTACTACTAGGTAACAGGGGCATTCAGGGTGAAAGAAACTTTGCCCATTTGTTTCTGCCTCGTGCGGGAATCGAACCCGCGCCACAGAATTACGAGTCCTGCGCGCTATCCACCAGGCTACGAGGCCCCCCCTCCCGAGGGGGAGCCCAAGACCCCCTCACTGGCTATCCACACCTTCAGTTCTGAGGCTGAATGTCAAAAAACCCCTCAAAAACCGCTGACCGGAGGAAGGGAGGGGTTGCTGAGGAGTCTCCAGGTCTCACTCAAAAAATGATGTTTCATTACATTCATCTCATTGCCGAGCCAAGTCCGAACCTGGGACAGAACTAAATGGGACTTCCTCCACTTCACCAGGAACCCAAACCTGGCGAGCTTGGGAAAGAACAAAATCCCTGGTGAGCAGTCAAGCGGACTGGCTGGGAGCCCAAACCAACCAGTTGTTGAGGTAGGCCAACACCCGAACACCTAACAGATAAAGACGGGTCACCACGACCCAGATTAGACACGAAAAAATGGGAGTTGCCAGACTCAGCCTGAATGAAAGACACCGAAAGTGGCAAGCCTGACACCCCCACCACAAAACCTAACTAATCCCTTAACCCTGGGTGAATAGGAACATGCCATAAGCATCCTTGAGGTCCAGGGACACCATCCAAGCACCCGGATCGAGAAGAAGCCAGACCTGGGACAGAGTGGTCACCCAAAAGAAGGGACAAGGAATCCAACAGTTTAGATGGGACAAGTCCAGAATGAACTGAAGATCTGCACAGTCCCATTTTGGAACTGGGAACAAGTAAGAAACCCACTTGAAGGACGAGGTCGTTTCAGCCACGCCCAAACACACTAACTCCAAGACGACCCGACAAAGTAACAGGTAGGAAGCCTGCCCCACCAGCCCCGAACCTCCCAGAGGAGGAGGAGCCACCCAACGCCACCAAAGGTCAGAAGACATGACCTGAAATGCCCACGAATCATGGGACCAAGAGTAGGCAAAAGTTAGCTGTCAGCTAACATGACAGCTATCACGTTAGCTACCTGTGTGATAGCGTAACTAACGTAATTCATCTTAGTTGATTAACTATCTATACGGTGACAGATTGTTAAAGTAATTACTCACTGACTGTTTAATTGTCTTGGTGACAGAGTAATTGAAGTAAAGTTACTGTTGTGATTGATTAGCTGTCCGAGTGACAGATTGTGTTTAATGTAAATTATCTTTGATAGCTGTCTAGGTGACAGTAATTAATGTAATTAACATAGTTGATTAACGTAATTAATTAATACAATTAGGTATTTGTGTAATTGTTTGACTGTTCTTGTCTGTGTGATAGAATCATTAACCACTGTACTGCACAGAGCACCCTAAGGCACTCTGAGAGTTGTGCTATTTTTTTAATTAGGCTATATCTTAATGTATTTTTAATGTTTTCATCACTGTGTTTTGAAATGAAAATGGTTGAGATTGGAAACATTTTGACATTAACTTTACCTGAACATTTATAAAAACACCAAAAATATGTTCTTGACAATTGCTCTATGAAGCTTTTGCCGAAACTAGGTACGCAGTGCGGTGGTTAACGTAATTAATTAATTGTTGTGATTTGATTGCCGTCTAAGCGACGTGTGTTAATGTAATTAATATGATTTATTGCGGATTGTCTTAGTGACAAGTCTGACATGGTTTTGATTGTTATTTGTCATTTGTTTGCATTGCAAGTGTTGATTGCAAACGAGTCCGAGTGTACACCAATGATCAGTTATTTCGCTGTTAATCTTCTTGCCCAAAGCAAGAGGGTCCCGAGAGGTGTTCTCGTGATTTTACCAGCTGAGAGTGGTGGGATAAATTCCTACAGCACTGGTAATTGAGTAGCTGTCAAGTGTAACTCAGGACATTAATGTAACGTTAACTTGTTACCGTTTTGTATTCAGTAAGTTTGTTGAATAAATTTGTTACGATTGCAAAAATTTCTTTACGTTGTACCTTTAAAGAGTACTGCCCCCTATGATTGCCCTGCTACAAGCTACAGCCTTATTTTGTGAATTTGGCTGGTGTTGGCTCTTAGGATCGAACCTAATCATAGCCCAAACACTAAATACTAAAATTTGGTAGAACCCATTGGCAGCCCTCAAGATTGCTACAAGCAATTGAGGAGAAAACGACCAAGTGATTGGAGGATCAGGTAACCGGACTCTGGCATTTGCTCTCGCCTATATCTAAATGAGTGCTAAATACTCACATCTGGCATCCACTCGTAGGGACTGTGGGTTCTGTGTAGTTCTCAGAGATATACTGCACAGCAGGACAAAAAACAGGAGATGCTTTTTCACCCAAATTGTAATAAACTCATGAAACTGTATACTCATCAAAGTTGTAAATACCAATACAGAATTTTAGTTCATAATAGAAAAAAGCCTTCAGGAATAATGGAGATATCTTACACAAGCAATCAGCTTCCTGCACCTATTGAGGTCACTAGAGACGGTGGCGCTCAAACTGGTGAACTAGTCAATGGGGCTCTGTTCCTTGGACACTGCTGATAAGCCACTTACATCTTCCCTTCCACCCTTAGGTTTATACATAAGTAGAGCTTCAAAGTAAAGTTCACTTTTTACTTTCTTACAATATATTATTATGAATATCGTGTTAAGACTTTTAATAATATATGTATGAGTTCAAATCAGAATGTTATTTCTATACCTGCAAACTCTGCTGAGAATGACAGAGTGCCATCAATTGTACAGACATATATATTCAAGAGTCAAATTTCAGTAAAACACAGAACAGTGAAATAATTCCATAAAATTTTTAATAAAACTTACTGTTGTATTTACAGAGAGGAAAAAAAAAATTTGAAAGTGCAAATTTATTTTTCTATGTAATAGTAAGCTGGGAATGCAAGCCTGAGTATATAGGTATTTGTTTAATACAGCTTGCTATTTTGTCGTGATTATAAGCAACAATGTATTACTATACTTACCACAAATTTGTCCTTCAATTTTTCATATTCCTCAGCTTTGGATGTTTCTCTGTTCACTTCCTTCAGGCAGTCATTGACACCATCCATCCATGACACTGTTTCTTCAACTCTGTTAAGCAAGTCAAAATATGGTAAATTTTTCCTTCATCCTTGTGGATGAAGTTAAATTTACAGTGTTATGCATAATGTAAATTATTTTTAAGGCTATATGCTGTATAGGTTAACAATTTATCATTCAGAATATAAAAAAAAATTAAGAGAGTACACACAGTTGCTTTCCGAGACAAAATCCTACTCCCCTATGATTAACATCTGCAATAATTAGACCAGATCAACATACTGCATCAACATCAATTGCAAGCTTTTCAAATCATACAATCATGTCAAAATAGAGCTAAGAAGACACAACAAAATACTTTATCTGACCCAGATTGCATTTTAAATGAATTACAAAAAAAAAAAGTGTTGAATGTAATGAAACGCCATTTTCTGGGCGAGCCCCAGAGGCTCCCCGGAGCTTATCCGAGCTGATATGCTAATGTCAGACTTTGGCATCAGTCATGTGTATGGAGTTCTGTGGGTCTACCGGTGACCACGAGCCAAAACTGGGCCCCCTCAGAGAGGCAAGGGGAGCAATGTCCTATGGAAACCCCTGTGTAGTTGGAAGCATTCTATATCTGCCATCAACCGGGTCAGGCACACAGAAAGGTAAGCATCCCAAAACAAACCCCTATTCTGGTAAAATTTGCTACCAAAAGCTGAACAAGTGGATAGACCTAGCAGGAGGCACCACCTGAAGAATCATGTCAGGTCATACACCAAGGGGCAAGCAAGGTAGACCCCCCCCCTACAAGGCAAAAACAAAAACACTGGTTCAGATGGTGGTTTGCAGTGGTTGAACCCCATGCACAGATACCATAATTAAGATAGGGATAGATTAGTGCTTAATATAGAAAGAAGAGAGCAGAGTTAAGTACATAATATCTGATTTTGGAGAGTATACCAACTGTTTTAGAGACTTTCTTAGTTATGTGTTGTATGTGGGTGCTGAAGTTGAGTCTCTTGTCTAGGAATAGGCCAAGAAACTTTCCATCATTTTTATTGCTAATGTTTACATTGTCTATCTGAAGTTGAATTGCATTTGTAGATTTGCTTCCAAATAGGATGTAGTAGGTCTTTTCTATGTTAAGTGTTAGTCTGTTGGTTGACATCCATAAGTGGACTTTTTTTAGTTCATTATTAACAACATTATTTAGTGTATGTGGGTTGGGGTTAGAGTAGATGAGGGTAGTATTATCAGCAAACAATATAGGTTTCAGAATGTTAGAGACATTAGGCAGATCATTGATATATGTAAGAAATAGAAGAGGTCCCAAGATGCTGCCCTGTGGCACTCCAATGGTTATTGGTAGAGTGGGAGAGGTTATATTATTGATGGCTACACACTGGTGTCTATCACTAGGATAGGATTGGATATAGTCCAGTGCATGGCTTCTGATTCCATAATGATGGAGTTCACATAAGAGGTAATTGTGATTAACAGTATCAAAGGCCTTTCTCAGGTCAATGAAGAATCCAATCGGAAACTCAGCATATCAAAAGGTGAATCACAATAGCTGAAAGAATGAGGTGAGCAGACACTGACGAGAAATCTCGACAACAAGGTAACATATTTATGGCTGTATCAAAAGTGTTGCACATTCATGAAAAAATTGGTTAAGCAAAGCAATTGTCTCGAACCCGAGACCAGGCTCGGGGAGTAGAAAAAATGCCAAAACCCTCTCCAGGTATGCTCCAGGTAAGCAAACTACAACCAAAGCTAAGATACCTATCTGCAGTAGTGTACTAAGAGCAGGAGGTAAACAAGGTGGAATGTGCCCTCACGAACACTGAATAATGTTTCCCATATACAGCACCTACATGCACCGCAAGGCACAGAGTCGAGGAGTGGTGAACACAGTGGTATGCTCAAGAGAAGAAAAAACTGCTAATGCACAAGTGACCACATATATATAATTCTGGTCAACCAATCTGCTAAAAACTGGAGACCTACGGATGGCATAAAGGTGCTATTTTAACAGGAGAAAAGTGAGAACATCAAGCAAAGGTGCATCACCAGGAAATTCACCCTAAAAAATTAATCAAGAGGAGACCTGATAATCAAGGTAGACCTTTCTAGTTAACCATAACCTAATCCTTTTTCACAGGACAAGGAATGGGGCGGAAAGCTTGTGACAGGAACAAAAATAATAGTCCTTTACTTTACACTGAAAGCCTGAATTTTCATAACAATTATTATACATTATTTTACAATTGATGATGGAATCTTTTCAAATAATGATTGTAATATCTTACTTGGTCTCATATTGTGTCCAGCGTTGAGGGATCTGGTCCAGCTGTGAGGCCATGGTGCCAATGCGGGTCTGTAGTTCCAGCCACTGGGCTGTACACCGATGACAATCTTCTATGAGTCCTTTATCATTCTTCTGGAAGTTATAAACTCTTATTCAGCAAAGATTGGTTCGTTTCTATTCATCTGAATACTGCATTACATAATAAAGCAAATTGCTTTATACTAATATTTAATTAAAAATTTCTTCTTGTATTTCATGCTGTATGAAAAAACTAACGTTGAATGTAATGAAAAGCCAATTTCTGGGTGAGACCCGGAGGCTCCCTGGAGCTATCCAGGCTGATATGCTAATGTCAGACTTTGACATCAGTCATGTGTATAGAGTTCCGTGGGTCGAACAGAGCGAACACCGCGCCAACCAAACAAAGGCGGGTCTGAAGGCAGGGCCGGACCCGAAACTGGCACCAGCGGCCTACCTCAACGAGAGGATCCCCGAGCCCTGGCACGACCCCTCCGGGAAGGCTGCCCCCCCCTACCCCCCGGGACTCCAGGAGAACCAACAAGTCAGACACAGGACGACAACTAGCCTTAGCAGCCTGCAAATACTGCGCCACGGCAGAATCCGCAAAAAGCAGAGGACAAAATGGAGAGGACATCCTAAGAGCCAGGGCCCAAGCCGATTCCAGAGAGGAGGCAAGCATCGCCTGCCTACACATGAACTGGGGAAGCATAAAACAGCGAAACCGCATCCCGCAGGATCGGCGCCAAGAGCTTCAACAAGGCAGCCGACGAGCAAGCTGCCAGCCCAAGGCACCAGAGCCAGGAACGGTCCCAAGCATCCCCACATCCTCCTCAAGCCAGTCCGAAGACAGTTCCATGAGGGAAAAGAAATGAAAGGCCAAAGCCAAGAGGCCACGGGCGCGTAAGTCCTCAACAACCTGCGCAGCCGAAAGGGAGGGAACCTGCACATGGAGCTGCACGATGCCAACATCTCGGGGAAGGTTTTTTGAGTTTAGTTCATATATTCTGCACTCCATACCCATCTTGTGGGCAATAGTGGAAAGGGTTACAGAGGCACATAATGGGCTCAGGGACTGAACCCCACAATTCCTTCCCCACTGCCCCAGGGAAGCGCAGGGGCAAACAAGCATTCATTGAGGTGCTCAAGGTCGCCTCCCAGGAAAACCTGAACCACCGTTGAAGCCTCGCGCAACTCAAGCATACAGGAACGACAAAAGGAATGTCAAGCCTCCAAAGCAAAAACAGGACAGTCATCCAGCCAGAGATGACTCCGGAATGTAACGGACTCGGAAAGAGTACGACATCCCAAACCTGAAAGAAGACGGACCCATAACAGAGGCGTAATCTGGGTCTCACAGGAGGTAAGCCGCAAGGGCCGCCCACACCGCAGACGGTTGGATGTGGGAAGCTGAAAACCTCCATAAAGACAGAACTGATGCACCCGGGGGGACACGGAACCAAACCCAAGGAGGGGCAGACACCAAATCTAATTCGTACGCAGAGGGGGGAAAGAAAACCCCCACTCCTTATAACAGTAAGCCCAGCTCAGAGGGCAGAAAAACCCAGGCAGGACCAACAGGGCCCAAGGCCCCCAAGTCTGCCCCTCCTCTGCCTCAGGATCCTCCACTGCAGGACCCAGGGCTGAGCCATCCCCCAAATCATCGGATGATTTGATTTTTCAGAAGAAAAGGGCAGCATAGCCGTGTAAGCCAGACGGAAGGGGGGCCCATTGGTCAGACCCAGAGGCTTCGGCAGGAAGATCGGACTCGAATGCCTCCGTTGCCACACCGGAAGGGGCATCCTCCGAGACTGCCCGAGTCTCAAGACCATCTAAACCCTGCCCCGACTCTGAAACCCTTAGATGCTTCAGGGCCGGAAGCAGGGGGTGGGGGGACCAGAACGAGCCACAGGAGGAGAAGGACGATGGGGTGCGGACTGAACCAAGGACAAAGTGACCATCACCCCAAGTCCGAGCCCTATAAGCAAAACGGGGCAGCCTCGGGGCATCTGGGTCAGCAATCAACCTAGCGCGTTGCAACAACATAAAGCGCACATGCAACGCCTGCGCCGCCTGTACCTGCAGAAGATTATCATTGGACTGGGTAAATTGAGTCACCAGCAAGCAACAAAACTCACAGGACTCCGGGTCGAAAGTGTCATCGACCCGACAAGCAGCGTGATGGAGGCAAAAACAGTGAGAGTCACCCTGAGACGAGGGGACTGAGCAACCCTCGAACTCGCACAAAGCAAGGGGGAACTCGGGGGTCACATCCATCGGATCTGCGCGCTCCCTGGGGTTTCCCAGGGTCCTGAGATGGAACTCACGCTCAGGGAAGCCTCAGGCAGGGTACTGATAACCAGCACCCAGGTCTAGCAACAAAACTTCTAGAAGCTGAACCCCCGGGATGTGGGGGTTCAACAACAAAGAGGCAACACAAGGCAGACCCCCCACCAGGCAAAAAGAAAAAGAAAAAAAAAAAACGCAAGAGGACAACGTACCCAAAAGGAATAGAGCCGGCCCCTATGAATGGTGAAAACAAGCTGCGCAGCACCCTGCGCCCCTTACCAGTGCAAACTGCCTCTTACCCTAAGGTAAACAAGGGAGACAAAACCCCCAAGCACCCTAAGGGCGACCGAAAAACCAAGCAATAAATCGGCCCAGCAGAAGCAGGACCAAAGGAACTTGTGGAAAGTGGCCCCAAGGGGCAGTATTTACAGGGCACCTAAGGACGATAACCCTAGGCGCATGCAGCCCGAGTACTGTAGAATAACTCCTGGCTCGGGCACCCCTAGAGAACAGTTACTATACGCCATGCACAGTGCTGAAAATCACTGAAGCCAGAGCACACAACCTCAGCTTCCAGCATCAGCCATAGAACTGAAGGGTGGATGGCCAGCGCAAGGGTCTGGGGCTACTCCTTCCCCCTCCCGGGGAGGGGGGAAGCTTCGTGTCACAGCGACGTGTGACGTCATGCTCATTTCCTCGTTTCATTTTGGGGAGTTCTATCCACTTGTTCTGCTTTTTGTAGCAATTTTCACCTGAATAGGTGTTTGTTTTGGGACGCTTACCTTTCTGGGTGCCTGACTCGGTCAATGGCAGACATAGAATGCTTCCAACCACATGGGGGTTTCTATAGGCCATTGCTCCCCATGCCTCTCTGAGGGGGCTAGGTTCATGGTCCCCGGTAGGCCCACAGAACTCCATACACATGATGCCAAAGTCTGACATGAGCATATCAGCCTGGGTAGCTGAAGGGGCTCCCCCCATAAGAACTATTATAATATTGTTACTGTAATCATATTCTTTGAACTTTCCTTCAAATCAACAGCATGGAAATATTCAATCTGATTAATCATATAAATAAAATTTTAGTATCTAATAATCTATTATATTATTTACAGTTCGCAAACTACAAAAACATTTCTCTATTAACCCTTTGGCTGCGACTCATTTTCTGTTCTATACTCAATCATATTCTCACCTAGCAGGTAATGTTTAATAAACATTGGATCAATATTTCTAATGTTGATTCCTTATTACATCAATGTTGTTTGTCCACATTTTGCTAGTGGGTGGGGAAGGCTTTCACTATTAACCCATAAACCGCGCAAATCATATATATATGATTTCAGTGACAAAACCGAAACCGCGCAAGTCATATATATATGATTTCGTGTCTAGCGCTATAATTTAAATGCCCCGCCTGGGATAGGGGCAGCTATAGTGCAGCCACGACTGATAGTTGCCAGATGCCACCCAGAAAAAACATCAAAACCAACATTCCCGGGTGTGAGAGCGAGCCACCAAGGCTGACGCACGCAACATGAGCTCACAGCACTGCTGTTCAGCTTGTGACCACAGCATCGCCTACAAATGCCATAATATGTATGTTCATGCTATTATTTAGCAATGATAGTATTACAGAAGACCCCTGACTGTGATAAAACTGACCAGTATTCTGATAATAGCAGGATTGTGGTGATATTTAGCGCTGTGCTCCATGGAGGGAGGAATAATGCTGTGGGAGGGAGGGTAGTGGCGTTGTCTTCTGACTGTGTGTGGCCTCCTTTCATTGACTGCACTCACCATACCAGCTTAGTGGTTCGCTATGGTGAACACAAATGTAGATACTTATATATAACGTGTGTATAGAATGTAATAACAGTAATAGGAGCAGGTTGGGAGCCGCCATTTTGGTGAGGGAGGTGTGTCGTCTGCACAACTTGTCATGTTGTTTACTGGTGGCCACTATGGTCTTTGGGCACCATACCAGCTTATTTGTACAGGTATGGTGAATAAAACAGGTAGATACTTATATATAATGTGTGTATATAGCATAATAACACCACAAACAGTATTTTTGGAGGAGAAATATTAGTGCGTCTTGAGGGCGGCCGGCACCAGCTGACTGTGTGAGTAGCCGTGTCTTTGTGCCTTTACTCACTATACATGCTTAGATGTACAGTTATAGTGAACAAAACATGTAGATACTTATATATAACGTCTGTGTATAGTGAATAAATGCAAAAACAATATTGTGGGAGGAGAACGAGGGCGAGTGAGGTGTTGTTGAGGGAGGGAGTGGCAGAGAGTGGCTGGCTGGTGTGTGGCGGTCACTCCTCATTGCAATTTGACTCACAATACCAACTTAGTGGTTCGTTATGGTGAGCAAAACATGCAGATACTTATATATAACCTGTGTTATAGTGTAATAACAGCAAAACTATTTGTTTATTGTTTTATGAACATAATAATTGAATCACTAATATGCACACCATAATTTTGAGTACAGCGATGGTTCACACATTTTATTATATAAATATATCACAATTCACACTATTGAATAATATTACTGCAAAAAAACAAAGAAAAAATCAGACATTGAAATGATTAGGTAATAATATATTTGTGGCAACTGCTGCCTGACCGCTCGAGCAGAGTAGACCTCGTCTGGCGAAGGCTCTGTCGACGCCCCTTTTTTGCCAGACTTCCCTACCCTATTGCAGCTAAAATATGCCACCAACAATTTTTTTCTTATTTTTCCATGATCAGGGAACAAAAATGAACACTTTTATAAGACGAAAGATTTTTTTTTTTTTTTTTTTTTTTTTTTTGGTGCCTGTGATTGTTGAAGCCATTTGGACCCCTAGCAGTTTGAGGGTTAAGCACCAAAAACATCAATTTATCCTACACACAGCTTAGTGCTCAGGGTTTGCCTTTCTGGATGACAAGCACAAATGCTCACCTAGACTGTGTGCTCTAATTTATATAAAAATTCAAGGCCAGTTTCTAATTGCTAAGCTATAAAATTCATGCATACAGTGATATAGTATTTTACCTTATTCCCATAATCATGACTTGATACATCCATATTGTCTAAAATTTCTTCTATTCGTGATATCAGCTGCTCAGCAAAGAATTCCTGATTGTAAAAAAATCACATTAAGTTCAGTACATTGATAACCATTTATAAACTGTAGTTAAAATTAAAAAATTTTAATGACAAGAATAATTATAGGTTTTTTAGGTAGTTACAGTATTGATCTATTCAAATCATTTTATCTCCAAAACTAAATTGTATACCTGCTAAAATTAAGAGCCATATGATACTTCAAAATAATACAGTTTAATTAAAGCTACTGTATATGTAAATCAAATAGCTCATTACAATAAATTCCTCTGTAAATGTAATACAGTTTATTAAAACCTATTGGAAATGCAGTGTGGTTTTTAACTACATCCCAATGTCACATGAGAATACTTACCTCATGCTTTCGTCTTATGGCTTCAACATTCTCACTTTTATTGTATGCATTCTGTTCGCTGGCTAATTCCTTCTCAATATCACGTACATACATGTGGAACGTATTTTCGTCAAGGCGGAACTCCAGCTGCAATGGGTAATTAGCATTACATTACTATATTTATAGTTTCATCAAAACAGGTGTTAAGAAATTTTATTAAAATGATGCTGAAATATATAATCAGCTACTGTAAATGTTATAATCAACAATTTTCTTTGAATTTGAAGTCAATCATAAAACCAGCATTGAATGTAATGAAACGCCATTCTCTGGGTGAGTTCCGGAGGCTCCCCGGAGCTATCCGGGCTGAATGGATATGTATAACTTTCTGGCATCAGTCAATGCATGGAGTTCTTGCCTACTAGGGATCACGAGCCAGAACCTGGCCCCCCTCTAGAGAGGCACGAGGAGTAATGGCCTATAGAGACTGAACCCCTCTCTAAGAGCAGGAAGCATACAGGGTGATCTCCTGATCAAAGTACAAGCACTCTACGGGTTTTGGCTGGTTGTCCGGAAGGGGCATATACAATCGACCGACAACATAATACATATCAGCTTAATAAGCTCCAGGGAGCCGAAGGGGATCCCCCCAGAAAAACGAAGGGGATCCCCCCCAGAAAAACATATATCATATAATATAGTTAATCATGAAATCATGAGAAAGATTAACTTTAAACTGTCCATCTGAAAAATAGTTTGCAAATGATGTGAGAGCAAGGAAGTCTTTACCTTAAGCAGATGCAGTGGAGCATGGCACATCACATCATCCCACCGGCTCTGTATACTTTTGATGGCCACATTAATGGCATCCTGCTCGGACTCGGCTATGAATTTCTGTAAATCCTGTCCAGTAGCAATCACCTTCAAGAGAAGGTGCTCAGGAGCATTGATGAAAAAATCCTATATTCAAAGAAATGAGATTTATCAATATTAATATTTCACAATTATAATTTGGGGAAACATGGTTTTGAATTTAATTTTAGTGTGTGGATATAATAATTAATTCATTCTGTCATGAAATGTGTACAACACAGAGGTATGTAAACCATTTTACAACACAAATATATTTGCTTCAGTATTCTTATATGAGCACAGTGATGGGATGGCACTGAACCACTCTGGTAATCTTTCAGAACTAAACAAGTCACCATTAGGGTATGTGTGGTGGCAGTGTTTATTTCTAATTACATTTTATACATTCACTCTCAAATCCGTTGTTGAAGTAACAATATCCATTAAATTTGTAACTAGTTCATCGAGACTTGCTTAGCTAAATGAACTTTGCGGTTCAGTCCCTGAGCCCATTGAGTGCCTCTGTAACCCTTCCCACTACTGCCCACAGGATGGGTATGGGGGGCATAATAAGTAAATTAAACTGATCATCATAAAGTGGCAGTAGGGTGATAACTCTTACCAACATGCATACTGATACTGTATTCAGATGGAAAGCAACAGGCTCATCGAGAGACCACATTATATTTGCTACTTATAGCATTATTTATCCAGTTAACTTAGTGGAAATAAACAAATTCCTTACAAACAATAGTGTACTTCCTAATGCTGACTAACCTTATGAGTTTCCAGGTAGCTCTTAGTTGTAATGGCCTTCTCCTGGTATAGTTTTTCTGCACTAGTTATCCACTCAGTGACTTCTGATTCGCACTCCTTAAAGCTCTGCCAACATCGAATACTCTCACTCATGCGAGTTTCCCACGTTACAGAAGCAGCAGTCACACTGGAAAATCTATTTAGAAAAAATATTATACATTCAGTTCAAAATAAAATTTATAGTAAATATTATTTGTTAATTATCTTTGGTTTCTGAAGCTGCTGAAGCTAGTGTCGGAAAATACGATACCATTTACTAACCTTTAATATAATATGCAGATAAAATTGCTGCTGAATTTGTACTAACAAATTAAACAAAATATCTTAGTTATTCATCCGAAGAAAACGAGATTGTTGTGGCTTTTTTCCTGAGAAACACGGAATATCATTGCCACGTCGCAATTAAATTCATCAGCTAATAATGATGTGAATCACTTAAAACACCAGTCTAGTATTAGAATCTATAAAAAATCAGTGTTGAATGTAATGAAAAGTCATTTCTTGGGCGAGTCCCGGAGGCTTCCCAGAGCTATCCAGGCTGATATGAATATATCTAACTTTTTGTGTCAGTCAGTGTGGGTGGAGTTCTAGGTATACTGGGGACTCACTGAAACCTGAACGAAGACGGATCCATAATAGAGGCATAATCTGGGTCACGCAGGAAGGAAGCCGCAAAGGCATTCCGCACCACATGAGGCGGGATGCGGCAAGCCGAAAACCTCCAGAAAGACTGGGCCAAAGAACCTGAAGGGACACAGAACCGAACCCGGGGAGAGACAGACACCAAATCCAACTTGTACAAAATGAGGGGAAAAGAAAACCCCACTCCTTGTAACAGTAAGCCCCGCTCAGAGGGTAAAAAAAAAAACAGACGGGGACCAACGGGGCTCAAGGCCCCCAAGTCAGCCCCTCCTCAGCCCCGGAAACCACAACAGAACCTTGGGCTATGACGTCCCCCCCCCCAAAGCCCTGGACTCAAAAGAAAAGGCCAGTGCAGCCATAGAAGCCGGAAGGAACGGGGCCCACTGGTCAGACCAAAACGCTTCAGCAGGGAGAACCGACTCTAATGCCTCCGTCACTACCCCGTTAGGGACATTCCCCCGAGACCGCTCGAGTCTCAAGACCATCTAAACCCTGCCCCCGATCCAGAAACCCTGAAACGTTTCGGAGCCGGATGCAGGGGGAGGAAGGACCAGACCAAACCACAGCAGGGGAAAGGACGAGGGGGTGCGGACTAAAGCAAGGCCGAAGTAATCAACAAACACCCCCAAGTCTGGGGTCCCTATAACCAAAACTGGGCAGCCTTGGGGCTTCCAGGGAAGCAACCAACCTAGTGCGTTGCAACAACCTAAACCTAACGTGCAACAACCTAAACCTAAAGTGCAACAACCTAAGCCTAACGTGCAATGCCTGCACTGCCTGTACCCAAATAGAGATATCAGTGGACTGGCTAAAATGAGTCACAAACAAGCAACAAAACTCGCAGGACTCTTGAGTCGAAGGTGTCACTGACCCAGCAGGCAGCGTGACGGAGGCAAAAACAACGAGTCACCCAGAGACAAGGGGACAGAGCAGCCCTCAAACTCACACAAAGCGAGGGGAACTCAGGGGTCACATCCATTGGACCCACGTGCCCCTGTGGAAATTCCCAGGGTCCTGAGATGGAACACACGGTCAGGGAAGCCTCAGGCAGGGTACTGATAACCTGCACCCAGGTCTAGCAACAAACTTTCTAGAAGCTGAACCCCCGGGATGTGTCCACTCACGGGAGCCCAGCAGGGGATACCACCCGAACTATACACACACAGGGGGCAACTAACAAAGGCAGGTCTCCCCACCAGGCAAAGAAAAAAAAAAAAGAAAACCCCGCAAGAGGACAACGTACCCAGACAAAACAGAACCAGCCGCTATGAGAGATAACAAACTGCACAGTACCCTGCACCCCTACAAGTGCAAACTACTTCTTACCCTAAGGTGAACAAGGGTGCAAGAAACACCCCAGCACACAAAAGGTGGCCGAACGCCAAGCAGCAAATGATCAAGCAGATGCAGAACCCAAGGAACTTGTGAAAAGTGGCCCCACGCCCCAAGGGCAGTACTTACTGGGCACCTAGGGAAGGTAGCCCAAGGCACATGCAGCCCGAGTACTTTAGAGAATACTTCTGGCTCGCGCACCACCCAAGGAACAGCTCACACCCCAAAGCACAGAGCTGGAGACAATGTCAGGAGCCAGAGCACACAACTTTAGCCTAGCACATCAGCCTCAGAACTGAGGTTTTGGGTGGCCAACGCAGTGTCTGGAACTCCACCTTCCCCCCTACCAGGGAGGGGGAAGCTGCACACCATGGCAACATGGTGACATCATGCTCACTTGCTTTCTTTGTCGAGTTCTGTCCACTCGTTTGACTTTTAGTAGTAGTTTCAACCAGAATAGGGATTTGTTTTGGGATACTTACCTTTCTGGGTGTCTGACCCAGTCAATGGCAGACATAGAATACTTCAAATCACGTGTGCATTTTTATAAGCCATTGCTCCTCGTGCCTCTCTGAGGGGGCCAGTTTCTGGCTCGTGGTCCCCGGTAGGCCTAGGAACTCCATTCACACTGACTGATGCCAAAGTCTAATATATGCATATCAGCCTGGATAAGCTCCGGGGAGCCGTAGGGACTCCCCCAGAAAAGTCCCAAACTTCCCGTTAATTATTTACTACTACATGAAGAGAGACATTAAATATTAACTGATATAAAAATATGATATTAAATTCAATGTGGCTAAACATCTTGCCCTGCCCAGAAATTGAACATGGGTCCTATTTCTTATGAACTGTCTTTGTTAACTACTGTGCTACAGATAACGTGTGCAGATTTTATAAACATATAGTTACAATATAACACATGACTTACCTCTCATTAAGTTTATTTATTTTTTCTTGTAGATCTTGAACATTAAGATTTTCACCGTCATTTGTAGTCCGCAGAAGATTTTGATAGACACGATTTTTTGTGTCAAGCATTGACTTATAGTACAGTTGGCGGGAAAAGAAGGCCTGTTAAGTAAATAGCAAGAAATAGATACTACAGTATATAATACATAAATGGCCCATTATAGTGTTACCTCTAAAATACAGGTAATGTTAGAATCCTACATTGTTCAGAGAAGTCCCCCACTATGAAAATCTAAGAAAAGAAACTTTACTTAGAAACTTTACTAAACGTCTGCCCGAAACGCTTTGCGTAATAGTGGCTTTAGGCATTGTATGTACTAGCTCTATCTATTAACCCAACAAACTTTGTAAAATCTCTTGTATGTATGTACCTTACCTAAATAAACATTTATTTATATTTATAAACATACATTGTATAACACTATTAAAACACTATTTCTGACAAAAAATTGTGTTATAAAGTATTTACTATTGAAAGCACAAGAATAATAAAAAAAGGATGAAAACAATATGATTTGCTAGAAATTACTAAATAGAGTTGATCCAAATAACAGCTGATTCAAAGAAAACCTGAATACGTTTCAAAATCTCAATTCCAGTAGGGTGATTTGGTATCGAAATTAATACCGCATTTATTAATTATACATTAATAATACATTCATTATATATATTTATTATCAGGAGACCTGGATATAGGAGGATACACTGTGCACAACCAGCGTTGAAAGTACAGTAATGAAATGCCATATTCTGGATGAGCCCCGGAGGCTTCCTGAAGCAATCTGAACTGATATAGTGCTTTGTTAGTTTGGGTTCATCAGTCAGAGAAAAATGGGCGAAACTAAAACTACTGTCTGGTGAAAATTGCTACCTACGTCCGGAAAGAGCAAAAGAACTCCCCCAGAAAGAAAACAAGCAACACGTCATGCATCACTCCCGCTCATTAGTGCTCCCTCCACCCCTCGCCCCAAAGGGGGGGACTGTGATTGTGATCAGTCACAGTCACTCCTGTGGCTGTGACCCTAAACTAATATGGCACATATCATTTTGGATAGCTTCAGGGAGCCGACGGGGCTCCCCACAGAAAATGTATTTCAAATCATAAAAATAAGGCATTGCTACATGAACTAAAAGTTACTATGATTCACATGTAAAATATTCAGTACAGTCAGTTAATCTACTGTCATTAATAGGACTATGGTTTTCAGAAAATTTATCACAGACAAATTTCACTCCCCCAAAAATAATAACAGACATGCAATATAAAGTCTGTCAGTCCCATCAGAAAAAACTCACCACATGATACAGTAGGTGATGACCAATCCTGTAATTACCAAGCATAAAAGAACACCTACCCTATGTTTCTCTAGTTGGATTCTTGCCGTCTCATTGATGGCGATGAAAGAAAAGGGTGACTCGGGATCTTCACTCTACACAAAGCAACAGAAAGAGTTGTTATGTGACATTTACAATTTTCAAATCTGACACCTAACTATAACCTTCTGGATTTAATTAATGTTGGTGGGAATAAGGTTTTAAAGAACAAGTCAAAATCAAAACGGAGTACTGTAAACAATTAATAACTTACCCATTATAACAAAATGTTAATGTAAAACTTCAATACAAAAATTGATGATGGCTATGTGGGAAAAACATGAGACATTATAGATGTACAGGACAAAATGTTGGCTAAACAATCAACACCTCCACACAATAGATAACATCAAACAAAGATCTGGATATAATTTGGGATAAGAGTGATCAACTACCGGGTAATTATCATCATATTATGATACTTAGCAACATTAAAAAACATTATCCACAGATTACCTCAATTTAACAAGTAATACTGCATAATTTATATAAATTAGTATTAAGGTTACATAAGAATGCAGTATTATACAAGTTGAGGCACTCTTGGTACAATTAAGGGATTTTATCACATGTATTTTTTTATAACACAGGTATTTGTAATTTAAGACGGGGCCTAAAACCTTCACCAAGCATATCAACAAGCACTAAGAAAATTACTTTATGTTTAGTAAGTTGGCCCTGCATATGTTCATTTGTGCCATGGAGTGTAAAGGAGTCCAAGAGGCTCACTGCTTCATCTAGCCAGTGGTTTATTTCAATAATTCCACTGTCCACTGCTTCCAGTTGAGTTATAATCTGAAAATAAATAAAAAGATAAAAGTTATCTGGAAAATATTGTTTATGCTTAATTGTTCTATCTTAAAGCTGCAGACATCGTCAATTGTTGATTCACAGGGTAACCATCATATGAACAGTTAAAAAATCAGCATTGAATGTAATGAAACACCACTTTCAGGGTTGAGCTCCAGAGGCTCCCTGATGCTAATTGACTGATATTCACTATATTAGTCTAGAGCATCAGTTACTTGGAGTTCTTGCCTATCGGAAACCACGAGCCAGAACCTGATAATCTCAGGAAGGTGCAGGGAGCAATGGCTTATGAGCACTCCACTTTTTGAGAGTATAGTCATGTCTGCCGTCGACTGCAGAGACCTGAGCCCTGGCATGATCCTTCTGCGAAGCACGAGAATGCCCACCCCAGATAATTAACAATTCGGAAAGAAAACAGCAACTAGCAGAAACTGCTTGCAAAAACTAAGTAACAACGAAGTCCACAAAAAATAAAGGACAAAAAGGCGAAGAAAACTGAAGAGCCAGATCCCAGATTGAATCAATAGAGGGAGCGAGGACAGCCTGCTGACACACGAGTCGAGAGATGAAAAACAGAGACACCGCCTCCCGGAGGATAGACGCACACAGTTTCAGCAACACAGCCAACGCCCCAGCAGCCGAGACCAACGCCCCAGACGATAGCCCAGCACTCATCATCTCCACACCCTCCCCAAGCGAGAAGCGAGATAGCCCTAAGCACATGCAGCCCCAAGTACTGGTACTTCTGGCCAACGCCCCAACACACGGCAGGCACAATCACTAGTGGCAAAATCCTGACAAGAAATGGCAGCCAGAGAAGATGTCAGCCCCAGCTGGCTTCAGTCAACGAACTGATGATCTAGCGGCTGGCTCGGTGGGACGGGGGCCCCACCAAGCTACATACTCTCATACAAAGGAGTTTTCATAGGCCATTACTCCCTACGTCTCTCAGAAGGGACCAGGTTCTGACTCGTGGTTCCAGGTAGGCAAGAATTTCGTATGACTGAAGCCTCAGACTAATATTGCTAATATCAGTTTGATAGCTCCAGGGAGCCGGCTCCCCCTCGGGAAATATTAGAAAGTTATCTTCTGCAAACAGATTGGTATATGGTTGGAACAAGTTATGTAAGAAGGCGGAGAATACTAAACCCATCAGTAGTTTCAAAGCATCATATGACAGAATACTTGGAAGATGGGACACAACGAGCGTAGCTCTCATCCTGTAACTACACTTAGGTAATTACAGTTAGGTAACTGCACACACAGATCTGTACAAAGTATATTCAATCTTTACCAGCCACAACTTACTTGAGTTGTAAGGTACATCTTTTGAGGAATGACTGCTCGATATCTAACTAGCTCTTCCTTTTCTTGCTTGAGAGACCACATCATTCTCTCAATCTCATCAGGTGATAAGTCTTGAACTAGAGCCTGGAAAGCCTTAGAAATATTTTTGAAGAGTAGTTCCATTTCTTCAATATCAGCATTTAGTTTCTGCAATTGAAATAAGATTTATTTTCTTACAATATACACAAATGTGAGTAAAGAAGAAAACCTAAATTATTAATTAAAAATAATGTCTACTAAACTATAATAATAATAATAATAATAATAATAATAATGTTTATTCAGGTAATAGGACATACATTCAAAATGAGTTACAAAGAGAATGTTTGATTTCTAGACAGAGCTAGTACATACCATGGCTAAAGCCACTAATACACACACCATTTCGGGCAATCCTACTGTAGTGCTTAATTGAACCCAAGTTTGATACCCGAGATTGACTCCAAAGCAGGGTGAGATGTTTGGGCATATTTTCTTAAACTTGGTGTCTCTGTTCACTTATCAGAAAATACATACCTGGGAGTTAGGCAAATAAATGTCCTTAACACTTTCGCGCTAACCGGACTCACCGGTGAGTCCTGTTTCATCTAACGCTAACGCATAGTGGACATAAAGTTATGTCCTCTTGTAAAATATTTGTATAAAATTCAATTTTTATCCGATTTACTTTGGGTTTGTTTCAAACTGCGCGCCATGAGGCTCTCTTTCTCACCACTAGGCTGCATTGTACAATAAGTTCATGAAAGGTGTGGACCACTTCGATCAAATGGTATTATGTCCCAAACGGGTTGCAGGTGGGTGACTTTAGCCGTTTATACTGGTAATGCTTCCCCCATATCATGTATTATATGCATATGTCTGTTTAGGGAATTTTATTCCGATCAATGTACAACCAAAAATAACTGTGTGCAACAAGTATAAACTTGACAAACATAACAAAAGTAAAAACATTTCGTGTGTATTTGACGCTCACTGATATGTTCCAGCGTTGTTTTATATTTGGCGCTAGTCTATCTTACGCTTTGTTGATCTTTTTTACCTATGGGCTCATAGAACATTCTATTGCGAACACATTGACACAAAAATGAATGACGTACATAGAAAATTAATGTCATGAGAGTGAAATAAGTATAAACTTTCAAAGCGCCGTGCGTCGTCCCGTCACCGATACCGGGTAACAATTTCACCACTTCCCACACTCTTGCGGGCGGGCCGCATCATTATTCTACGCTTATATTTATATCACCGTGTTGGGAATTTCATTGCGAGTCCATTGATACCAAAATTAATGCTGTAGAACAAGTGTGGAGGTGATAACAATCCCAAGAGTAAAAACATTTTGTTGCTGTTGGGCGCTCACGGCGAGTCATCTTCGTAGTTATTTATTTGGTGCTGGTATCCCTATACGTTTCGTGACTTTTTTTACTGATGTTCTTCTAGAGAATTTTATTGCGAACACGTTGGTACCTAAATGAAATACGTAGCTCAAGAACTAAGGTCATGAGAGTAAAAAGAGTATACACATTTTTGTTTTTACGCTTACGCGGCAAAACGCTCGTTGCACTTACGGTTGGCTGAGTGACCTTCGCGGAGAGCGCGAAAGTGTTAATTAGGATGACAAAATAAGTGAGATTTACATGATATTTGGTAATTGTATGTTAATAAGGTATTATCCATCACATCACATGATTTTAGGAAATGTGTGCAGCATGTCTGAATAATTCCACATGTGGCCAGCCACAATGGGCTATACTGCCCTGATTGACTAAGTTAGTTAGTTAGTTTAGTTCATTTATTAAGCACCTCATACCCATCTTGTGGGCGGTAGTGGAAAGGGTTACAGAGGCACATAATGGGCTCAGGGACTGAACCCCACAATTCATTTAGCTAAGCAAGTTACAATCTTGATGAGCTAGTTACAAAATTCAGTATAAGTCGTCACATCAACAATGGGTTCGAGATCGACCACAAGTACAGTTTCTAAATTAAGCAACTGACATATGTGGAGAGCTAGTGTCACAATTGATATGTTTCAATTTTATAACCATAACTAAATGCTTAAGTTTCAAGTCAGTGAGAAAAGACATACATAACTATAATACCATAATTAAAATATTGAAAATGATGATGATTATAATTACAGAATATTACATTACATATACAGTATATCTTCTGACCTTATTCTTTTGAAGCCTGAAATGATGATAAGGATCATAGAGATTCTTAAAACTAAACTTCATGAATGATTTGCCATTACGATCTAAAACTTACTTTAAGCTGCTCTCCATATGTTTTCACTGCTTCAACTGTACACACATTTGTGGAATTAAGAATGACCTCAGCATTCTCAAGCCACAATTCAAGTCGGTCCTGTCCAGACTGGTAGTCGTTTTTGGTTCGCATTATCTGCCCACGATGAAGATACTGTTGCACAAACTGGAGTGAACAAAAGAAATAAATAAATAAATAATATATAAATATATAAAACAGTAATTTAGGCCAGCTTTATAAGAATAATAAAATTGCAATCTCTTACACACTAACCACTACACTGTTGAGTATATGGAAAATAAATTTATAACAGTTACAATATGAATAAATATTTTTCTGATAGGGTTCCCTCAGTAGCTCCTTGATGCTACAACCTGAAAGAGACAAAGCCTTTGGAAAACATACCAGCACCTGACAGAGCCCAGGACCACAATCTGGCCCCGTCAACTGGCAAAGGGAAGCCTGGATATCAAAGACTATCAAAGTGCCAAGAAAATAAACACCAGCAAGCCAGAAGCACTAAAATAATAAGCAACTGCTTGCGAACAATTGAACAAATTTGAAGAAAGAAAAATGTCATAAAGGTTTGTTCACTTTATGTAAGGTAGGCTGCTCCATTATTTATAACATCGAATATCATATTGATGTTTTTCGGTGGTAGAACGGATTAATTTGATTTCCATTATTTTAAATGGGGAAATTAGTTTTGAAAGACAAGCGTTTCACATAACGAGCTCAGTGCCGGAACGGATTAAATTTGTTATTCGAAGTTCCACTGTACTGACAAAAGCAACGCAAGGCAAGAAAAATTTCCATCACAATATGCTTACTTGCCACCAGGTGGCCAAGGTGACCATATAGAGAGTACTGTATAATAATTTGTTAGCATATTTGCTTATATTTTGCATACGTGTATCCCAATAAATTTCAGTATAAAATTATTCCTGCCCAATCAACCAGTCATTTTACAGAAATATCCAGCGAAACTGTTGTTAATTAATGCTTTCCATGAAGGTCAAAGCTTCTACTGCATCTAGCTGTCCAAAAAATTATGTTCCATTCTTGTCGGATTCCACGTACAAAGAAAACTGTCTTCAGACGATTACTAAATCCAGTGCTACAGTAATATTGTGTCTTATTCTGGTGATAAAGATGGACTGTGGATAAGTTGTGAGTCCCTCTTTCAGTGAGGTTATGAACCAATGGGTCTGACCAGATCTGGCTGGATGACCTTGTGGACAACCTCACCTTTGGCAAGGTTTCGATGAGCCTAACTAGTTTCCTGTCCATGACAATAAAACACCAGTATAAAGGAGATTTCTGGAGGTCTGTGGACCACATTTTTCCCACATAACATTAAGCTCAGTATGTGCAAATGTGTGCAGCATAAACTTTTCTAGAAACACATTCTGCAAGCAAATGGAGAGTTCACTGTACTACTAAAGCACACGAGGAAAATGCGGATGGTAACATAAGAAAAAAATCTGACCTACCTGGAAGAGTTCATCCCATTTGGTATTAACTGTGATGAGTTTTTCCCGGATCTCTTGAGCTACTTCTGGACGACATGTGGCAGCCAAGAAGTTACCAGTTTCATTCATTTCACTGTGCTTCTCCTTCCATTCACCCAAATCCTGTACAGCAAGAAAGTAACATGTTGGGTTCCTTAATCAATATACAGCAATAACAAATAAATACACTTAACACTGATATTTAAAACATATAGACAAACAAAATCAAAAGCAAGTTCAGAGTATTGACTCATTTATAAATTTATAAGGCAAATTTCAATGTTAAAGGTAACTAACTAATTGACTCCAATTCTTCAACATAATGCAATATATGAAATGGGGAAAAAACCAGCGTTGAATGTAATGAAACGTCATTTTCTGGGTGAGACCCGAAGGCTCCCCGGAGTTATCCAGGCTGATATGCTAATGTCAGCCTTTGGCATCAGTCATGTGTATGGAGTTCTGTGAGCCTACCGGGGACCACGAGCCAGAACCTGGCCCCCTCAGAGAGGCATGGGGAGCAATGGCCTATAGAAACCCCTGTGTGGTTGGAAGCATTCTATGTCTGCCATCGACGGGTGGATAGCCAGCACAGGGGTCTGGGGCTTCCCCTTCCCCTTCCTGGGGAGAGGGGAGCTGCGCAGATAGCGGTGCGGCGATGTGTGACATCATGCTCTTTTGCTCGTTTTTTTTTTTTTTGGGGGGGGGGGGAGTTCTATCCACATGTTTGGCATTTTGTATCAATTTTCACCTGAATAGGGGTTTGTTTTGGGACGCTTATCTTTCTGGGTGCCTGAACGGCTCTTTGGCAGACATAGAATGCTTCCAACCACACGGGGGTTTCTATAGGCCATTGCTCCCCATGCCTCTCTGGGGGAAGGGGGGCCAGCCAGGTTCTGGCTCATGGTCCCCGGTGAACCATAGAACTCCATACACATGACTGATGCCAAAGTCTGACATTAGCATATCAGCCTGGATAGCTCCGGGCAGCCGAAAGGGCTCCCCCCAGAAAATAATATTTAGGATGGTTAAATCCATTATTCTTAGCACACTCAAAACATAATTCAAAACAAACAAAACAATATATAAAGCATTATCAAACAATTCAGGAAGTAAACTGTAACCTGACCTTTGCATGTGCAAAACCACAGTATAACAGTAATCTTTTTTTCATTATTTACTGGTGCTGTATATACAAGAGTTTTTATATTCTTGTAAAGCCACTAGCACACATAGCATTTCAAGCAGGTTCTTACTCTTAAGTTTCACTGGAATACAACCCCGCCAAATAGATTAATAACCAGTACTCATTCACGGCTGGGTGAACAGAGGTGTACGGTTAGGGACTGGTGCCTAATCAATCCTCTTCACCCTGGATACTGCAGTATCCATGGCGCAGTGGTAAAGCACTCGCCCGGCGCTTCATGAGCGATTTGGCCTGGGTTCGTATCCTGGTCAGGGAAGATTGACTTGGCACCAATCCTTAACTGTAGCCTCTGTTTACCCAGCAGTGAATGAGTACCTGGTTGTTAAACAATTTGGCGGGTTGTATTCCGGCGAAAAATTAGGATTAAGGACCTGGCAAAATGCTATGCGTGTTAGTGACTTTACAAGAATATATGTAAGGCTACGAACCCAGGCTCGCGAAGCACGAGGCGAATGTCTTTCCACTTCGCCATGGGGACTTATGAATACAGTACAGTACTTCTCATTTAGTATTTAGCATTGTTTACCCTATAATACTTTCAATTAATTTTTTTTAACTTCTTTAAGTTTTGCCCAAAATGATTTACATATTAGTGGTTTTATTTTAGGTACCACTGTACCTTCTAATATATCTCTGTATTGTCCCTATGTATGCATATTTAATGAATAAAATATTCTTATTCTTATTGCTGTAATAATAATAATAATAATAATAATAATATTATTATTATTTTCATGTCTGCACATCTGATCACTATGAAGCAGACAATTGCCATACATGTAAATCCTTTTCATTATCATTTAATATCATAAAATAATTTTACAATTAAGTATTTTATACAAAATAATGAGTGAAAGGATGCCTGGCACATGTTCTGAGAGCAGCGAGTAATGCTGATAACTGTTCTTACAGCAACAAGCAATGCTGCAGAACTCTAGTAGTGAGGAATAATTTCTTCACATTAACTCTAGGCAAATTGAAAATTCATTAAATCTGGAAAAAAAAAATGCAGAAGAGCAACTTTACCTGAAAGTAATCCATCTTATCTTCTTCAGAGAGGCTGACCATGGCCAAGGCCCGATCCAACCATGCCTCAAACTCTTGTGTGAGCTCAATGAATTTTTTCCAGTAGGTTATGACCTCCTCCAGCAGACTCTGAATACACCTCAACTCCACCGAAACATTCTTCCATCGTTCATTCATCTCGAGCAAGAAGTTGGCAATACCATCACTCTCAGCTTTACCTAAGTTAAGGTAGGAGAAGAGACATATAGTGTGTTATCTTTATGTAGAAGTGTGTTGCTAATATGTGGTAGTGTGTTATTAATATGCAGTAGTATGTTACCTTTATGAGGTAGTGTGTTACCTTTATTTAGCAGTGTGTTACCTTTATTTAGCAGTGTGTTACCTTTATATAGATGTGTTAACTTTATGTAGTATTGTATTACTTTCGAATAGAGGTATAATAACAATAATGATAATACAGTAATAATAATAATAATAATAATTCATTGTGTCCCTCCCCATGGTTGAGTTAGTGACCCTCCCCAGGATGCAACGTCACAACAAGCTGACCAACTTCTGGGTACTTATTTACTGCTAGGTGAACAGGGCCATTAGGTGATAGGAAATGTGCCCAACCATTTCTGTCCCACCCGGGATTCGAACCCGGAAATCTAGATTGTGAGTCGAGAACGAAACCAACTCTACTACTGAGACCTCTTACCTTTATGAGGTAGTGTAGTGTAATGTAACCTTTATAGTGCAGTGTGTTACCTTCATGTAGTAATTAGTTACCCATGTGTAGCAGTGTTGTTTATATAGTATACTGTATTGCATTACCAGTATATAGTAACAAATTTAGTTTTGTATGGCATGCTCCTATCTGCACAAGATAACCTATACTGACATACATTATAGAGTATTCTTAAACATCTTGCAGTCATAAGTTAAAAGAGACTAAGATAAAAATTTAGAAATAGACATTATTGATATGAATGTTTACCAAGTATTCATATATAAAATGAAAATTTATTACTGTACTTACTTAGATTAGAATCTTTTTTATATGCCTCAGAAACCTGTTGCATTTCGTGGAAGGCTCGATCAAACTCTTGGAAAATATTTCGTGTTCCAACAAAGGATCGGTATTCCGCAAGAATTTGCTGAACTTCTTGTTCCTTGCCATATTTCACAGCCCAAGTCTTCAGTTTTGCTTCCACTAAAATCAGGAATGCTACCAAGCAGTACTGTTGAAAGTTAAAGAAATTTTTTTTTTATATTTTAAAACATGTAACAAATATTTTACAAAAGACTGATTGTATATAAACCTCATCTTAGTAATTATGTAAGATGAAGTACCTAAGTGTAGTTACAGGATGACAGCTATGCTCGTGGTGTCCCATCTTCCCAGCACTCTGTCATATAACACTTTGAAAACTTCTGACAGTTTTGGCCTCCACCACCTAACTTGTTCCGACCATCTACCACTCTGTTTGTGAAAGTGAATTTTCTTATATTTCTTTGACAGCTTTGTTTAGTTGGTTTAAATCTATGACCTATGACCTTAAATCTATGAGTTCTTGAAGTTTCAGGTCTCAGTAATTCTTCCCTATCAATTTGATTGATTCCTGTTACTATTTTGTATGTAATGATCACATCCTCCGTGAGCCAGTCGGAAGACAGCTCCAGGAGGGAAAAGAAGTGCAATTCTGCAACCAAAAGGCCCCGAGCATGTAAGTCTTCCGCCACCTGCGCCGCCGAAAGGGAGGGAACTTGCACATGGAGCTGAATGATACCAACATCCCAGAGAAGGGCAGGAGCAAACAAGTGCTCATCGAGGTGCTCAAGGTCGCCCCCTAGGAAAACCTGAAGCACCATCGAAGCCTCCCGCCACTCAAGCGTATGGGAACGGCAAAAGGAGTGCCAAGCCTCCAAGCTAAAGACAGGACAGTCCGCCAGCCAGGATGACTCCGAAACCTTGTAACGGAGTCAGAAAGGGAACGAAGTCCCAAACTTGAAAGCCGAACGACCCATTGCCGAGGCATAATCCGGGTCACACAGAAGGTTTGCCGCAAGGGCCACCTGCACCGCAGCAGGTTGGCTGTGATAAGTCAAAAACCTCCGGAAAGACGGAACCAAAGTGCCCGGGGAACACGGAACCAAACCAGGGGAAGGGCGGACACCAAATCCAATTCGTACGCAGAGGGGGGAAAAGAAAACCCCACTCTTTGTAACAGTAAGCCCCGCTCAGAGGGTAGAAAAACCCAGGCGGGGTCCAGCGGGGTCCAAGTCCCCCAAGTCAGCCCCTACCCCACCCCAGGATCCTCCACTGCAGGACCCGGGGGCCGAGTCATCACCCAAAGCACCGGCCTCAAAAGAAAGGGCCAGAACAGCCATGTAAGCGGGACGGAAGGGGGCCCATTGGTCAGACCCAGAGGCTTCGGCAGGGAGATCGGTCTCGAATGCCTCCATCGCCATACTAGAAGGAGCATTCCCCGACACTGCTTGAGTTTCAAGACCATCTAAATAATACCCCGACTCAGAAACCCTCAGACGTTTCGGGGCCGGAAGTAGGGGGGGGGGGAACAAGGACGCAGCACAGCAGGGGAAGGACAAGGAGGTTCAAACTGAACCGGGTGCGGCCTGAAAAGTGTGCGAACTAGCCAGAGATTCGTTGAATCGGGGTATGTTGAATTGAAGTTGTACTGTATCTTAGTACAGTATTCCTAACAAAAATATTTTCTTCTTTTTTGTTCAATACATTGTTGGAGTAGAGTATTGTTGGTACTTAAATTTTATTCAATTAAATTATTGAGTAAATCAACTACCTTATAAACTGTATGCAAGTAAATAAGTAATTATCAAAAGAAGGCACCAAGCCGGGAAGGCTATGTAGCACCATCAAATGTGCGGAATAATTATAAGGCACTAAATATCACTAAGGATGCCAACATGAGAACAGAAAAGCATAAGACGAATGATATCAAAGTATTCGATTCACCAAGAATACTATCAAGAGACAAGTAATCGCAAGGGACAGTCGGGAAGCAGGACACACACTCGTCTTGGAAGTCAGGACATTCAACAAGGATATACACAACTATAAGAGGGACAATGCAGTTTGGACAATAAGGAGCAGGGCAGCGCTCCATTAAGTGTCTGAGTTAAGCATGTATGGCCAATACGCAACCTCGCCAGAGTCGTTCCCACCACCAGTTACTGTAGTAGGAGGAAGGCCATGAGGACACACTACTCTTTAAGAGTACGCAGTTTGTTACCAATAACAGAAGACCAACAACCTTGCCAACGGGCAAGGATGGAGGAATGAATAACTGGGTAAAAGTCGGAATAAGGAATACCTTTATGGGAGATGGGACAAGTGTGAATAACTTTCTAAGCAGCAGCATCCACACGGTCATTTAAAGACACCAATATGACTGAGAACCTAGCAAAACTCCACTGTCTTAAATCTACTGGAGATAAGAAACAGCCAATGTTGAATCTTAACTACCACCGGATGGACTGTATTAAAGGACTCCAGAGCCATGACGGCACTGCGAAAGTCAACTACAATCACAAAGGAGGACTGACAGCGAGAAAGCAGTAGACGAAGAGCATAGAGAATAGCATAAAGTTCTGCCGTGAAGATGCTAGTTTCCAGAGACAGTTGACACAAATATAGGTGTGGTCAGCAAAAACAACAAAGTATCCTACACTGTCTGCAGACTTAGACCCATTGGTGAAGACGGAAATGGAGCGGGTGTGGGAAGAAAAGTGTTCAAGGAAAAGGCATTTCAGAACTGTAAGAGGGGTAAAAGCTTTCTTTAGTCACGTGCGTCAGGGTTTTATAAAATTTAGGGAGGGGGACTCCACGGGGGCAAGGACAGAACAACATGAGGAGAAATATTGGTAACACTAAACGAAAGAGAATTTTGTAGGCGAGACAACCACAGAAAAAGGGAGGTGTTGAAGGGGAACAGGGACCACAAGAGGGGTAAAAGTCAAAGCACGACATAGGTGAGAGTGAGGGTGCTATAAGGACCGTGCAAGGTAGCGAAGACAGTAGCGATCACGGCAGTCCTGGAGAAACATGAAACCAGTTTCAACATACAAGCTGAGGGTAGAAGTCGAACGAAAGGCACCAGAACTGAGGCGCAACCCAGTATGGTGCAGAGTATTAAGATGGTGAAGAGTAGACGGAGAAGCAGACGAGTAAGCCGAGCAACCATAATCGAGTTTAGTAAGTATGAGAGAGGAATTTAAAGAGAGGAGCGTGCCTCTATCCCCAAGAAGTATGGGACAAAACCTTAAGTAGGTTAAGGGCCTTAGAGCATTCAACTCGGAGGTAAGAAATATGGGATGACCAAGACAAACGAGTGTCAAAGATTATCCCCAAAAGCTTAGCGGAATCACTGTACACAAGGGGATGACCATAAAGTGACAAAGAGGGATGAAGAACGACCTGTTTCTGAGTAAAAGTCACAGTACAAGTCTTAGTAGCAGAGAGCTTGAAGCCATTATTGGTGGCCCAAGACGACACGGCATCAATCGCAAGTTGAAGCCCTCGTTGAAGGCGAGGCGAATCATCACCTCAACAGCAAAGGGTAAGATCGTCGACATAGAGAGTGGAGAAGATGCCAGAAGGAAGGGAGGAAAACTGTGTGCAAAAAACTAACTTGTATGGCAGGTAAGGTAAGGTGAATAAGACTTACTCTGTGTTCCAGGTACTTAAGTTTGATTTTCCTTTGTGCTGCACGAGGGGCAATAGTTTTTAGCCTCAGTTCCATGTACTCAAGCTGCTGTTGTGGGATGGAAGATGCATCAGCAGAGTTTTTCACTGCCTCAAACTTTGCTGCAATTGATGGTAGCTCTGCGAAGAATGCCTTGTGTTCTTCTATCTTTCTACTTAACAAATTGGCAATCTGGAAGAAAGAAAGAAAGGTTTCAAAACTTTAATGTGCGGAATGTAATTAAAAGCTATGTAATTTAAAAACAGCTTACACCTGCAGTAGTACAGAGTTGACTTTGTTAAATAAAGTACTGTATTACATTTTGCCTGGTGTGATGCTCAGCATTCTCTTACACTTTCTAGGAAAGTTTCAAGTCATGGTTCATACTATGAAATAAGCAATTATAAGTGTGAACAGCAAAACAGAAAATATAGAGTGTATGTTTAGAATGTTTAGCAATTTGAACGGAGGATCTATAAGTTGTGTGAAAATAACATTTGTTAATAATTCTGATTGCTGATTCTGATTTTTGCTGGGTGAAGATGGGGTTGAAGTAACCTGTAGATACAGATACCATAAGTCAGATAGGAATGAATTAGTGAGCAATATATGTAGTGTAAGAATAGCAGAGTGGGAGATAGAGTATCAGATGTTGAAAGTACTTAATACCAACTATTTTGGATACTTTTTTTTTTGCTATGTTCTGTATGTTAATGCTGAAGTTGTCTCTTGTGAGTGTACAAGCATAGGAATTTTCCTTCACTTTTAATATCAATACTTATAATGTTTATTTGAAATGTGGTGTTAAATTAAGTCAACCCATGGTCCAATCCATCCAAATTACATGCTTGTTGCAGTCTGTTAAAAGTATGTGTGTTCTTTGTCAAGTATGCATGAACATGGGCTCTTTCTTTGCTAGCCATAGCAGTATTAATAATATCTGTTCTTAAGGAGTAACTCTCCAGATTAAGGACAATTCTCTTCTACAGACATCTCTAGTTCTGATAACTTTCATGCATTCTAACTCTTGATCATAGTTGCAGTAACACCACCACTCTCATTTGGTCTACACTTGTGGAGTCCTGTGTAATTGTGAATGGTAAGCAGCTGTGCTGAGTAACCTTTTAGCATGTTTAGCTGCTGAGTAACCTTTTAGCATGTTTAGCTGCTGAGTAACCTTTTAGCATGTTTAGCTGCTGAGTAACCTTTTAGCATGTTTCAGTTAAAATTACAAACAACAATTTATAATTGAGAGCTTGCAGTAAGAGTATGGTAATATTAAATATGTGTTATAGATACTATACAGTATACCTTAATTAAACCTTATCTGAAAATAAATATTTATTATAATACCAATTTAATTTAAAACAATGAAATAAATATATGAGTAGTTTCCACAATTATTACCTCATCATTCTTTCCATAAAGCTTGTCTTCAGTGCCGAGCACAGACTCAGCACGGCTCAGCCACTCACCAATGGGACCAAGAGCACCTGGGAGAGTTGCATCTAAGAGCCAGGTCCAATGTGACATCTGAAGTGATACCTGGAGGGGTTCATAAAGTTCATAGGATGAATTGAGAAGTAGATCAAAACCTTCAATGAGGTACACCTGATTACTCAATACTCATAATAAACCTTGAGAGTTCAAGGTTCAAATTCAAGGTTCAAAGAGAGTTTATGTTCAAATAACATAAATCTTTAGAATTTTTGGAAAGTTGAATATGACAATGAGAAGTAATAAGCAATATTTAATAACAAGAAAATAAGGACTCCTAGTAATGAGTTTATAGCAATATTGGTGGCAATTGTTATACACAAAATATGTACAAATTTGATGCTGAGTAGGATTTTGATAATAAAGTTCGGAATGTAATTTTTAAAGTAATTAAATTATGCGTCATTAAATCATAAGACAAATAGAGGTTGAGTCAATATTAAAAACACATTTCTGAGCAAAAGTCTCTGGTTGTTCCCAAAAGTAATAATTCATTGTGTCATAGCCAAAATTCATGAACAGTCAGGCAGGATGACACTGAGGCACCAATGTCAGAAGAAATTTGTCAAATATCCCTTTTGGCATCAAATACAGTGATAGGGAAGCACCAAGAAAATATTAATCCAGCTCAGGATGACAGTAATGGACTGTGGTAGCACACTCTCTACATGCCTCACAAGCAATTTTGTCTGGATTCAAGCCGTGGCCAGGAAAGATTTACTGGACACCTATCCATAAACTCAGCAGTAATTGGGATCTGGTTGTAAACCAATTGGCAGGACATATTTCCAGGAATATGTATAAATGTGTATATGTATAAAAGGGACTTGGTTTTAATGCATATTAGAACCCCTACCATGAACAGGAAACACCAACTAGCTTAACGAACTCCACCTGAAGCTGGAAAGAGCTCCTGGTATGCCACCAACTTAACAACTGCCAAGTGGGTACAGTCCCTCAAGTCCTCTGCAAAGAGGTGCTAAAGTAAGGACTGTAAATATTAGTTATACTTTAGAGTGCGGCTTTCAATCCCATACCTTACAGTTTAAAGAAAGAGTTCAACCAATTTACACACTCCTATAGAGCAGTGGTCTACGTTGTCAGTTCACAACTAAGGCTAAGGACAACTAAGGTTCAATTTTTAGGCAAAATAGACACAGTTGTGCACTGTAAAACAGATGCTTATTATTATTATTATTATTGTTATTATTATTATTACTACTATTACTGTATATACATGACAGCGCTGCTCATGTCAAAACTTTTAAAATGCTGAACAATTTGGAGGTTTTTGATCCAAACAACTTCTTCCAAAGGTCAGATGTAACACAAACAAGGAGCAATGGTTCCAAGCTCAACAAGTTACAATGTAGGGCTGAAAACAGAAGATGCTTTTTCATCCACAGGGTAATAAACCCATGGAACTACCTACCTGCTGAAGCTGTAAAAGCTAAACCTCTTTGAACTTTAAAATCCAGCTTGAAAAAAAAATCAGGACAAATGGGGGGAACCTTTGACAAACTTAACAAGGTCTCAACGAGGCTTGCTGTCCTCGTTGAGGCCACTAGTGTGTTAGTGGTCCTCAGGTATATTCAGGTAAATTATTCAGGCAAATCTCCTTGCCTTGCTGACGAGGGAGTCTATAACTAACTGGTTCACATTACCCTGCCACCAACACAGGGATACAAGCACAATCCAGAGAATCAAGTGTCACTAAGAGGGATTCCCACCTGCATACTGTCACAGGCACAGGCAGGGGGAGGGAGGGAATTATCAAGGGAAAGTGCCAAGCCATTATGAATATATAGCACTAGGAAGGGGTCAGGATAAGGATTTGGGATGGGACAGGGGAAAAGAATGGTGTCAAACCATTTAGATGGTTGGGAATTGAACGCTAACCTGCATGAAGCAAGACCGTCACTCTACCGTCCAGCCCAAGTGGTTGGGCACACAGGCAGAGAGAAAACAGTCCGTCTTCTATCCAAGACTAAGTTAAAAACTGATTTATGTAGATTTTGATAAATAAGTATTTAACTTATATATCTGGTAGTTTAATCAACTGACAGAATGATTGTTTCTCATTGTCAAGAAGAGAAAGCATGTTAGGTTTCCATATGCAGGTGAGGAGTCACAATAACGTGGCTGAAATATGTTGACCAAACCACACACTAGAAAGTGAAGGGACGACGACGTTTCGGTCCATCCTGGACCATTCTGTCGATTGTATGACACACAATCGACTTGAGAATAGTCCAGGACGGACCGAAACATCATCGTCCCTTTACTTTCTAGTGTGTGGTTTGGTCAAGCATATTAGGCTTATTGAGGTTTCACTGTCATCAAGTGACTCTCTCCAGAACAACAACAGTTGCTTAACTCCCAGGTCCTCTTGACTGCCTCACTCTTCAGGAATTCTCTCTATGACATAGTGAACTCTTACCTATATGGAGCAACTGGATATGATAGGATCAAAAAACTTTTAATACAATGTTACTAGCTAATTTTATCATCATTTTAAAGTGTTGATCTGCATTATTTTTTGTACATATGTAAATACAACAGGGTATAGAGTGCTAAAACAAAAGAATATTCATAACTAATAATGCGATATGTTTTGAAGTACTGTAATATTACACTGTAATGCGAGTGCTTAGAATGAGTCGAGTCATTGTTTGGAAACCACTGCAAAAACAGAGGATATTATATATGCCACTTTTTGTACCTTATTCCAGGAGGCTGTGATGTCAGCCCAGGAGTCGGTTGTGATGGATACCATGGATGACCGAGACTCCACCAAACCCTTGAGCTTCTCGTAGATCAATGCCTTTTCATCTGCTTCGGATTTGAGGGCTTTGAATCTCTGCAGGTTGCAATAAACAAATAAAATGGTGCATGGTGAAGGGCACTAGTGAATTATAGTAAACAAATACATTAGGGAGAGATTATGCAAAGGAAGCCACATACAGTACAAAATAAATAAGGAACACATTAGCTCTGATCACTCGGCATTAGTACATTACGTGGCATGACTAAATTATAAGCACAGCTGTATATGTACCCCAAAGGCTGAGTTACTGAGGGCTGGCATTAGTCCTTTACAGACAAATTAGCTCTGGCCATCATTCTCTGGTGAAATACTCTGGCTGCCTAAAGGAACAAAATTTTAGTGAGCAATTTAATTTAAATTAAGAAGATACACTGTATGCTTTAAACTTTGTAACTAGCTTATTATTAATGTAACTTGCTTAGTTAAATTAATTTTTAGGATTCAGTTCATAAGGCTATTATGTGCTCTTGTAACCTTTTCCACTACCACCACAGAATGGATATGGGGTGCACAATATATGTATTACAAGTAAAAATGTTGCACTCTAAGCAGCTTGTATCACACCCATATTACACTACAGTAAGTGGCAGAATCAGGAAGATGCTTGTCCTAAGTTACCCCTCACACATTTCTGACTAATGTGCAAGTTGATGATTAATCATACACAAATTAGATAGCTAATAATACATCTAACTACAAACTCTTGTTTAAATGACTGGAAAATGACTGTCCATACGACTCCAGTACTCAGACTGACCTCATAGTTGATGTTGCCATGTGTTGCTGGATCGTGCAGGGTGTCAAGCCAGTTGGATGTGTGCGAGAGCCAAGTTGTCAGCTCGGAATATTCCATTTCTATTTCACTGAACATGTCTCCTGATGATGCAGCTTCCAGTGTTGGACTTGTGCATGGCTGTCATATACAAAAAAAAAAAAACTATCAATCATAATTATTTAAGAGCTCTGACTTCATTAGCATAATAATTTCATGAATGCTATTTAAGAAGATTATTATTATTATGATCATAATTCAGCTGACAAAATTTAAATTAAATTACTTTTATTATATTTATAAGTAATTAAATTTAAAAGTAATTTAATTTAAAAGTAATTATAATGTAATATACAGTGATTTAAATTTACAATTTATGTTTTCTCAAATCTAATTGGATTTATCCTCATTTTCAGTATACAGGTACACTAATAATTAATTCCTAACAATTGCTAATATTGTTAATATTACAATGACTATTATACAAGATACATTGCTTATGTAGCTTGTATAATTTATGTTAATTTACATTCAACTTAAATTTTACATCAACATTTAGTATCCATTGCCATACTTTTACCATACCTACATTGTATATTATTAATTTTACAATTTATGTTAACTCCAATCTAACTTTAATTTTCATCATTTTCATTATAATAACAATTAATTACCAATAATTGCCAATACTGTTAATATTACATTGCAGATTATCCAATTTACAATTTATAATAACTCCAGTTTAATTTAACTTCCATCACTTCAGTATATTATAAATTTACATGTATAAATCAATTTAATTTAAATAAAAATTTCCCATCACTGCATTTTGCACACACCTCTGGAAATAATACAATACATGTACTATCATTATGTAAAACAATATACTGTATATAGCGTACATAAGACAAATACGTGAACTACTATAATTCCTGCATGAGTATCCTATTGGGTACGAGAACTAAATCCTTCAACACTTATTTTGCTACAGTCCTTACCGGAACTGTGGTGGTTCCTGGCTCTGGGAATTTGTTAAGGAATGCAGCCACGTAGGTCATGATGGACTTTTCATCAGGTTTGTCCACATCCACATCTTCTGAGTCGAGCAGACGAGGGATGCCCAAGCCCTTGTCAGCAACACGGAATGCAGCTTCTAAACGAGCTTTGTTTGTCATCTGTTTCATTGACTGTTATAAAAAGAAAGTTAATGTCAGGCATAAATTTGTTATTAAGTGTATAGTACAATACTGTATATTATTTGGAGCAAATTCTCAATAGTGTAAAAAGGCTACCAAAGGCCTAATGAGTAAACACAAAACTTAATTGAAAAACACATAATGTTCTAGTCAAACGAGTATATAAGGAATCATGATTAAATGTTTAAATGATAAAGATAAAATTGAGAGTGACCTGCAGGTTAACAAGCCGTGGGTTGATACACTGTATGAGAGCCAGGAATGCTGTCCCGTCACGCCAACTGCAGCCAAAATCATTTACAACTATGCCATATTTCCTGCAACACAACCAAGTTTACTGATTCAATGTCTTTCTAGATTTTTCACATTCGAACAAACAAAAGAAATATTATAGTTTTAGAATGCTGATGCAAATTTTATAATCAGCATTATGCAAAAACTGCATAGACAGTGGGGAAAGCATATATATACAAAAATCAATGTTATAATAATACAGTAGTAGGACTCAAAATGTAATGTTTTACACAAGTGAAATCAACAAATTTTATATATTACATTACTTTTGTTTAAAAAACAATCCTTACGATAGATATTATATTTACTCTAATAATGTTATATGGCTCAAATAAAATGGAAAGTGCAGTAGGGTTACTGAACACAGATATAAATGTGAATAATCTAAACTACTAGTTATATTCTGAAATAATAGAAAGTTTATTAATCCCAAAACGTCTGTCATTAATATATATATATATATATATATATATATATATATATATATATATATATATATATATATATATATATATATATATATATATATATATATATATATATATATATATATATATATATATATATATATATATATATATATATATATATATATATATATATATATATATATATATATATATATATATATATATATATATATATATATATATATATTATATATATACATATATATATATATATATATATATATATATATGTGTGTGTGTGTGTATATATACACACATGTATATAGAGTATATATACACATATGTATATATACGCATGTGTGTATATATATACAAACACACGTGCGCATGGTACATGTTAGGCTGATATTGAGCCCCCTCCCCCCCAGGGTCGAATTACTGAACCCCGCCCAGGATGCAACCCCACAACAAGCTAACTAACTCCCCCATTTACTGCTAGGTGGACAGGGGCACTAGGTGATGGGAAACGTGCTCTACCATTTCTGGCCTGTCCGGGATTCGAACTTGGAATTCTCGATTATGGGTCGAGAACAAACCAGATGAACTATAAAAGGTATCGAGACCCTTTTTGTTCAACCTGAGGATAAATTGCTAAACTTTACCTACCCTTTACCCTACTGTGTTAGAAACGTAGTACTATTGATATTACTGAGGGATGTGAGATTTAATAGTTTGAAAGTAACATACTTGCAACAGGGGAAAGAATGAAATTGCCTGATAAAAATAAATATTTAGTGAGAGAAGGAAGCCAGCGCCTCACTTGGTAATGGTCTGTCGGACCCACTCCAGCAGGGCCTTCTTCGCCCCCATCTTCCACTTCTCGGCAGCGGCAGACCGACGGGTGACGGAGGGCGGCCTGTCACGGGAGATGGTGCACCCCTCCGTCGCCGACCCCACTGAGAAGGGCGAGTCGCTCCTGGAGCCACCCTCTTGTTCCATCAGCTGGCTCAGGCGCTCCAGCTGACGGGTGTTCTCCTCGATCTGGCAGGTGGGCAGTGAGACGTGTACTGGGAGGTGAGCATCGCTCAGTGTGCAGGAGGAAAGGTAGGAAGGGTGGGGAGGAGGAGGAGGAGGGTACGTATGCTTATACTTGCTTGTGTGTCTTTATTATACTTGCTTCAGTATATGATTATACCTGCTTGTGTATGAATGCTTACCTGTTTGTGTGTGTTTCTGTATGGCTGCCTACTTGTGTGTGTGTATGTTATTACCTGATTTTGTGTGTGTGGGTATGATTACCTGCATTTTTATGTAACTAAGTGAAATGACATAAGAACATAAGAACAAGACAACTGCTGCAGGCCTATTGGCCCATACGAGGCAGCTCCTATTTATAACCACCCAATCCCACTCATATACATGTCCAACCCACGTTTGAAACAATCTTGGGACCCCATCTCCACCACGTTACGCGGTAATTGGTTCCACAAATCAACAACCCAACAATGGGTTGTTGATTTGGTAACAACAATGACCTACTTGTTGTTACAGAATGAGAGCTACGCTCGTGGTAGACTCTTTGTCATATAACGCTTTGAAACTACTGACGGTTTTGGCCACCATCTTCTCACTTGATCCAACTATCTATGACTGTTTGTAAAAGATAACTTTACAATATTTTATTGCCACCTTTGTATCCTTAGTTTTAGTCTATGACCTCTTGTTCTAGAAGTTGTAGGTTTCAAAAATTCCTGTCAATTTTGTCAAATTCCTATTACTATTTCGTTTATAGTGATCATATAATTTTTTTTCTACTATCTTCTAGCTTTCGCATATTTACCGGCTCTGGCCTCTCTTCATAGATTTTGTTTTTCAGTTCCGGAAGCCATTTTCTAGCATGCCTTTGTACCTTTTCCAGCTCATTGATGTGCTTCTTGAGATATGGGCACCATACATTGTGCTCCCCTCACAATGTCCTTTAAGTGTTCCTCTGGTGACAGTCTACTATACAGAACCACCATAGCTCTCTTTCCTTGTTAAAGTTCTTTAATGCATTTCCACATAATTTGAAGGTAGTGTAGGGCCTATTTTCTCCTATTCCACGGTCCATAACATGGCATTTATTTACAATTAATTCGACTTGCCAAGTGTTACTCCATACACTTATTGTCTAGGTAAGCATTCATACACAAGCAGCATATACTCAAGGGCACGACAATCGTCTAAGTATCTTATCTTCCTTAATAGTTTGCTTTGCATCAACAAACATGTTCACATAATTCTGTATTACTTGTATATGGTGCATATACAGTAGACAATGAGCACCACTGGTGTACGAACTACACCCTGTGGTTCACTTCCTGCACCGGTTACCCTCACTAGTAACACTCCTCCAGTCTGATACATTGCTTCTGATTACTGTCCTCATTATTCTGGCAGTCAGAAAAGTGTTCATTGCTGTCAGCAGTATGCCTGTCACTCTTTCAGCATTTTCCAGTTTTCATAACAACCTCTTGAGTGGGACTGTCAAAGGCCTTTTTTATGTTCATATAAACACAGTCAATCCAACCATCTTTTTCCTCTAGAATCTCTGTGGTTCTATCATAAAAATTAAGAAGATTTGTTACACAGGTGCTTCCTGTTCGTAACCAGACACAACCATACTGTCTGTTATAATTTCATTTAACCAGGTATTCTATCCATTTGGTTTTAACTATTTTTCTAGACTTTTGACTACCACGCTTGTCAAGGACATTTATAATAAAAGCAACAATATGTCTGTCTCTGGCTGTTCAAAGTTGGAGGCCAGGCGCCTCCAACTGTGTGTGTACTCACCTAGTTGTGCTTGCGGGGGTTGAGCTTTGCTCTTTAGTCCCGCCTCTCAACTATCAATCAACTGGTGTACAGATTCCCGAGCCTATTGGGCTCTATCATATCTACATTTCAAACTGTGTATGGGGTCTGCCTCATCCATATCACTGCCTAATACATTCCAACAGTTAACTACTCTGATACTGAAAAAGTTCCTTCTAATGTGTCTGAGGCTCATTTGGGTGCTCAGTTTCCACCTGTGTCCGTTTGTGCGTGTAATACCCGTGTTAAATAAAATATCTTTATTTACCCTTTCAATTCTTAATTCCTCTGAGAATCTTGTATGTAGTGATCATGTCTCCTCTAACTATTCTCTCTTCCAGCAACGTAACTGTGTGTGCGTGATTCCCTAAGTGTAGTTAGAGGATGAGAAGTACACTCATGGTGTTCCGCCTTTCCAGCACTCTTTGTCATACATGGACACCATATAACCGATGCATATTCCAGTTTTAGTCACCGAATGCATGATAGAGCTGATGAGTTAGCCAAATAATCTGCCTTTACAGGAGAAATTGAGTATCACCTTTGATTGTCAATACGCAGTCTGAGAGCAAAAGTAAACCAAGAACATCAACAAAATCTTGTAGATCCTGCTCTGAAACTCTCCCTGGACAGATGTAATAGGACCCATTATCATCACATCAGAAATAAATATCTCTTTATCCCCACAGTCGAACTTAATCTGTGTAAACACTCTGCAAATAAAGGGACCCAGTCTATGGAACTCACCTCCCGAAAGAATTGAAAAGCTGTCAAACTTTTGCCTCATTCAAAAACAAAAACAAAAAATACCTAATTTAATCTTCATAGTGTCCTACCTAGTGTTTTAAAATTGCACTATATCTAGGGGAGCCGGTCGGCCGAGCGGACAGCACGCTGGACTTGTGATCCTGTGGTCCTGGGTTCGATCCCAGGCGCCGGCGAGAAACAATGGGCAGAGTTTCTTTCACCCTATGTCCCTGTTACCTAGCAGTAAAATAGGTACCTGGGTGTTAGTCAGCTGTCACGGGCTGCTTCCTGGGGGTGGAGGCCTGGTCGAGGACCGGGCCGCGGGGACACTAAAGCCCCGAAATCATCTCAAGATAACCCAATCCCCCAAGCTTTATGTACCTAATCCAAACAACTTTACCATTGTGATCATTGCTGTCATCTTATATGTGCTATCATTATGCTGTATTGTGCCTATTAATCTTTGTTAACTTACCAATCAAGCTGTCAATGCAATCAGAGCTACCGATGTGCTTTAATATACCTACTAATCTCTCTCATCTCATTTTTTTCTTGCAATGTACCTATTATCCCTTTATAAACTTTGCTAGAATTTACCTACTTAAAATTATATGTTAGATTAAGGACCTGCCAGAAACGCTGCGCGTACTAGTGGCTTTACAAGAATGTTAACACCATGCTATGTATCCTCACAAACCCAATATACCTTCTTGTATATTTAAATAAAATAAATAAATAAGATCTGAGGCAAAGTGAAATTGACACCAGTAATTCCGTCTATCATCATACTATCATGCAAGAGGAGCCACACATCTATGGGTCATCCAATAAAATCAGCAGACTTCTAGATGTTACTACTGCTCGGCTTAAACTCGGTTACAAGTATCTCTGGGAATTCTCATTATCTGCTGAAGTAGACCTGTCCAAATGTAAACTGTGTCAACAAAATTATTTGCACACCCTCCGTCACTATGTGATGGAGTGCGAAAAGATACGTGAATTTAGAGACAATTCTATAACCAATGTTCCAAAGATGTTTAAATATTTCGTTTAAATTGATCTGCTACCATAAATTTTAGCCAAATATCCCCAGTTTGCTAACTGTAGGTAGGCTATCTAGTTTTGTGATTGACTATTTGTGATTCTATAGAACAGCTGTAGCCAGAAGCGTCCTATCGTACTTTGCATATTTATGTAAAGTATTGTCAGTGTAAAAACAATAACATGCAAAGTAAAATGGGACTCGAAAAAGTTTCTGATCTAACAAGTTGAAGTAAGTTTAGAGATAATAAAATACATCCCAAAAGGATAGAGTAGCTTAGGCTATTTCTATACACACACACCTTATATGTGCTGCGTGACATTAGAAAACTTTTTCAGTGTCAGAGTGGTTTACAGATGGAATGCATTAGGCAGTGATGTGGTGGAGGCTGACTCCATACACAGTTTCAAATGTAGGCATGATAGAGCCCAGTAGGCTCAGGAACCTGTACACCAGTTGACTGACAGTTGAGAGGCGGAACCAGAGAGCCAAAGCTCAACCCCTGCAAGCACAACTAGGCGAGTACAATAGTCATGCGCATCAACTACCATCATTTTATAATTTGTAGTGAACGGAATATAATAATAATGAAAAAATCCCTGAATTGAATGACGAAATTTATCCCCATGAGTTAAGTGCTGGAATCAGAAGCCTTAAAACCACATTATAATTTGAGTCGCACTATCTGCGTTGACGGGTTGCTGCGTTACGTTCATATAACAAAATATAAAATAAACGATGCGAGAAAAAAAAACGTCCTTAGTCCATGTTAAAGATATTTATCACAGCATCAATTGTAACAATGTTATTGAGAGGCCAACTGACATGTTTATTGTGAGACCAGCTGACATGTTTATTGTGAGACCAGCTGACATGTTTATTGTGAGACCAGCTGACATGTTTATTGTGAGGCCAGCTGACATGTTTATTGTGAGACCAGCTGACATGTTTATTGTGAGACCAGCTGACATGTTTATTGTGAGGCCAGCTGACATGTTTATTGTGAGACCAGCTGACATGTTTATTGTGAGACCAGCTGACATGTTTATTGTGAGGCCAGCTGACATGTTTATTGTGAGGCCAGCTGACATGTTTATTGTGAGGCCAGCTGACATGTTTATTGTGAGGCCAGCTGACATGTTTATTTTGAGGCCAGCTGACATGTTTAGTGTGAGGCCAACTGACATGTTTATTGTGAGACCAGCTGACATGTTTATTGAGAGGCCAGCTGACATAATTAAAGTTTTGGGGATAAGCAGGCGATATAAATGTTAAATAATAATAAGGAAAGGAAACTTACGGTACAACATAGAGCAAAAATCAGTGCACAAACGTACCTGTTTTGAAATGTATTAGAAATAACTGAATAAGTTTAATAGGAGTTTTATTTCGTTGGCAT